GTGGAACGACACAGGTGGTGTGGGACCTGTGGGGGGTGGGGGGGATGGGGCCCGTGCTCATAGGCTGACCTATCTGTAAGTGTTATAGTTATAAGCAGAAACTCCTCTTCCAGAGGCAGCCACTTAATTAACCCTGTGCAGATGAAGAGCTGATGCTGTGTTAGAAAGCAGGAGGCAGTCTGTCTGTTCTCATGCGACTAATTTAGTACTGGCCTGGTACTATAAATAACCCAAAGTATTGTCCCAAGGAGTGTTCAATTCCTACAAGATCAAAGTAATTGGCTTTTTTTAATATATACACACAGATATGTAGTATACACACACAAAATATATAAATATATGATATATACAAAATATAGATAGATATATAAATATATATAGAAAATATATCTAAATATAAATAAATACATTTATACAAAAAACCCTTTTGCCTGTGGCTTCCTACAGGGAAGGGTCCTTGAAAATTGGGGACAGGCTGCTGAGCGTCGATGGGATCCCTCTGCACAGCATGACCCACGCTGACGCCCTCAACATCCTGCGGCAGTGCAGCCAGGAGGCACTCTTCCAGATCGAGTATGATGTGACCATCATGGGTAAGGCCAAGATGGTTGTGGTGGCGTTTTCTCTGATTGCCTGGAAAGTATGTGAAACTAGACACAGTAACTGGGATACTCAGTTTCAGTGGAAAAATTGCCGAGCAGTGCGCTGCCAACGTGGGTGTAGGGGGTAGAGTTCAAAGCCGGCTTAGTTGAATGCATTTGAAATGCCCTTATCCAATGATGTGTCTCCATGGGAGTGATGACTGGTTTTAGAGGAGGGGGAAGAAGGGGATTTTTTTAATGTAGGCAAAGAGGGCATAGGAGAAGTCGGAGTTAAAGGGGGCTGGAGCACTCTGCCAGCACTGCAAATATTGCTATTAAATGCGTGCAGGGGAGTGAGCTGCAAGCAGGCAGAGACTTGCTGTGGCTTCAGTTCTGAATTTTGACCCTGCTTGATTCTGGAGCTATTCCCTTTCTTAGAAACATTAGTTCAGATCTGCTTCTGAAATAAATGAGGGGTGATCAACTGATTGACCCCAAATAAGACAGAATTTACTGGAGGGCAGAGGATGGGTATTTCTAAAAAGTATTCTACACAGTAGATATTAAGTTTGAGGGTTTGGAGGGTTGGTGGTTTTTTTTCCATTTGATTTTCAGTTTCAAGCCCTGGGAAAGGGTTTATTATTAGCTACTGTAAAGTCATTTTGAGCTGGCTTTGTGACACACAGCTGTTACTGCAGGGAGCATCGTTAATGAGTTTAAGGTTACCACAGAGTCCGAAGCTGTGTTGATTCTGGAAGCTTGTTGAGCTGTGTGTTAGATTTTGATGTTGCATATACGTCTCCAGAGGGGTTTCTGCCTCCACTGGAGCCACAGGCTGGCCTAGGTTGGAGTCTTTTCTGCAAATCATGCAAACCAGTCCAGCACATCTGGGCCTAGGATCCAGTGAGGAATAGGAGTCCGTGGTGATATCGGGTTGTTTTCTCATTTGTCAGTGAGGAGGGAAATAAAAAGGATCTGCAGCTGAGAGAGTTTAATACCATGCCACCCCCAAGGAAAGAGGGCTGAGAACGCCAGAACTCGCTCCGTGCAATGTGCAAGAGGGTTGCACCAGGATAAGGGAGCTCCTCGTGCCAGCCCTGAGGGCTTTCTGCTTCCTTTTCAGTCTCCTGCCCCCAGGCTTCCCCTTTCCTTTCGGCAGAAACTCCACAAGCGTGGACATACTGGGTCTCCCCTGGGGGAGGAGGCTGACAGGACCTGGGTAGCCGTGTGCCATGCAGACACATACTCCGCTGGGAGAGCTGGAAGGAAAACCTGATGCCTTGGCAGTTGCCTGCACGTTGCCTGGCTTCTGCCATGCTACAGGAGCAGCTTCTCTTTAGAAATTGGCTGGTATTCATGAAAAAGAGGAAATGCTTAAATGATGGAAAATGGAAACTACCCAAACCCTATTTTCTACCTTTCTGTATGATTGTGATTGTGGTAACTCCACAGCAGTCAGTAAGAGGAAGGGGCGGGTGGAGTTAAGGAGGGATTTTGCACAGAGCTATCAAGTCTGAACAGTAGCAAACAATTAATGCTGCGTGGGAAACGGGCTTTTTTGGGGTTTTGTTGTTTGTACAGTCCCCTGGTGCCTATGTTGCAGAAAGTTGATTGTTTTAAAACCTGACTTGGAGCGAAAATAGCCATGAAGGTGTCTTGGTATTTCTTCTTGAGTAACTCTTCCACCTAAAACTGTTAGGGTTGAGTGAACACAGAGCGATGGCAGGGTTTTATGCAGTGATTCTCCATCTTGTGTTGCTGTACAGTGGACCACAACCAGATACTTCCCAAGATGTAAAACCAGCCCCTTTCTTAGATAATTTCTGCACAGAGAGTGCTTCTCCCCAACCCCCTAAAGGGATATACTTTCCCTGCTTTCTTTTAAGGCAAGATGATGCAGAATGTGTAGCTTAAAACAATCTCTGCAGACAGTTTTGCCAGGCAACAGCTAATAACTGCAACGGGAGATGAGTGCATCATCCCCAAATCACAACTATTAGAGACATTCTCTTTACCAGCCACAGGAAGATGATGAGGGAAGGGAAGAGCAGGTGCTGGAAGTAGTGTGGAGATGTTATTAGCCTGAAGGGACCACCCTTAATTCCCATTTTGGAAACTTGGTGAAAGGGCTGGGGGCACACGTGGCTGCACAGTTCAGCTGATTCATTATAAGAGCTGGGGACGCCACCATCAAGTGGGGCTTGGCCTGTTCATCCCCAGGGAAAACAGAGGTTTTTACATCGCGCTCACTCTCTGCTGCAGCCGTACACACTGGGGTGGAGTGGGCTGACCCTCGAGGAAGGAAATTTGGTTTTCCGCATCTGTCCTTGGTGAGAGACCAAGGCTGCTGTGGGGGAGTGTCGAATCACGGCGTTCCCCAGCTGGCTGCGTGGTTTCTCAGTGAAAATTGTGCACTGAGGATGAGCTGCATGGCACCAGCCCTGCCCTCAGTGCGAGGGACGTGGCAGCTGCTTGCCATCGCCACTGAGCATCCCCTGGCTGTCAGGCTTTCACCAGGGAGGCCAGTGTAGGATGTGGCCGCGGCAGGCTTTTAATCAAATTGGCTGAGATTTCTCAAGGCCACCAAAGGAATTAAATTTATTTGCCATTTCCATTTAAAAGGAGTGCAAACTGGGCATGCACCTCCCTTGGGCATTGGGAAAATCTCTGCCCTTTGCCAGATAAACATTGCAATAAATAGATGCTTTCCCACGGTGACACTCTATCTTATGGGCATTTTAAAAAAGGGAGGAAGAAAGTAAAAAACCAACAAATAAACTGATCAGCCAGAAGCTGGTGGCATTTGAATAGTTACTCTGTAAATAAGCTGTGTGTGCCATGACACGAGGCACTGGGCTGCAAGCCTTTAGGGTTGACTCATGGAGGCGGGAAGCTCTCTGCCAGAGATGACGAATGAGCAAAGTGATTTTCTGTGTCCTTCTCCTCTGCCTTCCCCTGGCTGCCCCTCCAACCATTCATTTTTAGGCTGAAGATTTATAGGCCTGTGGGGCTCTTCTGCTGATGGAGTAGAGGGCTGGTAGTGTCCCACAAAGGGGTGACCGCTTGGCGTCTGCTGAGCGGTGGCAGGGGGTAGGGCCTGAAGAGCGGCCCATGAAGTCAAATGCCTCCACGCCCATGAAGCCAGAGGATCACGAGCCGTTGGGCTGTGTCAGGAAGGGGGCAGCTCCCTGCTTTGGTTCTTCTAGGAGGTTTTGGTTTATTTTGTTTGTATTTTCAAGGGGTGTGTGTCTCTTTTTCCTTCCCGCCCCTTGCCCCCCCCTTTCTCCCCCAAAGGCATTACAGCAGGGAAAAAATCATCCCTACCAGCACACCTCACTTATTCCCCGGGCAAGTGCTCATAACGCTTTCCAGCCTGGTTACAAGAGCCGTCCCTCCTTAGGGAGGTGAGCAAAGCCAGGTGAGGCTCAAGGAAACCTAGTGCAAGAAGGGAAAAAAACCCCACAGTATTTCCTCCAAAATAAGCTGCTGAGAGAATGATCTTTTAGAAAATACCTGCCAACCCCCAGCTTTGAGTGATGGGGTAACCAGCTCTCCTGTACCTTCGGCACTGGGGTGTCTGACTGCCTGGAGCAGACTGTTTCCCTTGTATCCATCACGATATTGGTGAGTACCCCTCAAGCTTGTGGGTGTGAGCAGGTTTTGCACAGCCCTTTGTGTCCTGGGGTCAACCAGGTGGACAGAGCGATAGGATTCGCTGTACTTGAGCAAGTTTTGGTAGGCTTTCCTCTTTCTGTTTTGGCGGAGAAGGTTAGAGGGTTGATTAGACCTGTAGTGAGTCACCTGGTGGCTGCTGAATTTCCACCTGAACATTTTGAAATGGCTGGAATTTGGGTTTGGAAGGAAAAATGCAGGGCAGGTTTGGGGGGCAGATGTTGACTGATTCAGGCCAGAGCTGCTGATACCAGCTCTCCTGTACCTTCGGCACTGGGGTGTCTGACTGCCTGGAGCAGACTGTTTCCCTTGTATCCATCACGATATTGGTGAGTACCCCTCAAGCTTGTGGGTGTGAGCAGGTTTTGCACAGCCCTTTGTGTCCTGGGGTCAACCAGGTGGACAGAGCGATAGGATTCGCTGTACTTGAGCAAGTTTTGGTAGGCTTTCCTCTTTCTGTTTTGGTGGAGAAGGTTAGAGGGTTGATTAGACCTGTAGTGAGTCACCTGGTGGCTGCTGAATTTCCACCTGAACATTTTGAAATGGCTGGAATTTGGGTTTGGAAGGAAAAATGCAGGGCAGGTTTGTGGGGCAGATGTTGACTGATTCAGGCCAGAGCTGCTGATACTGAAATTTAACAGGGTTCTATCCAATTCATTTATCCTATTAATTTAGTCAATGCCACCTAAAAAGAGCTGATGTCTTCAAAAAGGTGGAGGGCTTAAGGGTTTATTTGGTTACTAAAACTATTGTTTCTGAAGATGGATGAAGAGAGCATGTGTGCTTTCCCCCCGGCAACGTCAGGAGATGTAACATTATTCATCCAGCAAAGGGGAATGGGTCTTTGGGACCCTGTCTGACTATCCACTAAACAAGCATATATTTTTGGACAAGTTGTGTGACAGCTGTGCCTCAGTTTCCCAATCTGTAAAATGGTACCATCCTCCTCTGGGAAGCACAATTCATTGCTTGGAAAATGCTTTCAAACCCTTACAGGAAAATCTGCCCAGCCATGCAAGGTAGCGTATGCATACATGGTTTTTCTGTTCCTTGGTAACAAAACCCTAGAGAAATGATGCAAGCTGCTGTATCCATATTAAACTCTGTTACTGGCATCAGTGTTGCTTGTTCTGCAACGGTGTGATTTTTGGCCCTCAGTGCATGCTGAGCAGCATTTGAGTTGAATATCTCCTGAATGCTGAGCCTCCAAAACAACTGCTTAGAGTCTCTTGGCTTGCAAGAAAGGATCTTGCTTTAAGTAAGGCAAGATTTGCTGTGAAACGCAGGAGAGCTGCGGATGCCTTTTCCACAGATGCTGGCTGAGGTTGCAGCTGTGCGTGATGGTGCAAGAACACCTTGTGGTGCCAAAGCAGCAACACGAATTGACTCCCTACAGTAAGGTTATTGCATGGTCTGCCCTGGCCTCTCCGTGTTTCTTTTTAAATTAGCTTGGATGTAATAGCCCCGTGTTAATCACGCCTCACAAATATTGCTAAATTGCAGACTCCTGACCTTTGATTTGTGCCAAATCTTTCCCTAGAATAATTAATAGAGGCTTGGCTGGTATTTCCCCGACAAATGCCTCTATAAAATGGATTTGGAGCAATTCTCATCTATGCCACTGGAGATGAGAATTAAAGGGGATGGCAGGGTGGCCCGTGCTGTGTGCAGCGGGAGGAGGGACCGTGGGCTGGAGGCAGGACTGTGATTTCCTACAGTCTTATTGATACCTAGGTCCTGGCATGGGAGAAGGTACCCAAAGCCCTTTCCTCTCATCATTGTGCTGAGACCCACCCTGGGAAACACTTGGCAAAGCCAAGAAGCTTGGATGCTGCGTAAAACCGAGAGGAGTAGGTATTTTCCTTGCAAAGAAAGGTCTACTACTCCAGCAAGCCTTTTTCCGTATTTTTTTTTTTCCTGTCTCCTTCCCTTCAGCTGGAGAAATACAAGTTTCTGTCCCTCTTCAAAGGTTATGTGCTGGACACACACGGGCTGCAAAACCAACATATAGCTGGTGTTTGCTGTTGGAAGAGATCCTCAGTCTCTTGGTGCTTTCTTTGCTAACGAAGGCTTAAGTGTACCTTCTGCAAGCTTTAGCTGGGTGCTTTGTGTATCTTTTGATTGAATGGGGCTGTTCTTTTTGCTAGGGCCTGCAGGTCTCCCCAGTGGTCCTTTTCAACAGAGAATAAACAGTGTTTTATTTGAAGCCTGCATAACCTTTAAAATGGCTCATTCCTCCTCCTTCCTCCCCTGGGAAAAAGAGCACTGCGAGTAGACCAAAGCCTGAACATCCCCTGCCTGATCCCCAGGTGAACTTTCCAAGGGAAATTTCTGTCTCCAGAGACTCAGCATCTTCAACAAATCTCAGGAAAGCCCTCGCTGCAGCTTAGCTTTCGAGATTTGCATCAATGCTCCCATTTATCAGAGAGCAAGAATGAGCCATGCATCAAGTTTTGGAGCCAAGTAGGATCAGCGTTTTTAGTGGAGCATAGCTTTGGAAGAGAAAAGCCTTACTATGAATAATTAAGGGCTTAGGAGGCATCAGGCTCTCGGAGGGCTCTGCTGGCCTTTCCTTCGAAGCAGGTGGCTGGGTGTCTGTGAAGTGCTCTTGTGGGGGGATCAAACTCCACATGGGGTGCTGGTTGTGGGTTGTGTGGTGGTGATAACATGTTTGTGAATCCAGCCTTTTTACGATGGCTTTAGGTAATCTGGAAGCAAACGTGTATAATAAAGGTGGAGGGCATTTCTGTCTAATCAGCCAGAGACACAGGCTTTCTTTTTCCTCCCCCTTCCTCAGAAGAGATGAATAGGTATGGTGCAGGCTTATGCTAACAGGTGCAATTTCGTAGGAGTTTCACAGTCTCACTTACAGCATCTATTAAGCTTATTGCAGAAATGCCTCTTTTAAACATGAGTTACCCCTGTATTGTCTGATGAGAGAGAGGAGGCTTTTGTAAGCATGCAGGTAGGTAGCACTGTGTCTCTGCTCCCACTGTCACACTGGAGGAGCTGAAACGAGCAGTTGAGGCGATATTTCAAAGCTGGTGCTGAAGCATACAAGACTTCTGAGTACTTCAGAAAGTGGGGTCCTGTTTCTTTGTGCCTTTTTTTGTTTGTTTGGGAAGAAGCCTATAACAGCAATGTCTTTCTGATCTTCCTTTTTTGTGCTTTTAATACTGTTGATGTAACTGCTGCACAGTCTTTGAGCAATCTCTTCCTCGATCTTGCTATTTAACCCCAAGAAAAGAGGCAGGGGGGTTGTTTCCATGTGTGAATTGTTGTAATATTTCTTCACTTCATTATCATACATATTTTGTGCAGAAGCAATTTTGCTTCTTGAGTTTACTTCTTTGTTAAGTTACTGCGTGATATAAAATGTAGGATGTCGGAACTACAGGTTTGCTGATACACATGACAAGTCAGCACTATTGGCCAACCCCTTGCATTTAGAAATGGAAAAGGCTGTATGAGAAGTGTCTTCAGATGCTCTCTTGTTTTGCAGATACTGTAGCAAATGCTTCAGGTCCTTTACTAGTTGAAATAGCAAAGACTCCGGGGTCTACGCTAGGAATCACACTGATGACAACCATGCACCGGAACAAGCAGGTCATTGTCATCGACAAGATCAAGCCAGCCAGCGTGGTGGACAGGTACAGATCTGAACAGGCTGCTCCTAGCTCTGCTTTTCCTTTCTTTGCTGCTTTTTTGTCCCCTTGTTAGTTATATACCATTCTTCCCTGCCTCACCTTGAAATGGCCATGTCCACATGTTCTTAGCACTGAGCATGCTAAAAATATCTGACCCAACACCAGTGGACACTCCTCACCGGGAATGAATGTAACTCAGTGCATGTGAAAGCTGAGCTCTTGTTTTAAAAACCTCAGATCTGACTGCCCTGGAGCTGTGGAATGGCAAACGCCTATTCTGGAGACTTCTGGCTAGAGCCTTTTCCTGATGGGCAAGTCAGCTAGTCACCCTTTACATGGGGATGCAGAAAGACAGACTGTGATGCAGCCCTAGCTGTGGTTAGTCGTGTTGCTGAGCTGAACTGTTGGCTTGTACGACTTAGCTACACTGCTGGCTGAGCCCTCAGCCATCCAGACTAGCTATGAGTGGGCACTATTAAAAAGATCTTTCCCAAGCCACCAGCAGCACTGACTCAAGCATGAACTGTCTTAGTTGGTGTTTTGGGCAACGCTTGAACCTAAGGTTCAAATTGGAAGTAAAAAAAAATGAGATATGAAAAAAAATTCACATGAATTCACACAACAATTTATAGTTGGATTTTGTATGTTTCTGTTCCCAACTGTAAGGACATGGATTTTGGCCATGTGTATAATTACCTCTCTTGCTGTTTCCTTTGCAGATGTGGCGCGTTGCATGTTGGTGACCATATTCTCTCCATTGATGGTACGAGTACAGAGCACTGCTCCTTATTAGAAGCAACTCAGCTTTTAGCTGCCACTTCGGAAAATGTCAAGCTGGAGATATTACCTGTTCACCAAAGCAGGCTGCCTTTGAAGCCTCCAGAAACAGGTGTGTCCTCCGTGCAAACACTGTCGGTTGCCCTCAAAACTCACTTGAGGTCCCTACTGGGCTTCTTGCTGTTTTTGAATGCTGGCAACAGACTCCAAAGAGAGACATCTGTGGAGGAAAAAAAAAAATGATGTTTTGATGAAGTGCATGTGATTAGATGACATTCTTCAAGGATGTGAATAGGAAAAAAAGGTAACATCTGTGCTTGAATGGGGAAATTGGAGCTGGGAATCCCAGGATTTTGCAGTGCTGAGTGCTGTGCAAGCCGCTTCCTTAGTACCTCAGATAAGAGACTTTAATGGAGAGGGAGGAAAACAACCTTGGTGGTGGTAAACGTATTTCCAAGCTCAGTTTTCATTTGCTGATGCCTGGTAAGGTTTTGTAAAGGACATGTCAGTAGCTAGGCAGGATCCTGCTGGACTTCCTTAGGAAACAAAGCTGTAACAGAAGTGTTCATCTTCTGGACCAGCCTGTTTGAATGGCCGCTGTGTCTGAGGAGCCAGGGGTAGAGTGAATGCATCCGTAGCTGCTGCTTTCCACCACCCCCCACCAAAGAAATACTGGGAAAAAAATTCTATCTCCAGTGAAATCAAGCCCCAAATGCTTGTAAACATCATTAGGAATTCACCCTGATGAGCATCCTTGTTGCCTACCTTTAGTTTCTCCTTCCACGTGAGAGGCTGACTCAGGCTCTCATATAAACTTCATTGTGAACACAGTGTCAGTACTGGTAGATTTGTTGCAACTCTTGCCTTTGTTACAGTCCGCACTGGTGGTCTTGTAATTCATGTGTTTCAGGCGTGACTGTTCAGTACCAGCCCCTTTTGCAACCATTTTCAATCACTTGTCCCTCAGGAACATGCATTTTAATAATATTGGTGCAGAGTAGCCCTGGGCACAGCTCTTCTTTCCATTCTCTTTTAGGTTTGGGGAAAGGAAGAAAATATCTGTGCTGTCTTCTTTAACATGATGTGGTGAAACAAAATCTAATAACATCTCCATGTCTAGAAATAAATCTCTTGCATGTCCAGTCCAATTTGTGCAGAATTAAAGCATTTTAACAAAGGGGATGGATGACTTGACCTTTGTGCCCAAGAAAAAATGGAAAGCTATAATCCTTTTTCGATGGCTGTTAAAATGAACGATTCTCGTCCTTCCATTAGTGCCCTGGTCCTAATCTCCTTTCAGAATATATGCATTCAGCAGCAGCTCAGGAGAAGGAGGATCTGTGGAAGGAGAGCTCGGTGTGTTCAGAGCATTTTTACCCAAACCTCCATACATCAGATCAGTTTGCTGTGGCAGAAATACAGAACACAAACTTGGGACAATAATTGCAACACATGAATATGAAAAATAAGGGATATAACAATTGTTCCCACTTTTGATTAAACTCTTTAACACATGAAGGATAATAGGGAAGGATGCTGCTCATCTACATGGCTGTTAGGAGGCAGAGGTGTGGGGTTGGAGACCAGTGCTTGGGCTTGAACCTTCGCCAGTGCTGATGGGGATTGGAAAAGGGGGGTGGTGGGGACAGGAAGGAGAGTGCTTTGGGCAAGAGGAGCAGCTCACAAAGCAGTGCTCCTCAGTGGTGCAACCAGCCACGGCACTGTGCAGCCCATGGTGAGCAGCCGAGGAGCCAGACCAAAGTTGACAAACTGCGTTTGGATCTGGGAGAGACGCTGCTTTCTGCTGCAGACACCAAGTGCCAACTCCACAGGCTGCTTTTTCTGAGTTTAGGGAAACAAACAGGAGCAGTAAGGAAAAATGGGCCATGTAAAAGCAAACTGTCGTGGTTGGCAAGAGAGTGGTCTGGAAAGCAGCCAAGGAGAGGAGACCGTGCAGACGCATCCATGTTCAGCACTTGCATTACTGAGTTCTTTCAGTGTGTGCCTGCATGGGGCTTGTCATTATATTTTTTAAATGTGGCTTTTCACGCAATCAAAATCCAGTTATTGAGGAGGTGGAGGGGGATCTGAAGCTGCAGCTGCCATGCAAAAGTACAGTCTAATGCTGAAGCACGGGATTTATCAAACTGAGTTTGCTTTCTCTGTGGTGCTGGGGGCATTTGTGGGAGGATTACGCTCTGCTCACAAGATCAACAGGAGCGAATGGTGCCCAGGAGCGGTGCTGGGATGGATGGGTTTCCTCAGGCAGGGATGATGTGCAAAAGCTTGGGGAAGGCTGTTGTAGGTTTTTATCATAGAATTGTCCAAAACCTCATCTCTTCCCCAATGCACTGACAGCTGAGTTTCAAAGGCACTTTCTTCTGTTTTCAGATATGAGCTAAGAATTTATAGACAAATGGGAGAGTTTTAATTACTATAAAGGGATTAAATGATTTTGTATATATGCCTATAAGCTCTGTCCCTCATGTTCAAAGTGTGTAATTTTATTAAGAACTTTCCTTTTTGTCTAGATATAGCTACATTTATTAATTTGATTTTTGTTTTTAAAAGCTGCCTGGCTCTGAATTTACTTTTGAATCCACAAAGTAGAAACCCCGGAGCTGAAAGTGTATTTTTTAAGAGCTTGATAGACTAAGTGCTAAACTCACTAAATGTTTAGCAAAGACTAAATATAATCACTATATTGGTTGGAAAACCTGACCTGAATGATTTGATGCCTGTGATGCATGCACACAAAATGGATTTCCACTGTTAAAGGTACTAACAGATGACCTTTAGATGAGATCTCTGGGTGGACTCACTAAATAAACTGGGTCCCTGTCCCAGGTTTGCACCTTCAGAAAGCTCTGGTAGTACCAGCGCTGGCAGCGTTTCTGCCTACTTGGAGGACACAGAGCCTGGAGGAGATCTCATCCTGGAAAGGTGGTTGCCAGTCAGTGCAAGTGGTTGCAAAGTTAAGAGCTCTGGGATAACTCGTGGCTCCAGTGATGCTCCACTGTGGGATGCCGTTCATGCTTAGCTGAATAAAAGAGGCACTTGCAATCTTGCTCGTTAGCCAGCAATTCCTCTTGGAAGAAAATAGATCCAGACAGCATGGTGCAGAGATTTGGGAGAGAAAATCCAGTGCTGCTGGGCAAGGAAAACCAAACAGACCCTGGGCTGCCCAGGGGCAAAAGGAGCGTCAGTGAGAACAGGCAAAGGACCTGTGCCTGGGAGGATATTTGAGGCACTCCAGAGGAGATCTGTGGCATCGTGACCTGATGTCACAAAGCCACAGTTCCTGGGACAAGGGATTTCCAGATGGTGAATGTCATGCTGCAACAGATTTCTGCCAACATGTGCTGGGCTGGGGTTAGGGTTGAAGCTAAAGCAGTTGTGTGGCCTTGAATAGAGTCTGACATGTTGGTGCCATGCTTTAGTTTACTGTTTGCCGCAGCGTTGGCACCTCTTCCTGTGTCGGTGGCCCTCTGTAATTGCCTTTAAGCAGTGGTGTATACAGTCCCTTTTGTTCTGGTGAGCTGGAGGTGGCCCTCCACTACTCCTCTCTTTCATCCATATGTGCACCCTGCGATGGATTCCTGGCCAAGAGCAGCCACTAAACAACCAAATGCTGAAGCCAAGCAAAGTGCTCAAAGCAGCCCTTGGCATGTGCGGAAGGTGTTGAGCCTTGTCCCCGGGAGGGCAGCTCCAGCAGCAAGGTGGGAAACAGCACAAGGAGGTTTCCCCAGTGCTGTTGGATAATGCTGATGGCCTCTGTGGGAAATTTGTGGCTGGAGGGAGCTTCTGCATGTCGCACAACAGACTGCAAATGGTAATGACATCTGTGTGCTGCCAGCATGGCTTAGTCAAGCCGTTGGCTCAGGATGTGGAATTTTTTATGGGGAAGGGGTGGATATCTGCCACTTTGCATCAAGCGTCATGAGGTTACGTGGGGATGCGTTTTTGCTGCTGGTGCTTGATGCACTGTGGCTGGGTCCTGACTTGTTCAGAGCTGGTATGAGGCTCTTTTCTACAATCTCCTGGCTTACGCTTCTTACCTTTTCTTTCTCTCACTTCTCCCTGCCTGTGGTGAATTCTGCTCCCCTGGGTGCCATCAGTCAAGGTGCAGAAGAGCGACCACCACCATTGCTGGGACCCCTGTGTCAACTACTGTCACACCCACCACCCCGGGCACTGTAAGACGCCCACGTGGAACCAGACGTCTGGACAGGATTACTGCAAATGTAACCCCAGCACATGGCATTGCCCCCATCCCTGCGCGTGTTCATTCATGTTGTTCCCCTTCATTTTCGTAATACCCAACTCCATAGCCACAAGTGTCACTCGTTTCCTCCTTGGTCAGCTGGGACTGTTTTCACAGGTCCAGTGCTGAGGTGCAAAATCAGTATCTGCAGCCCAGCATGTGCAGATCTGGTAACTGAAGTGAGAGCGGTGTGCTGGGCAGACCCATGCTCCCATCTTCTAACCGCGTACCCCAGTGCCACGTTTCATACGGCAAGGGCAAAAATGAGTTGCTGTGGGACAAGGAGGGCAGTTCTGGTGGCATGTAGGAACGTGATACGTCAACGCATCCAGCTCAGCCCTGGTGCCACACAACATGTTAGCAGCAGGATTACAGCTGCTTCAAACTCTGTCTGTAAGCCCACCTCTTGCAGGAAGCAGGCTCTGTTCAGCCCCAGGTTTCTTGTCTTATGACAGTAAGATAAGGAGGAAATGTTACGCTGTGTGTTGGGAAGCAAACAGGGCAGCCCAGCTGCCCAGCAGCTCAAGTTCAAGCTGTGGTTTCTCTTTCTATGTATTTAAGGTCTGTTAGTGCCATCGTGCCAACCTGCTGTTGGCTGTCCTGCATCCATGATGCACTTCTCACCTGGTGGCCTGGATGCTGCAGTGACAGGCAGCCCAGGCACTGGAGTCACTGCACACCAGACAGCAATGTCCATCTTGAGCCCAAGCTCACTCTCACAGCTCTCCTGGAGCTGCAAGCCCAGGACAAGGTTCTCACCTCAATCTTGAGCCCTGGAGCTGGGAAGAAGGAGCTAGTCCAAACACATTAAGCGTTTGATGAACACCCATTAGATGAACCCGCTGCCGCACTTCTCTGCACACATCCTTAACACGCTCTGTATTTCCCCAGCTCTGGTGGCTGCCAACTTCTCGTCTCCCACCATGACTGCGCAGGGCTTCCCCTGCCAGAACTCGAACACACTACCTCGCAGCTCCCACCCCATGAGCCCCCGCACAACCATGCTGAGGAGGAGGCAGAAGAAGAAGGAGCACAAGAGCTCACGTAAGAGTGGTGGTGGGCTGGGGCTGGGTTGCACGGGGTGTGCATTCTTGCCTTGCTGTCCTTATTGTTGACTGTTAGCCAGGATAGGACCGCTCATCTCAGCACTGTCAGTGCTTCCCTCATCCTCGGTCACTGTCCTCACCACCACCAGGCTGAGGTCTGTGACCAGACCTGCTACGCTGACCGTGGCTACCCTGACCTTCTGCCTCTCTCCTTCTCTCAGTGTCGCTGGCCTCCAGCACAGTGGGTCCTGGTGGGCAGATAGTCCACACGGAGACAACAGAGGTGGTGCTCAGGGGAGACCCATTGAATGGCTTCGGACTTCAGCTCCAGGGAGGCATCTTTGCTACCGAAACCCTGTCTTCCCCACCTCTCGTCCGTTTTATTGAGCCCGACAGCCCGGCAGAGAGGTTAGAGACCTTGCCCTTGGATGCTGATGGTGCTGCTGCTGAACATTTCATGGTTTGGTTTGTTTTCTCTCCTCAGAGGCTCATTTAGATATTTACTATCATCCTTGTAATATCTCCCATTCTTCACTGGGCATGGTTTACTGTCACTGCCATTTCTGCACTCGTCGGCTGACCGTGGCCTCCCTCACATCCCAGGTGAACGTCTTGGCACCAGGCTGCGGCTGTTCTGGGAGGAGGAGGAAGGGAGAGTGTGTCTGTGTGAGAGTGCCATTCCCATTCCTTTTTTTTTCCCTTTTCTCTTTGAAAGATAAAGCTTTTGCCTGGGTGCAGAAAGGGGAAAGATCTAAACACAGTGCCCAGCAAAGTGTTTTCTGCCTGCTTTCATTATAGCAGAGCCCAGCTAATAAATTGGCCTAAAAGCAAGGTTTTGAATCGCAGAGGAGGGCTCTGGTTGAGGAGCAGGTAGGTGCTGCATTTAAGCACTCTTGCTTTTGGCTCTCTAATGCTGGGAAAAGAGCAGAACGGAGGAGCAGCATTAACTGCTGAGTGTCACCCCCCGGGGATACCAGGAACAATGACTCCTCCGGTGGCTGAGCCTCAGCTAAGGAGCTCTGGCTGCTCTGGCTAAACTTTTTCCAATACCCTTGCTGGCTGGATTTAAAGTCTGCTCAAGTGTCTGTGCACTATGATGTAGATGCTCCCTAGCAAGGTTTCTCTTACTAAACAGACCAGGTCCTAGCATGGCTTGAGCTCTTCTGGCATGGAAAGAAGAGCTGGTTTCATTAGGCAGATGAAATGGCGAGGGGTGAGTGAGCTGGCACTTATGACCCTGTGCTGGTTTCTCTTCCCACCTGTGATTTCCACTGGTGGTCCGTCCTGCCTAGGGGTGCCTGAGGTGCAATGACATGGCAGTGCTCAGTGCCTGCTGCAAGACCTCTCCTTGGGAGGAGAAGTCTCCAAGGGCCTCATCAGCATGTGCTGATGGTTTGGTGTCCCCAGGCCAGCCTGGGAAAACAGCGCATGGGGGAGTTGTATGTCAGGGAGAGCAAATGCAAAAGGAAATGCAAGTCCTTGCCGTGCAGAGCGGTTTCTGGGTGGTAGCTTCTCCAGGCGGCCGATGCAGAGGCAGGGAGGAACATGAGTGCCTGGCGCTTGTGTCTGTGGGAGGACAGGGACAAGGGACTGGCACAGGAAAAAGAGTTGTCCTGAGTGATACAGGTTAAGAGAGATTTCAAAAGCCTTTTATGCCTTTTGTTTGTTTGTTTCCAAACGGTTTAAAAAGGAAAGGGATGGTGGTTTATTTTTTTTATCCTCTATTACCAGGGTGAATTTGGCTTACATTGCAAAGCACCAAACTCCTTTGATAAATCAGGCAGCAACAAAGCCTGCTGTCCCAGGGGAGGAGGGAGATGTGCTGAAATCTGCCTGGCTTTGTTTCATCCTTTTGCCAAGCCTGGAGTAAAAGCAAAGACTCACGGTGCAGTCTTGCTTGGCTCTAATGCGTCACACACGCTGCTCTCCCTCTCGGCTGCCCACCCAGCAGGATTCGCGCTCTCCTGGCTGCCGCTTTCTGGCGACACGGAGCAATCCTCTCTGCGTTTGCAACCTGGATTTGATTTGGGGATTAAACTCTGCTGTGTATTTCTTCATTTCCTAGACCGTGCTGCTCTTCCTAGCTGGCAGGAAAACACTGTCTTTCCTCTCCATGTTGGAGTGATAAGTGCACTGGGTTTGCAGCGAGGTGAAAAAGGCAGTTTTATGTTTTCATTTCACTTTTTGTTTCTTGCTATCCCACAGAGCTTGTTTGCTCTATCCTTCCTAGATACCTTATTCCCTGCCCTTGAGAGGTTCTGCTGTAACTGTAGCCCATGACATTAGAGCCGTTTTTCTCCCCTTTACCAAGCCGGGCTCTCGGCTGAGGCTGGGCTGTGCTCTTTCTTGTGCTGTAGTTGTTGCCCTTTGCAAAAGAGGGTGAGCGGTAGGGATACAGGGATCAGGCTCAGCAGCCTGAGTCTGTCCTGCATGTTCACACGCTCCTGTGCAAGACCTATGAATGAATGTGCTGTTGCACAAAGGCATGATCCACAATTGCTTCGTCCATCTGGCTTGGCATGGAGGAGCTGCCTCTTGGGTGTCTAGCAAATTTGAGTGCTACCAGGGAGGAGGACGGTATCACCCTCTTTTCAGGGCTGCCTCACATTTATTATCTGGTTCGTGCTAGCTTGTGGCAGGCGGTTTGAAGCAAAAGCTCTCACCTCCCTGACTTGTGATTTGTTTTACAGCCAATAGCCTCTAATAGACCTTCCTCCCCACCTGTTGTTTTGTTTCCTGGGTGCAAGATGAAGCCTTTGGGCTCCAAATGAGACAGTGATTCAGCCCCTGTTATCAGCAGGGAGGGTGGAATAGGAAGATGCCTGATGTCCCCTCTTGGCTGCCTTGAAACACGCAGCTTTTGTGTCCTTCCTCCCCCAGTTGTCATTGATAGTAGTGGGAGAGTATCTGGCTTCTCCATCGTGGTATCCAAAGTCAGTGCTTCCTGCCGAGTTACATGTTTCCTAGCTCTGCTCAGGCACAGTTGTTTGATCATTGTGTTTCTGGCTTTTGAGTATGAATAGTTTGCAAAAGGAAAGTTTAGCAGCTGGGTGAAGCTGTCAGCAAAGCTTTGATCTTTTGGGGGCTGGGACCCACCCATCGATGTGCAGACATGGATGTACAGACATACACAGATGTGCACGTCTGACCTGTGCAGGCCAACTCGGGGGCGTATAAGGACATGGTCACAGCTGCTGCCGCTCACCCCACAGCTGGAGTGACCACGCAGATGCTGATGATGCTGAGTGAGCGCATATCCTGCCCGAGGCTTGAATTTGTGCTGCTCTGCATCTAGCAAGACACCTCCACTGCTCCGTTGCTGTCTTTGAGCCCAAGGAATGAGTCACGACAAAATGCAAATCTCTGCAACCCCAGGGAGACATTCCCATCAGGTACTCTAACACATCCAAAGGGCTGTCTTTCACTCCGGGAGATGCCTGTGCTCTTGTTCTTTCTGATTTTAAAGCACTTCTCCTCCCATGATCTCAAAGCACTTTGTGAGCTCTGATGTTAGACTCTGAGACAAATGCCGTCTCTTTGGGAAAGCCATCTAAAAGGTTTGTGTAGGATCCCACAGCAGAGCCAAGGAGAGGTCTGCAGGAGCCTTGACTCCCACTGCCCTGCTCCCAGTGCAAGAGCATATGACAGTTGGAAACTGGTGTCTCCGGAATTATTCTGAAGAGTTAAAAAGCACGTTGGGTCTCCTTGCCCTCGTGGAGGGAGACAGAAGGTTGTGGCTTCACTCCACAAACTTATAAACCTGCCAGACTGGGGCTTAAACAACCATGATTGACTGAGGCTAATAGTAAAGAAATAAAATACTTCTGACCTAACAGAGCTATTGGCTGTAAAACACCCAGGGAAATCTCCCTTGAGTGAAGAAACACAAGAAATGGTTGTTTTGTGAGAAGGCAGCTCTGGTGGGAAAGGTGGCAAATGTTTGCTTTGATGCCGAGTAAAAGTATCCTGTGATCTCCCAGCCCTTGTGGCTGAAACAGTGGTGCCAAAATGGATTGTGTCCTTGTGTGACCTTGAAATGACAGTGATGTCTGTGTGATGCTGATGTTGATCCCTCCTTTCCGAAAGGTGCATTCTGGCCCTAACAAGAGCGCTCTCGGTGCTGGAGGTGGTGTCTCTGTCGTACTCCTTGCCATCTTCATATTTATAAGCTGATATTTCCAAGCGCATCTATGTGGCTGCATATCCACAAGTCCAGTAAAGAACTGTAATTAAACTTGATATAGTTTATTCTCAAGGGTGGATTCATTTATATACCGTGGAGTTGTCTGTCCTAATCTAAGTCTCCTTGAACAAACACTTCTGAATTTACATCTCATAAAATAACCAGTGTTTTTCCATGGGTGGCATGAACTCCGGCAGCAGTGTAAATATACTGCAAGTTTAATACCTTCCTACCAGTAAAATAACCTTCCTAGGCTCTCTCCAAACTTGCTCATATCTCAGCTTTTGATGGGCAATCGGCAAAAACTGTTGTGCTTGTGCATTTTTATTGAATTTGGATGTGTGCGTTTTTTCTTGATAACCTGGCCTTTCATATATGTCTTGTTGTTTGGAGGTGAATAATACAGCCAGTGTCCGTTGCCTTTGATGTTATCTTCGTGTGCCCAGAAGCTGCGGTACCATGTTTTCTTACAATTGAATCGGGTATGAGTGATGAAGAGTGGCTGGAAAGATTAGTAAAAAACAAGCTGTCTTCCGTGAAATATCAGTGGAAGCCGACATCTAGAAAGGAGAGGGCAAAGGATGTGCTTGATCATTAAAGAGCAGGGGAATAAAGATTCTCTGGAGAAGGCTCAAAACAGGATAGCTGATGCCTTCTGGGAAATCTTTGTGGTAAAATAATTCCAAATGTAGAGGTGAACCTTAGACTTGTTCCCATAACCCTCAACCTATTTTGGAGACCACTCTGTAGCTTATGTTAATGATGGAGGAGGAATGGTTTCCCAAGCTCTGCTCAAGTGGGCAGCCTTATAGACAGGTGATGAGTGGAAAATCTGAAAAGATGTGGTTATAGCAAACAACTGATGAAGGGTGTGGAGGAGAAGGAAGATGAGCAATTGCCCATGGCCAGTCACAGGGGACATTACACTCTTTATTTTGTAGAGCCATGGGCCAGCTCAGTAAGGTGGAGGATTGTCTTGCTAGTGTTACAGTATATTTAAAAAAAAAAAAGAAGGGAGGGTGAATATTGAATGTAGTCACTCGTGTGGAAAAAAAACTTGCTTATAAATACAGAGGGGTCCCAAGAGACAAACCATGCTGTAGGAGTATATATCTCCAACATAGCCTTGCCATCATTGCTTTTCTTCCAAAGTAAAAAAACCTGCTGATCTGTGCTGTTGGAGAAAGTGGGTCTAAACCAAAAGTCCCAATGTGCCAGTTGCGGTTACATTGGCGGGATAACGCATCGGAATAATACTGGCCTTTCAAGGCAGTTAAACAGTATCAATGTACATTTGGCTTCCAGAAATGCAATTACAAGGGATAAATGATTATCCAATTTGCTGAGACATTTCAGTGAGTTCATTGGATTGTAGCTTCAATATTAGCCATGTATTAAGCAGAGGACTCCATGCAATTTTCAGTGCCATTAGTTTGGGTTTCAGAGGGCAGAGGCACATGGAAAGAGCCATATACCGTTAGATAGGGTAGGAGGGCACATGCCCTTGCATTTACCACTCTCATCTCTTGGCCATGGTGTTGACTTTTAGGAAGGTGAGGGTTACTTTTTTTTATTCCTGGAAGTTGAAGGAAATATGACCAAAAAATGATTATTTAGTAGCAAACTATGTCTGAACTTAAGCAAACCACAAGGGTTTGCTGCTCTGTGACCTTCCAGGGGCTCTTGGCACTGGGACGGGCATTGCAGAATGAGTTATCTTCTCTTTGGGGCCACTTCTGCAGGATTTGTCACAACTCTGTCTGTCTTGTAACAGATTTGCCTGGTAAAAGTAACTCATGGCTGCTTGTGGGGTTGTTTTTTCTCCTTTCCTCTTTTTCCCTGCCTCCTTGTCCCCTTTCCCTCTTTTCCCAATGTGGACTGCAGGTGTGGGCTGCTGCAAGTAGGAGACAGAGTCCTTTCTATCAATGGCATTGCAACTGAGGATGGGACTATGGAGGAAGCTAATCAGCTTTTGCGTGATGCTGCGCTCACGAACAAAGTGGTGCTCGAGATTGAATTTGATGTCGCAGGTACGTTGCCAAAGGATTGCTGCTCCTCACTACCAGCAGGACTCTGCCAGTGCCTTTGCTAACCCATAGGAGGGAGTATATTCACACAGATAGATGAGGTTTTTGCTAGAGTTCAGAAGAGAAAGTGAGAAGACCCTGTGAGGACCTTTGCCATTTCTTGTTCTTCTCTAATGTGCACCAGGATGGAGGGTCCTTCTTCTGATCCTTTCATAAGGATCCTTGTGCTCACCACTTGGCTGAGATAAGCCTAAGTAGTAGATGAAGAGGCCACCTGCACTTTAAATATTTGCCCATTAATATGAATAGTATTTATATTAATTTATGGCCTTGAAGCAAGGAGGGAGCCAAAGCTATTGGCTGGGGCTAAAGTGCAACTTTGTCTTAAAAAAAAAAGTTTTTTCTTTTTACATTGACAGAGCTGCCTCAGTATTGAAATACAGCGTGATGTGAGCACTTCACTTGACGTTCAGAGCATGTATTTTTAATGAGAATCCAAATTTTAACCTGAAGTACACAGGGCCTCAAATAACAACCTTATTTGAACCAATAAAGCTGAGGTTTTATGGGCTTGTTTTTCTTGGTTCCAAAGAAACCATCCATGCAACTGAAAACTCTCTTTTCTCCTATTTTCTTTTTCATCTGTTTTTGGTTTTATAGAGTCTGTCATACCCAGCAGCGGTACTTTCCATGTCAAATTGCCCAAGAAAAGGGGTGTAGAGCTTGGAATTACAATCAGCTGTAAGTATTGCTCAGACTTGTGCTAGCAGCTGCAAGAACTGCTGCTTTCCACCCTAGCACTTCAGAGGGACCCAGTGGAGAGAGAGAAGATTACATGGGGTTTCCTGGTAGTGCTCGCAGTGCTTGTGATTTATCCCAAGCTGAATCAGTTGTGTGGTTCCTCCCTCCACGAGCTGGTGGCCGCAGAGAAAAGCAGCTGCATGAAGGGTTGGGGCAAAGGATGTGTCTCAACTGATCAGTTGGTCTGTGCCACGGGCTAATATTATATTCTATTATTAGTAATATTATTTTTATTTCCTTGCTCACAGTTGTATTATTTTCCTTTTAAAAAAGAATTGCCTGGGTCTAGTGGGACACTTGCAGGGAGAGGTGGAGGGAGGAGAGCAAGTGTGAGGTGAACCCACAACTTGAAGGGTAGAGAGGGGAAACTGCCAAGAGGAGGAGGAGGATGAAGAGGGTGGCTGGCCTTAGAGGTGGGGGGAAGGCACTTTAGGGACAGGAGGGTGCTGGGCAGGGTTTGCCGGGAGTCCTTGCATTGACTAACCCCAGCCATGGAGGAGGAGATCCATGTGCCGGGACTTGATGGGCACTGAGAGAATGAGACACAAACCTTTTTCTTTCTTTTCTCTCTTCTTTGCTCACTCTTGATTAATTATCTTTGTTTCCCTTCTGAAGCATATTTTTCATTTAAAGACCTCTTGGCCTCTTTGGAGGGGATGCTGTAACGGGATGATATAGGCAGATCCATCCCAGATTTCTGGCCAACTAGGGGTCTTGTTATGCCTTGCATCGGTGAACTTTTCCTTTACGGCAAATGTGAGCAGGTCTCTCATCACTCATCCCTCTTTCACTGCTGGGTAAACTGAGTTGAATCATCTCAGATTTGCCATGCCCAGAGGCTGCCACCACCTCTCAGCTGAAACAAAGAAACTTGTGAGACTGCAGTCTAAGCCCTTAGGAGCGTGGACCCAGCTGTGTCTGGGGAATGGAGTCGCTAGGGACACTTTAAAACTAGGTTTCATTAAAATAGATAAGCTACTTATAATTACCTCTTGGCATTTACAGCATTAGTCAGCGAGCTAATTGGAGATGTTCTGGTCTAAGTGCGGTGATTCTCAGGAGTAACTTGAACATCGACAGGGTGATGGTGTTGCACCCTGTGTTATTTCTTCGCCCTCTTCCCAGCTTCCCCTATTTGTGCCCCGAGGATAATCCTGAGAAATAACAGCACAGTATTTAACATTTGGCTTGGTAGCAGTTACTGTCTGAAGACATCAAAGTGCTTTCTGAAGGCAGCGGGGTGCCCGTAATGACATTTCACTGACGGGGGAGTGGGGCACAGTGCAGCAGCCCAGCGAGCACTGGGTTCCCAGCCTGCTGCCCTGCCCACTGTGCTGGCATTGCAATCTCAGGTAGCAACCTAGGATGATGGATCTGGTAGCAAAAAACTTCTGACTTGAGCATGGCTGGGGTTTCACCCCATTTAAGCTTCAAAGCTTAGTCTGTATCTGGGGTTGGAGAGCAAAATGAACCTGGGAGTTGCCAGCAAGAATATTAGTTTGTATTTGTGGAGTCTCACTTAAATGGGATCTCCTTCAGATGTGCATTTACACTTCAAACGTATTTTTATGTTGAAAATGTTTTCATTTGAAATTTGTTTAAAAAATTGACTTCACGCACTTTTTTTTTAAATCACCGCTAAATAAAAAGAAACTGGCCCCTGGGTTTTAATTTGTTAGATACCTATTATCCAACTACAAAGCAGTTTTTTAACAATATAATAGATTTGATCTTTTTGATTGTTGAACATGTTTGCAGGACATTGTTTAAGTAATGCAGATGCATAAACTTAAGATATATTTCAGTCCTTTGCTGAGTCAAAGCCAAAATTATATTTACAAATGGAGCAAAAGATAGCCGTCCAGAAAATGTGGTGGCAAGGATGAAATGCTAGTTGAATCCTAATTCTGTTTTCATATATTAGCCTGTATAAGCCTATGTCCGCATGACCCTTAGCAAATTAGATCATCATTTTGTCACTCTGCCTGGGCAGATAAATATACCAGTTTCAAACATTAAAACTGAAGCAAGCAACCTTATGGTAAGTACCTCCTGCAGAGACATGATGTGCATGCAGGAGTGTGATGCAAGCAGCAAGAGAAAAGAGGTAAAAATAACTCTGTTTTGCTCAGTTCCTCCGAGTTCTGCTGATTTGAATGCTTGTATAGATCTAGAAACAGCCTGACTGGGCAGATAAATATACCAGTTTCAAACATTAAAACTGAAGCAAGCAACCTTATGGTAAGTACCTCCTGCAGAGACATGATGTGCATGCAGGAGTGTGATGCAAGCAGCAAGAGAAAAGAGGTAAAAATAACTCTGTTTTGCTCAGTTCCTCCGAGTTCTGCTGATTTGAATGCTTGTATAGATCTAGAAACAGCTTTTATAGCTTTTCTTCTGACAAGGAAAAGTGTATAACTACTGTTTTAAAGTAGGGGACTTGGTTTACTGGCCTCCCACATTGGATTCCTGTTCCCTGCTCTGTGAAACTGGGGCAGGTTAAATAGATGACAAGCTGGAGGGGTCAGTAGAAGACTGCGCTGTTGTGGCCACAGAATTGGGTTTGTTCATAAACTTTGTCATCCAGCTACACTGTAGATGAAAGATGAGTTGCTTTTGTTGGGTTTTACCTCTTGGCTTCAGCAGGCTCATCTGTAGTTAATTCCTCTGTCTAGGAAGGTTTGCTGCTGCCTTCTTACACGGGCAGAAAGTGTTACGACCTCATCGGAGGAGCACTACAGAAATAAAAGCTATCAAGTTCTTGCTGTGCTGTGGCTCTCAGAGCTAATCGGGAGATGAGCTAAGTAAAGGGGGGGAGAGCTGGGTTCTTGATGGATGCGTTGGAAGAATTTGTGTAATGGAGCTGGCTGCAGGAGGAACCATAAATCTGCTGGAAAGCCTCATGAAAGGGCTGAAAACCCAGGAGGTTTTTGTATGAGGAGGGCAGGCGCTGCTGGTTCTGGGATGAACATACAGAGAGGGTCTGTGCTTGCTCCTGGTGAGGGGTAGATGTTTGCTGAGGGCACTCATCTTCTCCGAGGTCTCTGAGTTTGCTAGAAAGAGAAAGCTTGGGCTAGGCGAGCCCCCGGTTGTGGTCTGTGCGCATGGCTGGGTGCGCACAGACGGATTTCTTCCCCCTGCTCAAACACAGCGTGGCAAAGGGATGCAGCAAATTAAGACGCATGATGCAAATATTTGCATATAGCATTATTTCCTCTTCCATTCCCTAAAGGACAAATAGGAAATCCAAGGGGTGAGTCTTTCACTGGCTCTGCTTTGTATTTCTGTGGCACCTCGGTGCCCTCAAGCCTCATTTCAGTCTCCTACGTTTGCTAAATGAAAATTAGCAACGTAAAACACCAAAGCTGCCTTGTGTGCACTGCTTCCTTGCACTTCGTCCAGGGGTGAAGGGACAAGCAGCCAGCAAAATCGGTCTCCTTTTCTCCATACTCCAGTGCCGCGGTTTCTGTCCCAGGGAGAAGGCTGCTTTTATTTGTAAAACAGCAGCTCTGCTTGAAGAGCGAAGTGTGCACTCCTTTCTGCTCCACGAGGTTCAAAGAGCTGTGTGGGCTGTGAAGCTCAACTGTTTGCGCAGAGACCTCTGAGGTGCTCTGAATAGTGGGGATGCAAAGACATGCAAACTGAGATTTTTGACACAGGGATGTGAATATTTGGCTCTTGTTAGCCTGAACTACTCATCTCCGTTAGCAGAACACATGCCATAAGTGCTCTGGTTTTGCTGGCTGCTTTCAGTTCTAATGATACAGTTATGCCTTTGTTAGGTTTTCTGTAAATCTCTTACAAATTAAAATCTCCAACAGCAGGAAGCTAATAGTCATGTATTCTTGTATGTTCAATACCTGACCTCTTAAAATAAGATATGGATTTGTTATTAGCCTCTGGAAAATGAGTGTTGATTACACAAAAGATTGCTTTTTGTGGTTTTTGTGTTGTGTTTTTTTTGTCTGTCTCAGTTGATTACACAAAAGATTGCTTTTTGTGTTGTGTTTTTTTTGTCTGTCTCAAATATCCTCTCCAAGGGCTAGTTGTGAAATTCGCTGCAGGGTACAGGTGTGTTGTTGTTGCTGTTTAAACAGATATTGAAATTACCATTCATTTTAGCTATGTATTAATGCTTTATATAGTATGTTTATCAAATTACCTTTATATATCTTAACAAATCAATTCCTGTGCCCTTGCTGTGAAGTACTGCAGATAAGGAGTAGGTAATATATCTGCTTGCGGGTGATAAAACCGGAATTTGGATAGATAGATAACTTTGATTAAGTTGCTTAAGCAGTGTAATCACTGTCCTGGCAAGAAGATGGATCTGTGAGCCTAGCTTTGCTGGTGCTGGATTAACCTGGGACCTGCCGCCAGCCCGGCAGAGCGCAGCTGCAAGCAGCAGTGTGCCCGGCAGTCTCCTGTCCTACCCCCTCACTAACACTGCAGCTTCAACTGAGATTTGCAGCTGATTCACTCTGGTGCTTTCACTGAAGGGAGATATCCTGTCCTGGTTTTGCTACCTGGAGATTTTGAAAGGAAATAGATCTGCAGCGGGGTAAATATCCTGCTGGAGGCACTGATAATTTATGCACCTGCTAAAACTAATGAATGATAGAGGAAAAAGTTGGGTATTGGGGATTTGATTTTCACTGCTGCTTTTTGTAATCGATTCTGATTTGCTTTTATTCCTCTTCTCATTCCTTAGCTATCCCAAGATTATTGGGTTTCTGATTTTGTTTGGTTTTTCCCCTTTATAAATGTTTGCTTTCTTAAATGTATTCTTATGGCATTATTACAGTTTCTTTAATTACACATTAGCAGAGTTCTGCTTTGGGTTGGTCAATAACGAAGGGCATTTATAATGGTTGAAGCGTTGATGTGTGTGAGATATGTGCTCGTGTTCCTTGGAGGGGAATAATTTACCAATATGAGTCATTATGCATTCTATTAAAAACACAAACTGGACATGTGTTTCTGGCCTTGTCATCCATCACAGAGTAAACGCCGAGTGAGCCAGAATCCCAGCAGAGGTGGCGAGAGACTGAAAGCGATTTATAAAAAGTAAATAACAGTATTGATCAATTCACCTTTTTATCACTGCCCTGTCACCACCGCCAAGCAGTGTTTTCATTTTGAGTTTCTCCCCCACCGCACGCTTCTGCCTTCACCAGCTGTTGATTTATGGAGCTTTCTCTGGGCCACTGGAGCAGATTTAAACTAACTTTTGTACTGGTAAACCCACCAAAAATACAAATGTATCTGAAAAAGAGCCTACTTCCACCTGAAGTGGTTTGCCCTGGTAGATGGAGACCACAACCAGAGCGCCTGCCAAGAGAGCATGGGTTTCTGCACACCAGCTTCTGCTTCTGTCTCTCCATCCATCTTTTCCCTCGACTCCCTTTGCTGCCGTCTGTGTTTTACAGACGGGAAAGCAAGACCCAGAGAGGCAAGGCTGGGCGTCCGAACTGTCTTCCTGCAACAAACAGAATTACCAAGACAATGTCCTTTGAAGAGAAATAACCACACTGGCAGCAGAAATGAATGGATGAAAAGGCTTTACTCATCTGTTCAAGTGTCTTAACTCTAAAGACCACAGCCCTAATAAAATAATAATGTAGTTTAAGGTTGGTTTTTTTTTTAACTGCAGGCAAATTGGAAATGGTTTATGTAAAATCTCACCGGTGATCTACGTATCTAATGCCTCTGACCTAGACTGAGCCACCGCTTCAGTGACATTGCAGCTCTCCTGTCTGTAGACAGGGCAGCCGTTACGCAGAGGCGCGTTGTTACCCTGTGTGAACAGCCCAGGACTGTTAAAAACGTGGGTCCCAGGGTGGCTGGGACGGTCGGGGGCAGCCTGGTCCCAGCTGATGGGCAGAAAGCCCAGCTGGGTGCTCTGCTGCGGTGCTGGGAGGGGCTTTGGGGTGCCAAAGGTGAATCAATGTAGTTAGTAACTACTGGTTTTTAAAATGAACAGCAAGTGACGGTTCTGTGCTTTGAGATTTCATTATCTTAACTTCGTATCTTATGCCTCTTGAGACAGAATAATTATTAATTAAGTCTCTCTAACTTACCCTTCAGATTTTTAGGTGCTGACTAATAATGATGGTTTTATAAAGCCTTTCCATTTTATACTAAGTGATTATTTAAAACAGAGGGCTGCCATTTATTAAAGTTTGCGTACTCTGGTGGTAGGGACAGTTGTATGCGGTTGTACATGGCTCTTCCATTTAACTGAAGTCTCAAGAAAATCCTTTGGAAAGCACAACTTCCAAAAAAATGCAAACAAAACTCAGAATGACTTTTCCTTAAAACTTGCTTTGTTTTCTAATGGACAAAGCACTTGGTTTGTCACCCTTGCTTCTGATACAGGAAGCTTGTGCTGCGTTCAGTGCTAACACCAGTTGTGGAGCTGCAGAAGGATGAGGTCTCGCTCTCTGCTCAGAGACTGGGCAGGATCCCCCCGTGTGTTGCAGGGCTTGTAAGGCAGGTGCTGAGATAAACACCATTTCTGCAGAGCTTGAGGCATGAGGTCTCTGGACATGTTGTTCCAGCTGTGCCTGGGTCAGGTTTAGAGGTGGCCATCACCAACCCACCACCAGGACTGGAGATCTTCCCTGACCCCCTTCTGTCACGCTGCCTCTGCTTTGAAACTAATAAACAAACCTTGCAGTGAAAAGTATTTTTGCTAACCTGGATCGTTTTGACAGAACCGGGCTAAGGAGCGATTAAACATGCAGCGATGCCAGCTCAACCCAGGGCTCAGGGTGTGCTAACAGGGTCTCCCATCACTGCTGGCTCAGACTACCTTGTGCACCTCTCAGCAGCAAATACATGTCCTATATTGAAAAAGAGAACAGCGGTGGTAATAACAGGGCAATACGTCTCCATCCCCTGTGCTGTTAGTCCATGGTGTGTGGCCTTCTCAAGAAGGGAGGGATTTCTGCATTTTTTTTAGCTGCTGCACCCCATCCTTCCCTCCCAGCACTCACCTCTGCCCGGCATGTGTCAGTCTATCTGCTGGCTGGTCCGTGCCATGGACATGTTGAATACAGGCACGAGCCTTTGGTGAATCTCCACAACCCATCCACTTCTCTTCAACCCACGGCCACAAGCTGAACGTGAGTGTCCAGACCAAAATTGCCTGGCACCACGCTCCAGTAAGAGATGGGGAAAATAATTCTTCCAGGCTCTGTATCATTCAGCAGTCGCATTGCCGTGACTATTATAAAATCAGTCACGGTCTGCTCTTCACTGTCTGACCTAACTTTTGTACTCAGCCCTGCTACAACTGAGGTTGGCTCTTTGCTCTGTTCAGTACAGAAGGTTTAGTTGTAGCTGGGAGAGGGTATCCTTAAAGGTGACGGGTTAGCACATATGTTTTTAAATCTCATAAGTGAATGTAAACAACAGAAAAAGCCAGAGCAGAGAGGTTGGTAAGAGGAAGCACTTACTCCTTTATGTCTGAGTTTCTGGGGTGCTCTCTAACTGCTGTTCAGGCAGGTGGATCTCCGTGTGGTTGATGCCACGTGCCTCACAGATACTTTAATCTCTGACCTGCACCTGAAATGTTCAGATGCTGCGAGTTCCTTCCTTCCCACGCAGTTTTTGCTGAGAAGCTCTGTCAGCTTTAAATGAGATGATGCAATCCCCATAGCAAGGCAGGAGGGAGTGACGTGGGGTGAAAAGGATGCTCTTGGCATATATTTGGTGTGCAGATGGCAGGGAGGTCAGGAGGGGTTCGAGTCATAAATTTCACTTGGGTTTCTCAAGAGAGCAGCAGGTCTTGCAGGCAAATTTGAAAATGCAGATACTCCCAGAGATGCATACTCGCATCTCTCATGGGCTGTAAAAGTTATCAGGGTGGGGCGAGATAGAAGGATTGGAAACCAACCCTTCCAGCTCCAGCACTGAGACCAGCCCTCATTTATCTGGTTGTATGATGAAGTGGCCTGGGGAGCTGAACCAGCTGGAAAACAATGTTTTATCTAATTTTTCCTGGGTTATTTTGCACTGGAAAATTTCCCAGCCCACTTTACTTCAAGAACCCAGAAATGCTTGTATTAGCCACGGCCCTGAGCTAGATACTCCCTAGGCAGCAGTGCCGATGTCTGACTACTGCCGTAGCCATTGACTCACTTGCTGTCTCGCATCAGAGATGTGGGTGAGGGGGTGTTTAACAGTGCTGGGATCGGGCAATCCCACCTCTTGCTGTTGGATACCACGTGTCCTCCCCTTCTTCAGGAGGAGGCCGAAGGTAGCAGCTAGCTAATTCAGGCAAAGGGCAACGAACAAATGTTTGCAGGGATTCACTACGTTTTTTTCCTGCTGTGTCTTCCAGAGTTCAAGTGTGAAGCATCATTTTGACAAAGGAATATAAATTGCCTTTCTTTATAACCCTTTCTCCCCATTAACCATCCCCTCCTAGATAGCAGACTCAATACCGAGCTTTGTACCCATGTGTCTCTTTTGCAGCTGCAAGCAGAAAGCCTGGGGAGCCTTTGATCATCTCTGACATCAAGAAGGGGAGCGTAGCACATAGGTGAGTGCAGAATTTCCCATCTGCCAAACCCATTGCAAAATGTCCGGCCCAGTAATGAGAGGTAGAATGAAGCCCAAGCAGTAGCACTTGGGTCTGGATTTTGCCAGCATCCAAGGAGATGTCAACCCTAAAGGTTTGTCTTAGACCACAGTAGGGTTTGCAGTAAAAACTGTCTGTATTGAAGCAAGTAGAGTTGAGCTAATGGAGAAGGTGGCTAGGGCACTGATTCAGAGGTCTGCTGACCCTATAGGAGATGGATGTTTAGCATTTAAGAGCATGTGGTAACGGGCTTCATATATCCCACAAGGTGCTATGGCTCATCTGCCTCAGGTCCTACTCAGGTGAACAGAGTGAGTGAATTGTGGGCACTGGTGGAGAACTGTGCAAATAACTCAGCATTTATTGACTTCACCACTGATCCCAACACCTCATAGCAAGGCTTTCAGAGGAATTTAGTGCTGCCGGAGGGCTTGTTTCTAAGAGTGCTCATACAGGAGTTTCCATAAAAGGTAGAATATCTGTCAGTTAAACATCAGGCATTTTTCAGTGCTGTGGGTTACCCAGGCTGTATATCTGATCTTTTTGCCTTGTTCTGTGTTAATGCATGCTTTACACAAACTTCTTCTCTTTAAGTTATAATTGTCCCAGACTCCATTCATGGTTGTTTCCCAGAAAAGATCAAGGACAGTAAAAAGTTAATATTGTCATCGCCACTGCAGGACTGAATGCGTCACAGGATCTGAAAGGCAAATACAAACGTACTTTTAGTTTTCTTTTCCTTTCCACGTAGAACTGGCACCTTGGAGCCGGGAGACAAGCTGTTAGCCATTGATAACATCCGACTCGACAATTGCTCAATGGAGGATGCTGTCCAGATTTTAAGGCAGTGTGAAGACCTGGTCAAATTGAAGATTAGGAAGGATGAAGATAACTCTGGTACAGAAATCCTGATGCAAACTGGTGCCTGTCCACTGTAATGACATTTCCCAATAGGTAGTGCAAACCAACAAAGATAAGGGCTGCCGCCTGTCCGGTCACCACTTTCCAACTGATTATAGTCTATTTTTGTTATTCTGCCCTTAAATGGAGTCTGGAAGGTTAAAATCCTATTTGGTATAAGCATGGCTGAAGACCTCAGGCTTTTGCTTCTAAATGCTGCAAGTCTTTCCGATGACCTCTTTCATGTGGCTAATTAAAAAATTTGGCATTCCTGTTTCCTCTTTCAGATGAGCAGGAGACAACCGGTGCTATTATCTACACAGTGGAACTGAAGCGATATGGTGGCCCCTTGGGAATAACCATCTCTGGGACGGAGGAACCTTTCGATCCTATCGTCATTTCGGGCTTGACTAAACGAGGGCTGGCAGAAAGGTGAGGTTTGGGGGCAGAGAGGTTGAATTGACATGGGAAGGGATCTTGAAGTTTGCAAAGTTTCCTCTGCTGTCATAAACTCTTCTTGGGTGTTTTAGTCTGCTAAAAGGAAAAGTGCTCTGAAGGTGCCAAGTGCTGTGAAGCAGGGACAGCCCTGCCGGTCTGGCTCTGCAGACCCACGTGCAGGACGTGTGGGGTGGTTGGGACTATACTGTCAGGGCAATGAGAGAGGCTCAAAGCAGGGCACTTGTGGAAGAGTCAGATCCAGTATGTCAGTTGAATGCAACAGCCAGGAAAACATGTTTATCTGCCCCTCTTCTACAGAGGTGTTTCCTGGTCTGTGATTTCCCATACATCTTGCGTGGGGAGAGTGCCCAGCCTGCCCACAAAACCACCACAGGCTCCTGTCCAGGACTGACCTATTGCTAAACTATGACTTATGGCCATGGCAGTGGTGTGTCCTGCTGAAACCACAGATCTCAGGGGTCTTCTGGCCCATCCTTGCTGGTTGCTTAGTCTGTTACGTATGGAGGTATCTCAGTGCAGGACTAGCGTGCCTCACGCAGCAGACATTTATGCTGCATAAATGTAGGTGCAGATTTACCTTTGGCAACCAGGGAGGTTGAGTTTGTGTGTGCCTGCGTCTTTATACGTGCATGCGTGGGATTTAAAGGATCAGGACATTGCTGAGAATATAAGGTGGAACTGAGTCATACACTGTATCTTAATTAATCTGTCTATACGGTAGCTGTGACTTGTAAATAGATCATTTCAGCAACCCTGACTCACGCTTCTCATAGGGTTGCTTTACCCTGTGCTGCCTGACAGACAGAACAGCAGCAAAAACCCCCTGAACAAATAGGTGTAAAGTGCTAGACCTTGGGGACGTTTGACTGCAGATCTGGCCTTCTGGTTCTTTCTGCTTCAAGGCCACACACCCTCTTAGCTGGTCTGTAAAACAGGTCAGTGCCTCTTTCTGCATTGGGTTCCTCAGGCTCTCAGCACGCATGCTGCTGCACATTTCCATTGCTTTCCTTTGGTACAGAGAGCAGAACATCAGTGTCTCCTGAGAAGTAAGGAAGAGGGATGGACTTAGTCATTAGTGGTTCTTCTCTTTGGGGATTTTATATTACTGCCTGCCACTGTAGGATTCAGTCTTTTTCCCTAGAAAATGATAGCCACAGAGCATCCAAGCCTTTTCTGCATAGCAGTTCGGCACCGTACCTGCAACCTAGCATGAGAGAGGTTAAGGACAGAAAGCCCAGACGCTGTCAGGTGTCAGAAGATGGTCTCGTACGCTTGTTGCTCTCAGTTACCTTTGCAATGCCGTGGCTATTCCTCCTTCAAACTCGGATACACATCAGTGACTGCTCCACGGAGAGATGTAGTGCAGGCAAGTGCTGTGGTACTATTGAATTTTGATCAGGAGCTGACAGGCAGTAAGGAATGAAAAGCCTTTTGAGAAGAGCAATGGAGCCGTTCAGCGTGTTCACCGTAGCAGACTAACAAATAACGGTGCCTGCGCAGAGGAGTGGCATGGAGATGGAGCGGCGTGGGGATTTCTCAGGGTAACCTTGGCTCCCTGCGGGGAGAGTGAGGAGCGCTGGGATGAAGGCTGCCTGCAGGAAAGGTGCATATTTTTCTGCTGAGAAGGTGCATATTTTTCTCCTGGGAGTAACAGAAGGGAGTGGCTTGACCTTGTCAAGGGAAGAGGGGTGGTCCTAGTGTTATCCTAAATTGTCCCTTTCCTGCCGTCACTACCCTTCCCTGTGCCACAGGCACCTTTAGCCAGCCTCTGAAGGGTGGGACAGGTTTCTGAAGGACAGGGATTTAAACTCAAAGCTGTGCCTGGCTTTTGCTGGAGCACAGGACATATTTCAGCAGCGCTGGCGCAGGGCGGACAAGATCCCGACGTCTGATAACGGGGACGTGCCGGCCGCTCTTGTAGAGGCACGAGTGAAGGTCTGCGCTGCGGCTCGGGCTGCTCGCTTGGCGATGTGGAAGGCAGGGTGTCCTCTAGGATCTGTCACATGTCTGTCACAGCAGGTGACAGGCTGTCTAAGCTGAAAAGGCTTCAGATTCAGATGACTTGGGTTTTATCTTGACCTTGAACATTTTTCTCCTTGTATGTGTCTGATCCCATAGAAACCTACAGAGGCAGCTCAGGCTGTTGGGTTGGTGTCGAGCGGTGGCTCTCTCCCATGTTAGTCTCTGTTTCCCCTCCTGCAGCACCTGCGGGTGGCTTTAGCCTGGGCCATGGGACTTGTTTTCCTTCTTCTTGCGAAAGGGAGTGTGCCTGAACATACTGTTCAATTCTGGTCAAGGTGTAATGGTTCTCCAAGAGCAATTTTGGGCTATCGCTGGCATTTTGAAGTGCCTGACCAGCCTCCTCTAGTGCCACCTGGTCAAGTAGATGGGGGTGGCTGCAGGAGGGTTTTGTCCACGAGTGCTCAGCACCAACCCATGTTGGCAGGGGGGAGAAGGGATGGTGGCCCTGCCCACATGCCAAGTAAATCCCTACCACATGCACATAGCCACTTCTCCAGCACTTGCTGGAAAGTGCCTGCAGCCCCTTTTACACCTTGTAACTTACCTGTTGCTCGATTCTGCTCTTGCATGTGTTCTCTGAGCAAAAAGGGACATGGAGCACAGAGCTCCTTGGGCTGGTTCGTGTTTGAGGTGAATTAAGGACTGTCAGTGATGATGGAGAGGGACAAGGGTCATTAGCTAGAAACATCTTTCTCTGTCACTCCCGCTCGGCTTCTGTCTGCTTGTCCTCGCGGGGGTGCCTGGAAATGGACAGATGAGAGGACTGGACTTTGACTTACTTTTCCCCCCTTGAAGAAAAACACCTGGCTGAACATGACCTTTCTCTTTAATTGTTTCTGTATTTTTCCCTGCTGAGGGACTTTCACAGTTTCTGTAGAGCAGTTTTGTTGTTCAGAGGCGGGCGGTTGGGCTGGTGTCTTGGATAGGAGATGCGTCCCCACACTGGGTTCAGTGCTACAGCAGGAGGCCCTCAAATGCTGAACCACTGCAGCGAGCGAAGGATCGCCTTTAAACTGCCAGCAGTTAAGCTTGATTTTTTTTTTTGACTACGTAGATGAAACTTTTAAGACAAATACTCTGGTTCCAGTTTGATCTGTAATTTATTTGAATGCACAAGTTTTCCCTGAGGGCTTTTTCAGGCTGACTTGTATGGGACAAGACGGACATCTAGTGGCTGTTTGGGACCGTCATGGCACTGTCCAAGCATCTCAACAGCTTCAGCAGTAGATCGAACAGTTCTGCCTGCTGTTTGGCTACGTTTCCCAATTTGATTTACTTGTAGTAGATGTTTCACAGCAGCATGTCTACAAAAGTTTCATATTTTGGGGAAAGACAAGTAGCTGTTTTGCCTGTGACAGTATATCAAATCACAATTCCGCAGGAGCAGCAGTCCAATTTGGAGATGTAACCTGAGAGGCACGTTGCCATGGATAAAAAGATATTGCGGTCCAGATTTGCATCTCCTCCTGGCTCGATCGCACAGGTTCCTGATAGCTAAACCTCATGGCACTGCTGGAGGAGGAAAGGATTGCTGCTCTCGCTTGCTGGCATTAGGGAGCTGGAGTGTGAGTGCGGTGAGCTCAGTCCAGCCAGCAGCGAGCGTGAGCTCCTGCCTCGGCTGCCAGCTCTGGCGATGGACACATCCTGTCCTGCCTACTCTTCCCGGAGCTGCAGCAAACGCCGGGAGAGGTAAAGTGAGCCCCTGTCTGTGGGCAGGCACAGAGGGAAGGATGGTGAAGGGGGAGAATTGCCATGACTTGTTAGTTTGTTCCTGGCTGTTGCTGAAGCCTGACGATTTATTTAGCTGAGAGCAGAAGCTAGTGCTGGAATGTGGCTGTGCAATAAAACACAGTAACCTCTTCTGCGCAGTAGTCTTGATGGAGAAAGTCACAGTGGCTTAGCTGTGTAGGGGTGAGCTTTAAACATATCATGAACTGATCTGCAATTGGTTCAGCTCGTGCTTGCACACACAATCTCTGTGTGTTGGGCCATTTGTTTTTTTTTTTTTTTTTTTTTTTTTTTTTTTTTTTTTTTTTTTTTTTTTTTTTTTTTTTTTTTTTTTAATGGGTTCCTAGGTTTGTCTTGTTGTTTCTTTCCATCAATGTGAACATGCCCTTCAGTTCCACGTGTGATGACCAGTGGACATCACATACTGGAAATGCTTGTGCTTTTAGCACATAGACCCCTTTGCTTTGAAGAGTTTTGACTGTAAGCTGCTCTGCAGTCCCAGTTCCTGAGGGGCCTGGGATCCGACGAGTGCATATGTTCCTGTGCATATATGTATGTATGTACACAGGTTGAAGATGGGGGGGACCCCAGATTCCTGGTAGTGGTGATGAAGAGGAAATCATGGGTATACAGCATACCAAGGGGAAACCAAGACATATTTGAAAGTGCTGAGAGTTAATATGCTATTGCTTCAAGCGACAACTTAATGGCCTGCCTCACAGAGGCGAATTGCTTCTCTGAAGTTTCTAACAGCGCCTTTTCTCTCCAGAACCGGAGCCATCCATGTCGGTGACCGGATATTAGCGATTAATAACGTGAGCCTCAAGGGCAAACCGCTGAGTGAAGCCATTCATCTGCTGCAGATGGCGGGAGAGACGGTCACTCTGAAGATCAAGAAGCAGACGGAGAGTGAGTTGGGGAGCCTGGTTTGGGGTGGGAGGACGAAGGCGCACTCCAGCAGGAACCCCGGGTGATGGAGTAGGTAGCGCTGTGGGTTTTCCTTCATGTGTTGTGGAAGGTTAGATGAGGCAGTGTGGTCAGGGGCATGTCTGGGGACGGAGGGAAAAGATGGGTGGTTTTTTTACTTCTGACTCACAGATTTTGAAAAAGGCAACCCAGGGGCTCTCTGTAGTACTGGGAAGAGATTAGACAGCAGGTTTATTGGCAATAATTTTTTTCAGATTGATACCTTGTGCCGTTGGTGCTATTACCTGTCTGTGTGGGTGTTTCACACAGAAGTGAAGCAGAAGATGCTTTTAAAAGTGGAAGAGTGCAGTTTTTTTAAAAAAATATAACCCCCCCAAATGAGCAAGGGGACTCTGAGCTGGTAGAATCCGTGAGAAAAAAAAAAAAAATCCTCACCTTTAATTCAACTTTTTGAAAGTGATTGGCAATAAATCTCTTATGCCCCTTTTCCTGGCTTGGGGCCCCAAGATCATTTTTCAAAGCATTTACCGTCACTCTAGAAATCCCCTTCTCATTTCCCTGCCAAGCTCCCTGTGGCTTTGAAGCTGTTCCTCTTGATGCGGTATCAAAAAGCAGTAGCATATTTAGTACAGGCAGGCCACTTTTTTGGGGGACAGAACGGGGGGATTGGGGAAACCAGGGAACACGCAAACTTTTCTCCCCAACTTCTTCAAAGTCACAGCCAAACAGGGGCTGCTTCATCAAGTTCAGAAAGTAGTGAGTGCATTCTGGCTGCATTTCTGTCTCTCCCCACACCCAGTATTTTCTATCTTTTTTGTGCCATGCTTCTGCAGTCTCTAGATTTAGCCAGACCTACCCAGTCAGTGGCCCACGGTGCTGCAGAAATTGGAAGAAATCAAGTGATAAAGCTCTTCCAAGCAGGCCTGACCTGTGGGATGTCTGTCCTGCATCTGAAAAAGTAGCATTGCTCTTAAACGTAGCACTTCTGTAGACCTCAAAGCAGTTTGCAAATGTGTGACAATGCACCTATTTTACAAATGGAGGAAGCCCAGGCAGGGGGTGGTGACTTAATAGAGGTAGAACTGGAGAATTGATTCCTCTTCAAGAAACCCCAGTCTCGTTCCCTGCACCCAAGTGTCTTGATCCTTGGTCTGAAATACTCTTTTTTTTTTTGTTTTTTTCCCCTGCTGACACTTAGCATTGTCACAGCCACTCGCTGAAATAATTGACATGCAAGTGCCAGTTAGAGACTCATTAATCATTCTGAGAATGAAGCAGGTATAATTGAAATTTCAAGGTAATCTTGAGTTAATCATGGTGAGCAATCTTCTGAATGCTTGGAAAATAGGGACTTTCAGGACACTGGCCTTTGTTTGGTAAAATAATCTGTCCTCATTGACAAATGCAGACTTTCAGAGGGCTTTTCAACCCAGTCTCTGTGAGTCGGAGATCCAGGGCGTGGATGGCTAACAGGATATCTAATCAGCGAGGACTTTAAAATATTCAGTACAAAGAAATGCTTGTGCTGAGAAACCATTCCTTGCATAGCTTTTGCCTGAAAGGGGATTTGATATAATGATAATAAGGGCCTACTAAAATAATGAAAGGGAAGGTCTGAGCTTCATCATCCACATTCAGCTTTCCATTTTCCAATCACTAATCAGGGGAAATTCAGCCTCAAAATACCAGGCCCAGGAATTCCACCATTGTCGTGAGACTGCATGGGAGACTCTTGGAGAGGTGGTGATTAGCCCTGAATTGATACGAGGTTGTACAATCTTGGAAGGGGGCTGTAACTTCATCTGCGGTAGTTTGGGACCAGGTTGCGTTGTTGTTGGAATCTCATTGAAACATCTGCTTGTAATAGAAAGTTTGCAGCCAGCACCCTGACTAGGTGCTGCTCTGGCACTGTTTGGGTCCCGTCCCCAAAGGCAGATCATGCCAGAAGCAATTTGACTGGAAGCACTAATGCTCTGAGTAAAAAGGAGGCTCTCCGAGACCAGAGAAGCTATGGGCTATTGCTTGCAGAGGCCAACACTTCTCTGGGCAGGGCTGTTGGGAGGAAGCTTCCGAAGGCACAAGAAGATGTGCTTGTGAATTGAGATTAGGTCCCAACTCTCAATATTTGGGAATCCTCAAATCCCTGTGGTTGCTCCTTATATTCCATGTGCTAAAAACTCAGAATGGCATTTTTTCTTGATTCAGCTTGAGATGAGAGTACTGCATGAAATCCTTTCAACTGCATTGCACAGGCCTTTCTCGGCTACTTTTGAAGAGCTAAAGAGGTTCTTCAAAAGACTTACAGTACATGGGCTTGCTCCCGCATCAGCATGAGCCTTTCCCTGAGGCTTGCTCTTCATGCCTGCTAAAGCAGCATGTTCTGGTTTCAGAATCCTATCCCAAGAAGTCGGGGAGTGTAAACGAAGTGAGCGATCCAGAAGATGAACTGATGGACTCCCAGAAAACTAGCAAGCTGTCTGAGTTATACTCCACCACAATTCCTAGCGTGGACAGTGCTATGGAGTCCTGGGATGGCTCTGGCATTGATGCTGGGTTTGGAAGCCAAGGTAAGCCAGGATCGTCTTTTCTTAGGGGTCTCTGGGCCAAGGTGAAGATAGACAGAGCCTCTGAACCTGTCTGGAGACTGAACGTGAGCCAAAGCCTGTGGTCTGACTGCATTTGCATGGCTTCTCGCTTCCAGCAAGGAACAAAATGTATTTTAAAATGCACTCGTGTGGTGCTCTGGGTTGATGTATCTGTTTCAGGTTTTTATTGGCACAGTTCTTCTGGCTTATATGGCATCATACTGTTCACAGCATTTTCAAAACCATTACAGCACTTTATAATTCACATAATCAGAGGAAGTATTCACTGGCCATATGTCTTACAGAGTATTTGGTCCATAGCTCACTTTTAATTCTCCAGAGAGGCCATGCAGGACATATTAATCCTCTTCAGGATGTTTTAAAATCCACAAGAATGTCTTGTGACTAGAAGCACTCACGTAACAAAATAATTAAGGTAATACTACAAGAAAGTATTTCTAACTCTCCAGTGAGTGATCAGATGAACATGTCTTTGAGGCCAGGTTTATTCAGCTGTGGCTTCTGGCAGGCATATGGAATTGGGATGGAGGATGCTCTAGTCATGGGAATAGATTTTTACTTGGAGAAAAGCACTGGAAAATAGTTATTCCAGTTCAGATTTAGTGACGTAAGCTAGTATCAGCCCATGTTGAAACAAAACAAAACCCTGAATCACCTCCGCAAAAGGAAATTGGTGAAAAGACTGCTGTCCAGAACAGAATGTGAAAGCAGGGAGGGATGCTGCAGGAGTCCTGTTGCAAAGCACTTTCAATGCACTGAGCAAGGTCTGTGCCTGTGCTCACCGCGCTCTGACTTAGAAAAGTTCGAAGGACAGCACCATGCGGGTGTCTCTTCCACCATGCCTGTGTCTTCCTTCAGCCTCCGTTGGTCTGAAGTCTTAATCTGGGAGTGCAGTTGGGACTGGAGGCTTCATTAAGGAGGAATCCTTGGGCCTTCATAATGCTGCAATCCTTCTCCATCTAATTGAATGTTAACACAGGTTGGATGCTGGATTTAGCAAAGCGATTGCTTTTACCGGTAAATTGAGAACAAGTAATTGAGCACAGAGCCCCAGGGAGCGGGGCTGATGCCAAGTTGCCCAATATCCGTAGGCTGCACCTTTGCTCCAGGGGCGCTCTCGTCTTCCCCGGTAATTGCATTTGGCTGCATGGTGGTGTGCTGGCACTGGCTGGGAAGAGGGATGCTGGAGGGTAGGGAGAAGGACACACAAGGTCGCCCATGGGGTGGGCAGGGAAGGCAGAATGCAGGGAGACCTGGGACACACAGAGCCTGGAGATTGGGGTTTACACCCCAAATGGAGGACCATAGATTGGGCTCTGCAGCCTTGCAGGTTTTAGGTTCATCCACAGCTTTAGGAAACCGCTGAAGGAAGGGTTTGGGCAAGGGAGCTGTGGTGGGCCTGGTGGGAACATGCCACCAGGTGGCTCTGAATCCCAGGGATCCAGCCCATCTCCCTGGAAGGAGGAGGTGAAACTGGTGGCACCCAAGTGACAGCTCTGCACGCATATCCCTGCGGTCCCCGGCCGCCTGTGCCCAGCCCAAACCTGCTGCCCACCTGCTGCAGGGACCTGCATCCAGGAGCCTTGTTCTGCTCTGGCAGGCAGCGAGCACTCCTGGCTGCTGTAAGATGTTGGCAAATGCTTTTCTGGGGTCCTCTCCAGAGCAGTCTAACCTTTAAAAACACACAGAGGAAACGCTCAGCTAAGTGAAATAACAGGCCTTGGCATTTTCAAAGAAAGTGCTGGCGTTGTCTTTGGGTATTTCCAGCGCTCTTAGCTGTTTGGGAGGTCAAGTCTCCCTTAATTATGTGTTTCTCCGTTACCTCTTCCTGTTCACTTGGCACAGCGTGTGATGGAAGTGTACGATGTTTCTTGGAAAGGCTGTGAGGATTTCTCTGAAATGTTGAACGGGCAGCAGGAGGTGGGCAGGGGACTTAGGAGATTTATTTCCACTGCAGATGGCACTGACACTGCTGAGGAATGCTCTGTTTTGGAAGGTTTCTGTCCAGGCAGCTCCTCGTGAGACCTGGAGATCTTGTGACTTGGTAATGTTGGATTTGCATCTCCGGAGTAAGACACCACAGTACAGGGGAATCCTTGGGGGCAGACGTAGCGAAACTTGTCTGATTTCATCCTAACAGTCCATATTGATCTCCTATCAGATGTGATACAGATGAGCCTCCCCTTCTCTCAAGCCAGCAGAGTTTTTCCTCCTGTTCCTTGCCTTTCATACACATGTCCCTGAAGCAGTTTTCTGTACCTGCACCAGCTGACCCCAAAGGCATGGAACGGCTCTGCCACCTGCGGGAACTGGCTGGCAGCTCTCAAGATCAGGGCTGGCTCTTCCTCATTTGCCACTGCTGAGCACACTGAAGCTGGTGACCACCACCAGGTACCCTCAGCACCATCACACTTGTTAAAGGGAGGCTGTTGAATCAGGCTGCTCTGGATGCAGTTTCTTTGCTGCTGTCCTTCTATATCCTATTAATTTTTTTTGTGCTGTCCATTTAGTCCCAAAGACAGTTGAGAACCTAAATGAAGATTTTTTTTCCTAATAAAAATCAGACTTCCAAATCCTTCAGAATGAATGAGGTTGGGCACGCTGAGGGAGTCTTGACAGCATCTTCTCTACCCTTTGAAGGACTTGCTGTATTTAAACAGCACAATTTTCTGTTTTCAGCAGCACAATTTCTGTTGGGTTCAGTGTGGAAACAGGAGCCATTAACTAAGGTTGGAGCTGCCTGGAGATAGGATCTGCATCTGTGGGTATGTGTAGCCCCAGGTTTGTAGATCCTGGACCCACACCGCAAAGCTACTTAGAAGGGGGAAGCAAGGGAGAAATGGGGCACCTTATGACAAGATCGTGAGAAGCTGCTTTGGTTAAAGCAAGAAGAGATGGGAAGAGCAACTCCTTTTGGACGACTGAAATGGAAGCAGTATGCAATCCAGATGGCCTCAGGTTTGGGACCTGGGGAAGGAGGCTCTCCTGGCTCAGCATGACTTAACTCCATTCGAGTTTTCTGACCAGGTATTACCCTCTCTCTCTCCACCCTCTCTTGCCTTCCCTAGGTACGTACATACCTCAGGCTGCCGGCATAGCCCTCCATCCACACGAATGGAGACACAGCAGGCAAAAGAGCAGCACCCCTCCAGGGGACCCCAGGAAAAACTACCCCTACATGGATGGAAGCTTCAGTGAAGACGACTGGGACAAGCCCAGCAGGTACGGGGGGGTGGGAGGAGGCAGGGAGACGCATCTGCAAATGTGGGTGTCACTGCATAGGGACAAGGGAGCATGGGAATGTGATGGAGTGGCCAGCGATGTCCCCATCTCGGCATCAGGCAGCCATGGGGAGGGGTGCTGGGGTGGTGATCTGCTCTGTCGAACCACCTCCACATGGCCAGGTTACCCCAGGTGTAGCTCTGTGGCACCTCTGCTGTGGCCAGGTGACATTTGTGTCTGGAGTTACGGCGGTCGCGGCTACATGGACCACAGGTTCTTACTGTGTCTCATACTCCTGCCGTGTAAAGGCTGCAGTATTTTCATATTTTAGGTGTAACAAATAGACATGGCCAGGGCCGTCCCCTCTTCCGTTGGCCAGACACTTTCGAGTGAGGATGCAGCTTCACAAGAGCTTGATGCCACGAAGCCAAAAAGGCCAACCAAAGCTCTTGGAGGACCAGTATGAGGTTGCATGTCCAAGTTAACATCTCCCAGAGCTGTGGCTGGACATCTCTCTCCATCACACTTTGGCCCTTCCAGCACCTTCAAAGCTATGCCAAGTGAGCATGGGTCGAGTTAATCCCTCAGCTTGGTCAGCGTGGGAGAAATCCTGCAACGCCTCCCACGCCTGTGGAGGAGGCTGCAGCTGCCCCTCGCTTTGAGTGAAAATCCTGCTGGATCTGCCCTGGCCAGAGGCTGCCCCTCGCTGAGCCACACACAGTGGAAAAGCCTCGTTGCTTCGTAACTAACCCTCCCCTCAACATCCTCTAGAGTCCCCATAGTTGTGTGTGTCGTGTTGTTACTGTCGGTTCTTTTTTTTTTTATACCCCTCCCCACCATCCTCTAGAGTCCCCATAGTTGTGTGTGTCGTGTTGTTACTGTCGGTTCTTTTTTTTTTTATTTTTTTCCTCAAGTTTTGTTTGTCCAAACAAAACCCTTAGAACATCTCATGGCCATTTCCACCTATTTAAAGATGATCAAACTGTCAGGAAGGCTGGCAGCGGCGGAGGCTTTGTTCTTGTTTTGCCTCTCAGTGAGAGCTGGCTCGCAGAGGTCATTGATCCCTCGTGGCCCTCCCAGCGAGGCCGCCAACAGCTGAAGTTAGCAAATCTGAGCGCTCGAAGCCCCGCATGTCCTTAATGAGGGCTCCGAGCCCTGATGTCAAAGTGCAGGTGAAACGGCACATGCCGCTGAGCCCTTTTTATTAGTGAGAAGAACAAAATGTCTCTGACCCCAGCTGCCTTTAGCCTGGAAAAACCTGCTGACCCAGTGGTGTGAGAGCCCGTACTGATTCATCCGTGTCCTGGATGTGTTTGTTATATTGCTGATCTGAGAGGCAAGAAACTGGTAACTGGAAGGGACATTTGCCTCTTTGGGAACCTGGAAGCAGAGGAAGGAAATGAGTAAGGGGAAAGAATCAAAAATTCCTTTTGGGGGGAAATTTTGGTTTGTTTTTATAAAGTCTTGCTGGGAGTTTTTTTGACCTTTCTGCTTGGTGTAAAGGCTAGTGTCCTTTAAAAGCTGATGCAAGGTAGGGGGTAAATTTAAAATACAATAAGCCATGTCAGATACTGCTCTCTCCAGGCAGGCCACGATCCCACAAGGAGCAAAAGCATGTGTGTATGTGAGTTTATGCCTGCTACAGACTCCCATTTAAACCAGTGGATGAAAAGAAAGCGTGTGCTCAAGACTTTGCAGTTAGAGATCTGGAAAAAGCTCTATTAATAGCCCAAGGGGTCATTATGTATTTAATGGAGGCCAACCTCTCTTTGCCTTGTACTCAAGTAAAATGTTTTGACTTTGCTAAGTGGCTCTGGTGGGTGAGCGTCCCTTCCCATCTGTGACGCTGATGACCATTAAGCCATGTGAGATGCTGCCAGATGTTGCAGAGGTGGAGCCTTGTCCATGCAGCTCCTAATAAGATGCGTAGAAGATGCATTAGAGCTGCTCTAATGTCACTGTCCCCTTGGGGTCTCTCCCCATGACACATTAGTGGGTTTATCGTGACCTTGATTTAACACCGCTGAGAGTTTCCTTCAAGAGGCTCCTGTTAAACTGAGCGCTGACGGTCTGAGTTTTGCACAGAGCCTGGTGTTCAGTAAGCAGTGTCCGGTGTCACCTACTTCTCTGGCTTGTGCAGAGGACTTCAGCATGTTTAATTGCTATTTGCTTTAGAAGTCCAAGAATTGAACCTGGCTTGCGGTCAGAGATAAGAGATGCTGAAACTGCCAAGGTGGGAAATTGCAGAACCCCCAGCAAGATGCACACAGCGTTCACGTTAATGTGTGTTTGTACCAGCTTGAGAGGGGTTCTCTCTATCCTTATTCTCTGTTGTAGATAGAACTGGTGGCAATCTTTACATGGCTGTAAGCACCATGACTGTTATATAGCAAAAAAAAAAGAGACCTTCTGAAAGTAACAGCTTGGTTCCCTGGCGATCCTAAAGCAAATGAAACTTGGTTTGTATGGGTTATACATGACACTGTCGATATTGTTGGCTGTAACGTGCGTTTGCTTGTCTGGCCCAGGGCAATCATTTTTATATACATCTTTGCATTATTTACTCTCATAGAGACCTAATGTATTTATCATTTTCTCACCATGTCTGTTACCCTCTGTGTTTTTCTCTCTCTTCTCAGGTGTTCTGTGTCTCAGATCTGAGCTCTATCCCATCAGCCTTTGTACTAACAGTCTCTGAGGCTCCTGGTTTACCCATAATGCATCCTTTTTTCTTTTACTTCTCTATTTCACCAAAACGTCTTCCTAAACCTACAATCTTCCTACAGGCGCTTTTTAATTTACCCTTTGAACTTTGACATTACTACACCAACTTAATTCTTCCTTTGAAGGACACTTGCCCCGTTAGTAAATGCATGGAGGTCTCGTATTCGGACTCTTGTCTGAAACGTTCATATTGTTTGCTTTTGTATATGAAGACTCTTCAAGTCTCTGCTTTTACTGGTGAGACACTTGCTGTAGCCTCGCGGCTTTCATCCCGCTGCAGAAGAGTGCTGACAATGTTTGGTTCCTACGTTACAACAGATACCCCAACCGCCAAAATGGCCTTGAGACCACTCATGAGGATAGTTTTTGGCGTGTTTTTGGAGAAGCTTTGGAGGATTTGGAAACATGCGGCCAGTCTGAACTTTTGAGGGAGATTGAGGTAAATCACTTTCCGAACTTGCTGCTGATCTGACTGTTTTGCTCTTGCCGTAAATGTTAGACTGTTTCCCCAGATCTGTTAATTGCCTGTAGCATCCCTGTGCTGCCCGTGGTGTGAAGAAGGGTTCGAGTTTAATCCATGTCAGTGTTTGTGCTAATGGATAATTGTGTCTCATTAGACAGTTGCTTGCATGCACTTTTTCCCTGACCCAATGACTTACCCATCAGGAAGTCCATGCTCTTTTTACTAACTGTTGCTGGCCAACAATCTTCATATGACTGTTGGCAAACCTTCCCTATCCAAATGGTAAACCCTCTGCTTGGAAAGATATTGTCTGTCCAGAGCACTTAAAAGCCAAGCAAAAGGAGACCCCCCAAAACCCCATTGGGACTGAAGCCTTGGCTTACTTCAAATACAGACAAGCCCAAGATATATCTTGCATTCAGCTGTCACTCTGCCGGAAACTGTTTCAGTGAAATAGGTAATTGGAAGCTTTCCCCATGGAAAAATCTGAGAAAGTAATTGCTTCCTGCAGAAATAAAGGTGTTTCCTCTCTTCACACACCACTTTCTCTTTTCTTTATCCAAAATGCTTTGGAGGTCATGTTATTGTGTCCGGTTATAGGATGGGGAACCTCGATTTCTAGGCTGTGGGATGCAAATAAAGGCCTCCCCCGAGACTGTCGAGCAGTGGGAAGCAAACCTGCCCGGCAGGATGGGACCCATGCTGCTCCCCTCCCTGATTCAGCTCCTGCAGCCCAAAAAGAGGAGTGGGACCCCAGGAACTCCTCTCTCCCCCTGCCTTCTGGGTGCAGAGGACTGGGGAGAGCTTGCTGGGTTGTGCCCTTAGAGAGAAAAGCAATTTCTGAATAATTGGAGGTGGAAAAGGAAAGTCCTGTTTTGGTCTGTATGTGAAAATATTGGTGACAAGGGACTTACTAATTGTTCTTTCCTCCTTGATCCTTAGCAACTGTAAGTGGGGGAGGAAATCTCAAATTTATTGTGCCGAAGCACGAAACGGTGTATTTATTATCTTAACTGCTTAAGAAAATGCTGACTTAAAAAAAACAACAACCCATACAAAAACCAACCCCCCACATCTCCCACAAGCTATAACTTCTTTCCTTGATCACTTATCTCCTGGACCTGAATGTATTTAGAAATGAGTTTAGGCAGCCCTTTCTGAACTGTTGTTGACTACTTAAGAAAAAGTCCCCCTCTGGAATGATGCAGAGATGTTTCTCTTCTGCATAATGGCTGGCATCTAAATGTAAAAGAAGGGACTTGTTGGGCTACTCTGAAATGCCAGGACAGAGAAAATATCTTTCTGCCCAATCCTTTTCCTTTTCCAGGGATCCGTGGTGCCGGGATGCGTGGGCTTTTGAGTCACGCTGTTTTAAGGCTTTGGAGTTTTGACAGTTATAGCAAAGCTTTAAAAAAAGTAAAGAAATTTTACAAAAGGCTGAGCACCTCTAGGGTTTTGGTGTACTTAGCACATTTCTAGAATATTTTGGAAAGTTCTGGGGACAAAAGGAAAGTGCTGTGTTTTTAGCAGAAGTCTGATGGGTTTCAACTCCCCTTTCATCGAATCCAAAGTACCACTGATTTGTTCCTCCCTCTCCGTGTGCCCATCCTTCCTGAGGTGTGGTGTGGGATGTGCAGTGCTCATGGGGGCTTTTGCTGTATCACCAGTTTCTAAGCCCCAGCTGCTGGCCTCCTGTGATTTTATGACAGTCACAGATTTTTTTTTTTTTTTAATTTTTTTTTAAATTTGACCCTTCATGCTCTCCAAAAGAAGAAGAGTCATGCAAGATGACCCAAGATAGCCTGGAAACAGGTTCACACACAGCAGCAATCCACTCCCAGACTACATGGTATGGGTAGAAACAGGCTTTTTCCAATATGTTTAGTGGAGCACGTGTCCCCACACTGCTTTGAGGGCAACCAAGACACGGGGAAAAATAATGTGGGGCAGCCACAGGCTGGAGAAGTCCGGAATTGCCCTTTCTGCTGCTTGCACTTAACCCAAAGCACCTAGCAAATTGCTTATGATGCTGCAAGGAGTATTTAAATACCTTGAAGACAGAGAAGGTGTCAAATGCTGTAAGAACGTCTCCAAAAGAAGAAGTGTCATGCAAGATGACCCAAGATAGCCTGGAAACAGGTTCACACACAGCAGCAATCCACTCCCAGACTACATGGTATGGGTAGAAACAGGCTTTTTCCAATATGTTTAGTGGAGCACGTGTCCCCACACTGCTTTGAGGGCAACCAAGACACGGGGAAAAATAATGTGGGGCAGCCACAGGCTGGAGAAGTCCGGAATTGCCCTTTCTGCTGCTTGCACTTAACCCAAAGCACCTAGCAAATTGCTTATGATGCTGCAAGGAGTATTTAAATACCTTGAAGACAGAGAAGGTGTCAAATGCTGTAAGAACGGCATGCCGTTGGGTACTGGCCGGTTTCGGTATTTGCGGTGCATGAGGGAGGACAGTAGCATGATGTGCACAGACCTTTCTGTTCTCCTCCCTGACTCTGCAATGCTGGTGTTGGTACAGCATGGTATGGTGTCTGGGGGGGGTACTGAGGTTTCCTGAGGTCAGTGAACAAACATACCCTGGTTGGCTGTACCGCTGTTTGTAAAGCTGCATTACAAGTATGTGGTCACTCAACATCCTTCCAGAGTGTGGCAGGTTTTTGAGTTTTGTCCAAACTTGAGCTGATTAAGTCATTTTTGTGTGAAGACCTGAAAAGTGCAAAGCTAAAAGGTTTTCTGTATTTTATCCATCCCTATTTGGGATAATGTGGGTAGTGCTGGCATTTTCATACTGCCACCAGAATTCGCTTTATTTGCCTTTGTTCCAGTTTGGAGCAAAGAGCTGGAGGGCCTTGATTAGAGATTTCGTCAGGTGATATTTCCCCTGTGCACAGGAGCAATTGCTCTTTGACTTGCCACGTTTAGCATTGCTGAATTTTGCTATCTGCTCCTTACCTTTCCCTTTCTTTCTTTTACCTTTTGACATTTAATGGGACTGCAGACCCTTGGAGCCTGAACTTTGAAATGACAGTTTTCATTACGCCATTTAAATGGACTCTGTGACCTGCAGCCAGTTGAGGTTCCACCGACTGGATTCTCGACTCCTTCGTTAGCTTTGATCAATGTAATCTCATTAGTGAAAAGCATTGCTAAATGGAGTAGAATCTACTTTGGGGCATCTTTTAATGGATGCTATCAAGGATGACCAGGCTTAAATACTACTTAATTTCATATTTTTAACTCAGTTTTCCTCAGTGATGGCTCCCATTTACTGACAGATAAAATCCTAATTTCTCTGCTGAATTGGCCTCAGTGGAGTCCCAGGTATTGACTTCCCTGGGCCATTGCCAGCACTGTGCAATGCTGATGGTGAGCTGCAACCTGCAGGGGTAGGCTGGAGAGCCAGGCAGACACCAGTTCCTCTGGGAGCCCCTAAGATTGGGATGTTCATCCTTCTTGACTACCAAGAAGGTTCCTGCACACAATGAGGCCTGCCTGGCCCTGTTTGTGTAGAAGTAGTCATAAAAAAATAAGGAGATGCTTCACAAATGCTTCCTTCTGAGATAAAGCTCCACGTTGGGGTGGGAGAACACGCAGCAGGTCAGCGACAGACCTCGCAGCAGGCTCCTGAGGTCTGGAAATGGCTTTTATAGCTAACTGGAAGAGCTTTTTAGTACTTACTTTTCTGATAAATGAGAACAATGGTGCCCCCCTGTTGTTGTCCGTGCCACTTCGTTGCCGTGTGGTCCATCTCTTCCTGCTGCCAGCAGCAGAGTGACTTTGTGCCCTCACCCTACAGGCATCCATTATGACGGGGAGCGTGCATAACCTGGGCCTGGAGGGCAGCAAGCTGCTCCTGGACTCTGTCAACCCATCGGGACTGAGCCCATTGAGGAAAGCAAACTCCAGCTGTGATGATGGACAGACCGAGGGTAGCAGCTCCCCTGCCAAGAAGAACGAGAGGAACCTGGACATGAAGAAGATTGAGAAGGAGATGCAGGAAATCATGTCCCCTACCCCCCTCGAGTTTCACAAGGTCTGTTTTGCCAAGGGTTGGTCTGGCTGCGGCACTGCGGTACCTCGATGGTTAAAGCTGTAGAAGCTTTGCAACATTGTAGAAAATCTCCTTTGTTCAGAGAGACCCCCAGAAAATGTTCCTTGTTAAAGATGGCCCCCGCCAAGGTCTGCAGCAAAGGTTTCCAGAGGGTCAGATGAAGAGGAAGGGGCCCCTTCAGAAGAGTAATGGGATTTAGCTGCCATGCTTCAGCGGGGTTCAAACCTGTGCTTTGCTGTTTCCCTTTATTATATGAGATTTCCAGGTCTTTGTGTTCTGGAGTTCATTAATTGGTGCTACACATACAGGTGAGAGAGCTCAAAGTATGGCCCCTTGGAGACCCATCAACCTTTTTCCAGTAGCACGCTCCATCCAGTAGGCCACTTTTCTTATAAAAAATAACTTATTTTCCCTCCCATTCCACTTTACCCCCAGCCTTTCCTGAAGGGGTGGAAATGGTAGGACTTCAGTGATGGGATACTTGTTTGAATTCAGTATGGATGTAGCCAGTTTAAGCATGGTGCAAGGCAACGGTAATTAGAAGAAGTAATTAACTGTAGAAGCTGCTGATGCAGAATGCAAGCAGGGAAGGGAGCTGGAGAGGTTTCAAAAAATTTGATTGCCTTTTTCTTTCCTAGTGTGACTTTAGAATGAAACCTGCAGTTACGGTAGCTGGAAAAAACGACCTTTTCATGTTTGATCTGCTCTTGTCCTTCAGGGCATAGCAAATGTGTCTTTAAATAAAATTCCTTCGTACCTGCAGGAGGAGAGCTGTGTAATTAGGCATGTTATAGGGTGACTCTTCATTCTGCTGGAGCATCTGGTGTTGGCTGTATTTGGAGATGAGGTTGAGGCCAGGTGGGCTGCTCCTGTGTGTCATCCTGGGCACTGTTCTTCCCAAGGCCACACATCCATGAGGCTCACCCAGCCAAGAATGCGGTGATGAGTTAGAGCCTCGTGGTAGAGATGCACTCCCAGTTCATGGGAGGCAAAGGGAGATTTTGGTAGTGTTGCCCCTGGCTCCCAGTGTTACCCGGTGGCAAGATACACTTCCAGCAGTGCATCCCTCCTTTAGATGAGGCCAAAGCGTGACGTGCTCAAGGGAAGGGTGATGAGGTTACCCATTTCTTGTCCTTAGTACATCAGCACTTATTGATATGAATTTTCTGAAAAGAACTCGTGAATAATATGGAGAAGTTTTAGATGTTCCTGCTGAGTGATGTATTAAAAATGAGCTGTCTTCACATTTGACACACTACATTGAAAATTCCCTGTGAACATGTTGATTTTTCATGTGCTGGTCTGGCGTACACAGAGGATGCACAGCGTAACCTGGGCCAGGGAAGGCGATGCTCCATTAATAACACTTGCTTTGTTGCTCTTTGGGTGAAATACGGCAGCTGTCTGTTTTACACTGCTTGCGTTTCCTTCCACATCCAAGCGAGAGGGACTGTCATGTGGTTGGTTACATGCCAGTCACTAAAGCACTTGTCCATGCAATCTACCTAAGCTGATGGTGTCTAGTAAATAAAGCTCAATCGGTATTAGCCGCCCAGGCTAAGAAAAATCTGCCCAGGAGACCCAGAGCAGAATTGCTGTAGGTCCACACACATTACCTATGCTATTCCTGTCCTGCCAACCCTGTACATCTCCTCCTGCCTCTGCTGCATTAAAATGTGTTCTGTTTCTGCCCCTCCAGATGACACTCCACAAAGACCCAGAGAGCGAAGACTTCGGATTCAGTGTGTCAGACGGCCTGTTAGAAAAAGGTGTCTATGTAAATATGGTCCGTCCGGATGGGCCAGCAGATCAGTGTGGCCTCAAGCCATATGACAGAGTGCTTCAGGTAATAAATGCAAAATGCAGTTCTGGAGGCTGGGACGGAGTGAATGAGTGGCTGAGAGGAAGAGAGAAGTGAGACCCATCCATGGCAGCACTAACTTTAATGAAAGGTAATAGTTAGCCAACTAGGCGAGCACTTAGCCACCAAGCGCTCAATGAGACCTGTGTTTTTTAATGAGAAATCACTAGGTAGTACCCCCAGGTGGTACCCCTAGGTTACACCTATTCCAGGACACAGCCTGCCTGGCACTGGCCTTTTTGAGCTTGGGCAGCATAAAAAAACAACCAAAAAGCTGTGTTGCTTCCCCCTCTCACCCTCAGTCCTTTTGCTATCATGTAAGAGGGTGATTTTTGGATGAACTAGATTGTGTTGACCATATGTGTTCCTACAAAGCCCCATGTGGAGTTAAGTGGTGTTCATGAAGTTCTGTGCATGCCTTTGACAACTAAGAGTTTTCTAGGAAACACATCCCTCAAGCAAAGTGTTTTTCATGGATATTTTTCTTTGAAAGATACTTGATCTGAAATAGCTGATACAGAAACAGAATAAAAACTCTGGTCAAAAGCACAGCCTGTAATAAATGTGACCTGGGCATATTGGACTACCCAAAGGGACAGTAAGAGCACGGTGAGTTTTGGAGATTGGAGAGGAGCTTTATATGGATGAAAAACAACTATTTTAGCTTTGGGGCAACTCAAACAGCAACTGAGAAAGCGCAACCCCAATGGAAAAATTGCCACCATTTGGAAATGCAGATATTGTGACCATATTTGGAAACACTCAGAAAGACGTTTAGTTTTACTAATTTCTAGGCGGGGGTTGTTAGCAGTAGGATTAGAGCCAATATATTATGTACATCAGGTAACTGGAGAACTGGCAGCACTGTGGGGAACCTTGTTGAAGCTTGTTATGGTCTCTAGCCAGTTGGCTGCTATACAATTATTCCTTCTCGGCTTCAAATAAAAGATGGTGCAAGAATGAACAAGAAGCTAATTAGACTCTGGGCTGCCTTTCTGTTGAATGTTGGACGTGTCGCTTTTTGCGAGTGCCAAGTGCTCTGGGAGGTGTGCCTGAAATCCTAAACAGAGCGGCGTGGAGACTTTCGACACCCCCCTTCCACATGCTGTGCTGCATGGCTTGCACCTACAAGAAGATGAGGCAATTGCCATCGTGTTGACATGTGGAGTTGTGAATGAGGGATTGCAGACCTGATACAGGCAACTGCCAGCAAGAGGTACAGAGATGCATTGCTGAGGGTGCTTCATAGTGCTGCTGATTATGGGCATGATGATGTGCCTGAAGGCCAGCGAAACACCTTGTCCCTGCCGTAACAGACCCTCTGCCTCTTGGCTGGATGGATTAGTCGGAGCACAGCGTTGCACTAATGGCACTTCTGCACTGGAACTGCCTGGCTGGCGTAGAGCAAAGGCAGAGCAAGCTCCTGGCTTAGTTCTCCTTGTCCACGTGTGGTCTAGAAATTGTCCTTAGTTCCTATGCTGTAAGGAGCAGTATTGGGGTCAACTGTGTGGACACCAGCTAGGGCAGGGGGACACTGCTACTGTCACAGAGCCCAGCTCCGTGGGCATGCATTAATGCTGGGAAAGGGTTTTGGATGGAAGGGTTGCATGGACTCATCCAGCCCTTACCCAGAGAAGGAAGCAACACCTGGCCCCAGGGGTTATGTTTGCTCCAAAAGTGGGTGGGAAATTCCTTTCTCCCTTCCCTGCTTCCCCTCCCTGTGCTGTTTACCAGCCCCCTCCATCCTGGAGCTGTCGTGGCACCAAGCCCAGGTGCTCTGGTAGCTGTAGGTGAGAGAGCTGGGGTGGTTCTTGCAGGTGACCCAGCCTAGAAATGTGCTTGAAGGTCTGCAAGAGACAGCAGTAAAAGAGCTTTCACTGCTGAATCCTGCAGAGGGAATTTGCCTTCTGAGCCCATGTGAAATGCATCCACACTCCTCTGAAATGAAGGATGTAAATGGAGAGAGGAGAAGCAGAAACTGTTCAGTATAGTCTCAATTTACTGCTGGCTGAGCTGGAAAACGGTTGGCAGAAGCCTCAGAGTCTGACCTGCATTTGTTTTCTAGGCGCTAAATACCCCGCATCACAGATTTAAGGCCAGTAAAAGCCATGATGGCAAAAAAATCATGGAAAATGGCAACCTTTCTCCTACAGACTTGAACCGGAGAATTGGTTTTGAGCCCTGCAATGTTTAATACTTGTAATACTGCCCTAGACACCGGTGGGTCAGGGTTTATGCTTGATCCGGACTTTTTTTTCCCCCTTCCTGTACCGGTTATTGCCTCATTTCTCAGCTAAGCAAGGATGTGCTCAGCCTGAAGGGGGGCCCCCGCTGTGCTCTGCTGTGACCCCGGAATCAGGGACCCCCAAGAGTTGTGTGTTTTCACAGGTGTGGGTTTAGCACCAGCCTTGCACTTTCTGACTAACAAACATGGTCTTTCTGTTGTTCCTCCCCATGGCATGTCCTAAATCCATCCCGGCAGGTAAACCGCATCCGAACGAGAGACTTTGACTGCTGTCTGGCTGTTCCCCTGATTTCGGAGGCCGGAGATAAGCTGGACCTGGTGATTAGCCGAAACCCCTTGGCACTGGCTGCCAACGCTCCCCCAGAGGGGAACGGAGAGCTGCCGGCACAGGTGGCCTGTGGCGCCGAGGTCAAGGCAAGCGTCCAGATGCTCTGAGCAGCAGGAGCAGAGCAGATGGTGCCTGGGGCCTCTGCTGAGCCATTGTGGTATTTGGGGTGTTATTCCTGTTTTTTGCACTGGTATTTGTAAATGCTGTGTGTACCATAACCTGCAAGTGGGGAGGTGGGTCTTCAGTTGAGCTGTTGCCTGTAGACAGCCAAATATTGCTGGGAAGGTCAGAGCTGGATGCGCATCTTGGGCCGTGGGCGGCGCCAGCGATGGGATGAGCTGCCAATGGGAGGAAGGAGCATCCACAGCTGTCCCCCGTGGCAGGGCATCCCCCTGTGCCCCAGCCATCAGGGTGCGCAGGGTCCTGCCTCTGACACTCTCCTCACCCTGAAGGCCTTGGCCATCCTATAAACACACATGGTGCTATTATGTTTCTTGTTTGCTCCGTTAATTGCATACGGCAAGACTGAAACGCCTTTCCTTTTCTGTTGTGCCCAGCTCCATCCTTTAAACACTCCTGGTAAATCGATTTCCGTGGCCCCTTGCACTCCCAGTGCAGGGCTGTGGAGAGCCCTGTTTAAAAAACATTTCAAAATGTGCTTGAGAGTGGCTAGATGCAATTCTTGTTCAAAAATTGGTATTTGCAACTGTCTCCTGCCAGCCCCATCCACGCTCTCCTGCCAAGACTGGCTCGCCCTGCGGTGGGATGAGGCACCTCGTCTCACCATCGATTCCCATGAGCAATGTGGTTACCTGTGCTGGAGTAGTTATTACAGAGCAGAAGGCCGTACCTATGGCTAAAGGCCTTGAATACCTGCCCAAATCCCCGGCCACCTTGTTCATCTGGGCTTTATGGAGATCTCTTGCTTGCAAACCTGGCCTGTGCCCGCAAGTAAATAGCAGAATAGCGATCTTCCCAGGGCTGTCCCTGATGTTTGAATTAATAACACTTTGTCGTCTCCTGTCAGGTAGTGGCACGAGAAGCCCTTTGTTAGATGGAGGTTGTGTGTTCTGTGTCCCGCGTGAGCTGGGCGGTGTGTGTGCCCACGTGGGTTTGGCTGCTCGCCCCTGGTCCACCCGCTTTTGCCTGTCGCTGGCCTCTCCATGGCTTTGCAAGCATGACACCCCATGGTCACTCCCCTCCCTCTCCAGAGCCCCCAATCCCGTGGGGAAGAGGGGATGTGATGTTTGCATCGGTTTCCTCATCTGCCTGCCATGTTTCACGTATTAGCACTTTATGATGATGTTCATGTCCCGGTGGTGGCATGAGCCTGGCATCGCTTTCCTTGGGAAGGCTCGGGTGCAGCGGAGATGAGGAGCTCGCTTGGTCAGGGACCCACAGCCCCGGCACCCACCGCCCCCATTCCCCGCTCACCCTTTCAGTTCCTCCATCACCACCTGTGTGCCGGTGGTGCACGTAGGGTGTCGGATGGGTGTAGGCCACACGTTTGTCGCTTTGCTGAGCCAGGACTTGTCCCCCCACCATCCGTCCCCGAGCCACTTTGCGACTGTCCCTCTGCGATAGCGCCACGTATCAGGGTGTTTCTTAGAGACACGTGTCCGGCCCCATCCAGCTATTTGTCGTTGTAGCCATTTTCTCTTTGAGTATGCAATATCCCATACCATTGCTGCCACAACTAGATAATGTGCCATAATTGATACTGTGGAGCATTGACAGCGCAGCCGAAAGTGTTTTTATATGCAATATTATGAGCAGTGGAAGCTCACTGGGGCTTCTCATAGGTTTTTAATGAAGACTTTTATTAAAGGCTTTAAAAAAAAAAAGGAAGAAAAACTTGGTCCTTGTATCCCTTCCTATGCATTTTGAATGATATGAAGATGAAATGCATTACTTAAATGTGTATTTTTATCCATATATTAGAGTGTATTCCTTGTAAAGTATTTTTATATGCTAATTTTCTTATGTATCTATGAAAGCACAATATTTAAAAGTACAGCATTTCAAAGAATATTTTAGTCCTGTTTTGGACCTATTTGTAAATCTCTGTATTTAAATGGGATTGCAATGACTTTGACTTTTTTTTTTAAATTAAATAAAAGCAAATGAAATGCATTTGTTTTGGTTCATGTCTCTTTCTGCTGGAGGACAATAGTGAGGCAACTCTGCTTCCAGCTCTATTTTAACTTGCCAGAGGACCCCCCAGTTGAGATACCTCGAAGGACAAGGGAGAGGGCACGCCAGGGGGTTTTGCTGGGGGGCCACTGCTTGTAGGGCTACCAGTGTGGGGCTGGGGTTGTCCCTTGCCACCGTCTGGCAGCAGGAATTGGGGCCGGTCGCTTCCCTCCCTGTGGACATGGAGGCACTTCCGCTGTAGCTCTTGGCGATAAGAGCTGGAGATGACTGTGCATGTGGTTACAGCATTGCATGCAGCTTCACTTGGCCACACTGGAAATCTCGTTGGGTTAAACCGTGGCTACTTCATGACAAAACACCGATGCAGCAAAGCACGTGGTGGCCGTGACGTGGCTATGGCAGCGTTTGCAAAGCTACGGTTAATCCCTGGGGATGGGTTAGGAAAACCGCTGGAGGACAATGTGCCGGCAGGAGGTGGCCTGTCCGGTGCTCAGCACCCTGCAGCTGTAGTGGGGTGCCTTGGGGAGCCACACCGTGGTAGCCAAATCATCCCACCTCTGAAACCAGACGTCCAAAGAGACGACTGCCACGAACACAGAACGTAGTTCCTTGTGTCCCTACATTGAGGATTTCTTCCCTTTGCTCTTACAAAGGGGTTTGGGGCACCTCTGCGCTCCCAGCATGGGCAGTGCAGGCTGGGATGCTCACCAGATAAGGCCGTATCTCTGCTCACAGGCAAGGAAAGGGTGAGCTGGGTTTTGCAACCCTTCATGGCCAAGTGGGTAATGCAGGAATTTTTGGAGGCTGAGCACGGTATGGAAATGCTCCTGGTTAGACCTGGGGAATCATTGCCACGTAAACAAGCCTTATCTGCCATCTCTGGCTGCCCTCCTGGGGCGCAGACTTCAGAACAAGGCCCTTCACACGTTTGGCACTGGGGACTTGCCAAAGCCGTGCGGAGCCAACCGAGGTGCTGGGGCGATGGCAGATTTAACGAGAGCCCGTGCAACATGACTGATGGGGTTTTGGTGCGTACACCAGGTAAAAGGTTAGCACGGTGCTGCTCCCCTGGTATGTGCTGCTGGTCGCCTTGATGGGCAGCATATTCTGCTAATGTCACCTTGCGTCCCATGGACCTCGGCTGAGGGAGCCGGCCGCAGGCATGGGCAAGGTGATGGCCGCCCATGGCAGGTACATGAAGCCCTTTGGCAGCAGCTCATGGCGCTTAGTGGCTTTTAAAATTATTTATTTACTTTATTTTAATCTGAGACATGTTGTAGTTGCTGTCTGTGCCAGTATCAGGCTGCTCAGCCCAGGCATTGCAGGCTTCGTTGATGGGAAGAGAAATCCCTGCCAAAGTCCTCAAATCTCACCCAGCAAAATAACCAACCAAGCCAAAAAAACTCCAAATAAAGACAGCTGTGGGGCTAATCCTGGGCGCTGGAGCTTCGGCAGTGATTAGGGGCTGATGCACGAATGCTGAGCAGCTTTACTTTTCACAAATAGTAGCCACTTACGTGCTGTTTTTTTGTTTCCCTGTCTCAAATCAGGACTTAAGGAAAGGCCTCTCTGGTTTAATCTTCATCTGCTTGACTGAACAGGCAAATGTTAATGACCAGACTTAAATGACCAGTCCTATACACCAGGAAAATTAATGTTGGATTTTACCTTTTTTTTTTTTTCCCTTTCTTTTTCTTTCTCTTGGGCTTTTCTAATGTATTTGAACCTCCGTGGTAGTGGTGCCATGCAGCCAAGATGGTACAGACAGCAGCGGGCAATGCCCTGGGATGGACTGAGTTGGGGTGGCTCAGCCCAACGGCAAGAGCTCCCTAGCAGTAACTCATAAAGCTGCACTCATCTCCCCGTGCCCCTGTGAAGGGGCCAAGGAAAGCTTGTGTCTGCAGGGACAGTCTTGTGAGGACATCAGTGCTCTATTTTCAAAGAAAGAAAAGAAAAAAGAGGGAAAATGGAGGGGGGGGGAAGAGGCTACTTTCTCATGGCCTTGTAAGACTCGGCACATGCCCAACTGCACTTGATGAAGAGCTGGTCTGGGGAAAAAAAAAAAGCACCAGTGAAGTAAGGCCATAGGCTGGGCAAGACTGACCCAACGTGGGTTGGGACCAGCACTGATCCTTCTTCGTGCTCAGCCAAAGTCATTGCTGGGGTTTTAGCTCTTGCTGAGCAGTGCTTACACAGCATCAAGGCCTTTGCTGCTGCTCACGCTGCCCTGCCAGCAAGTAGGCTGGGAACGCACAAGAAACTGGGAGGGGACACAGCTGATGCCAACTGACCAAAGGGATGCCCCACACCGTATGATGGTGGGCTCAGCGACAAACCTGGGGCGGGCGGAGGTGGGCGGGGGTGGCCATTTCTGTTTCTCAGTGGTGAGAAACTGTTTTATTTTGCACCACTTGTTTTTCTTGGTTTTGTTTTGTTGCCTCTTTGTTTTTTTTTTTTTTTCTTCTTTCTTCCTTTTTTTTTCATTATTAAACTGTCTGTAGCCCAACCCACCAATTTTTGCACTTTTACCCTTCTCTCTCCATCCCACGGGGTGAGCGAGCGGCTGTGTGGGGCTGAGCTGCCGACCAAGGTGAAACCATGACAGACATGAAGTCAGATTGTAAGCTGGGCCAAGCAGCTCAGTGAGCTGGGCTTATATATATATGTATATAAAATGTAACATTTTAAAGGACAAAAAACCCCAAACCAACCACCCTAGACTAAATAATAGGTTTAAAGGAAGAATTGAGCTACTCAAAGACCAAAAAAAGCATCCAAGAGCATGGCTGGTTTATAAAGGAAAGTTTTATTTTCAGTTATAAGGTGATTACAAACTCATCTAAAAAAGCAAAGATGACTTAAAAATATCCATATACATTTTATTTATCTAAAAAGCAAAACAGAAACTGCAAAATACAAATTTACCATATACACAAAGGCTAGGGTTTTTAGGATTAAATTACAGTCCAGGATTTTTTTCAAATACAAATATTCCGTTTTGGAACACACAAAAAATGATTTAAAATCTTTTAAAAATATTTTTAGTTGTTTTTTTTTTTCTAAAAAGTTCAGATGACATTTTTAAGGAGGCCATCATGGACATCGCCTCCTCACTGTATGTGCTACTCATCACATTACTGTAGTCACAGTTGCTAGGAATTTAAATAATAAAAAAACCACCACTGTTTTTTAGCCAAATACATCACACAAGATGGACCACCTCTTATAACGTGAAGTCCCTGGCAACATTATCAGGTAACAATCACAACATTACACTGGAGAAAAACAACATCCTATTGAACAACGAGCACTTCAGAACAGGACTGGGATGCTGCAATGCTGAGAGACAGTTGCTGGCTTCCAGAGCAGGAGCAGATGACAAACTAACTCAACTTGCCCCCAAGTGTTTTTTCAGCCTCTCAACATGATTTTGCCACTGTTCTCATTTCTTTTCCTTTATATATTGAAAACAAAAATCAAATCTTTTTAACATCTCAACTGCAGAAGCAGATAGATTTAGAAACAATATGTATCATGCTAACATGTACTATGCTACAGGACCGAAGCCTTCCCCTGCATACAAAAGCACACATGCACAGCTCCTTAGCATAATCAAGTTTCACTTTTTTTTTTTTAAACTATATTTTTCCCCATTATTTCTTCTGATTTGTCAAGTCGGGCCATGTTTTCCCTTTGCTGCAAATGGGAAAGCGAGCTGCACTGTCCCGCTGTGCGCCACAGAGCCAAACCACGGGGAGGAAGCCTCCAGAAACTCACTCCTTTTTAAAATGTCTTTAATTTGCTTTACTCCTAAAGCTCAGGGCTGTGTAAAGCTTGTGGCGATTCATTTCTGACACTGTTACCGATTATTTCAAATTAAGACACAGCAGTGATACAAAAAGGCCATGCCTGCGCTGCCATTCAATAGTCAAGCAATACCAGCAGGGTCCGGCTCTTTTCCAGTTGCAAGCCCTGTCACTAAAGTTCTCCACCTTTGATAGGGATGGGGGAGTGATTATTTTTCTTAATGTTTTCAGTCTGCAAAATTTCGAGCTTGCCTCTTTTCTTTGGTCAAATGGTGTCTGAAGCTTTTCCTGCTTTTTTTTAGGACACAAGTAAATTGAAATCACCAATTCAAAATGACAATTGGAAAAAACACACCAAAAATTGACCGTTTCTGGTTTTTTTTTAATAGAAACAAACAAATTCAGATTTTTATTTTTTTTTAAAAGCAGCGAAGCATTGTCCATGTACAGGTTTATTTTGGGCTGGCAGAAAAGAGCCATGATCCGGTGGAGGGTGCAGGGCTGGACTGGGCAGTTTTCCAGCTGGGGCTAGTGCTGGTTATGCTCAAGTCGTTCTTGATCAAGCTTTCTAGTTAACTCAAATTGACCATTGATACAAATAATAGAAAATTTTTGTGACCAAAGAATGGAGCTCAGGGGGCTTCTTTTGCACTAGTTCATGGGGTTTTGGGGGTTTCAAGTGTCACCGAATCAACTGAATACTTTCTTTCTTAAGCTTAACTTTGATTACAAGAAATAAAATGAGCTACTAGGGTCTGACAGTTCCTGACCTTTGCTCATGCAAATATACAAATACACAACACCACGTCAATCCTAACCGCAAGGCTTTGGATGCTGATTTTGGAGAAAACAAGTCCAAGGCAGCTGCCTGAACCCACACCACACCCAACCTCCCATACCAGGAGCCATGTGGTGCTTACAAGGAGCCAGAAGAGTTTTCAAGTCCAACCTCAAGGCTTCCTTGGAGGGGCCACAGCCTAGGATTTTGTCATTATGTTCCCTCTTTCACCATCCCCCAATTTAGGAAAGGCCACTTGGGCACCCTGGCAGGTTGGCTCTTTGCAGGCAAGTGGTGCCTAAACCTTCTCAATCCTCATCCTAAACAGCTCTGCAAGACTTACGCACATGATTTGCAGCCTAGGAATAGAAGCAATGTCCCCACTTGTGTGCATGCATATGAGGGTGAAAGATTTCATCCACTAGTCTACTTAAACACAGATTTATTTATTTTTTTACTGAAAGTGAGCAACTTCCATTGAATCTCCTGGAAATGATGTCAGGGTCATCTTTCTTCCAAGTGTACTTGAGCTGCTTAACTAACTTGTCCACTCCATTCAATACACAGCTTATTAACATTTTATATACATTATGCCTCCATGAGTGATCCTGCAGTGACCACAAGACATGGAAGCTAATAATCAGTTATTCAAAAACGTTCAAATCCTTCTCCCACGGATGGAGTTTTGCCATTGACGCAACAAGTGGGAGCTTTGAACCCAAGTGTGACAAGCATGACCTCACTGAAACTGTAAGTCTCCTTAGCAAATAAAAGCAGACTGGGAGGAGACTTGTAAAAGGCCTATCGAATGGAAATGTCCGTGTGTCTTCAGATCTACTCGAATTGTCTAACGCTGAGACAGAGAAGAGGAACCAGGAGTATCTGCAGTTGAGAAAGGAGGATGCACACAGGACTGAAAACAGCTGCAGAAGATGCTATCCTGATGGTGACATTAAAGGCACTGCTAATGGTTGTTGGTGGGTTGGGTTTTTTTTTTTTTTGTGTGTTACAGCAACCGTAAGGCTGCACTTTTTTTTTGTTTTCCTCCTCTCCCCAAGAACAGCTGCAAAAATCAGTTTTGCTGAGCTGTTTCAGCAGACCATTCCTAACTCCCCTCCGCTCCAGGAGCTGCACTGCTGCTGCAGGGTGACCACCAGCATTGTTCTAGATGGCAAACACAGCTGCTAGGCTTTTGTATTTTCATTTACAACACAAGAACAAATCCATTGTGGACCTACTACCTCACACTTAAAAGAGGACTTTTCTAAGTGTGTGGATCTGTTTGGACCAGATGAAAAGGAACGCTACGCATGAGAAGGAAAATGAGAACAATAACAACAACAATAAAAAGCAGTTCTATTTATGAAATCATACTGTTTAAATACCAAAATACAGACTACTGGTAAAGTCCCTTACAATAGATGCCCGTTCAGTGAGATCATAACTAGTGACAGGTGAACTGAAAAAGTTTGGAAAATTGAGAAAAATATGAAACAGGTTGGAAAATCTTGTGGACTAAACGTTCCCCTTTACATTTCTACTATCTCTTGATTTCAGTTCAGCTGGAAATAAATACTGCTGAAAATCTGCCGTTTTTCAAGCCCAGAAGAATCCATGAATACAAAGGTACATGAAATACAAAAAGGTGTGGGTTTTGTCTTGTTTTATTCTGGTTTTAAACTCAGGGATCTCGTTCTGAAGATCTCATGCCAAAACTGCACTAACTTTTCCCTGGATCCAAACCAGTTCATCTATGACTAGTCATGATATTTTAATATAGAGTTCCTCATTTACATATAACAGGTAAAATAGGTCACAAGTGTTTAAACAAGTAAATTAGGGAAAAAATCAGTTGTATTTGCAGTCAGAAATAGGTAGAAAACACAGACTTTTTGAAAAATTATGTTTTTAATAAATTTGGCAGAGGATCATGTTGAAATGCAAATTTATCATCAAGAAAAGTTCAGAAATCTGATAAAAGTGTTAGGAAAACCCAAAACTGTAAAAATATGAATGTGCTCATTGGAACTCAAACCCCGGATAAAACAAGAAGAATTAATTTTTTTTTTTTTTTGAGGGGAGAGAAGAGGGGAGAGGGGAACTGTTTTCCAGAAACAATAATTTCTTAGCTCTTCGTGAGTCCCAGCCCTCCCTTGCAGTCATGCTGAAGAGCACAGCAGGGCCAGAGAAGTTGACATAGAGAATGCTTCAATGAGGTTGTTGCATATGTGCGAGACATTTTCACTTGGTACATGGAAGCAACTGATTTGAATGGCACAGTTTATATCGAAATGGGGCTGGGTTCTAGTTCTCTAGTAGTTGTACTTTGAAAGGTGTAGTACTAGCCCTCTGGTTCTTAACACAAAGACGCTCTCCACAATGCGGGAGATGGCTAAATACCAAGCTGACTCGTCAGAGACATCTTTGATATAGCCAAACCATTATTTTTCCCTAACTAAAGCTTGTCACAGCACGAAAGTGATGTGCACGCTATATCTCAAAAACAGTTGTATGACAATGTATAGATATAAAAAAATATAAATCAAGCATCAGTGTTTCATCTGCACTCACAGAAACCATTAATTTAGACCCCCCTAACCTGCTACTGCCTCTTCACCCAGGCAAGCGTGCCTGTTTACTGCAGACACTAACTGTAACTCAAAAATGAGGGTCCAAGCTGAAGCCCACTAAAGAGAGTTATCTTTGATTACATTTCCTTGCCTTTGATGGTTAAAGGCTATTAAAAAAAAAAAAAAATAGCTGTATGCATGTTCCTTTATTTTGGGCACATGTGATGACACCCACTGGCTCACAGAATTCCCCCAGTGACCTTTGGATGGCTATTGCCACTGGCCCAGCAGGTGACACTAGATGTTAGTCACCTCCAGCTGCGGAAAAGTTTCATTTATAACTCTCATAATACAGCACCCAGAAAAAGAAAGCAAAAGCAATTCTGCCGTGGCTGGTTTTGTTGCTGCAACTTAGCTATCTGATGTAAAAATGTGTACAAATTCAAACTAGAAAGATTTTGAAAGTTACAGATGCAGCCACTTTTTCCTTTTTTTTTTTTTAAAATTAAATTGGTCCATCTCTTAAGTTTTAAATCACCCCTTTTCTGTTACAGGAAAACCAGCAAGCTAATCAACAAGTGTTTGCGCTTCTGCGGCCAGTTAGCCCATGGGACAAGAAAAAATAAAATAAAACTGCTGTGTAGGAATGTTAAGAACTGGATATGTTCCTGTTTAAATGACAAACTCTGCCCTGACAGACCAAGCTGACAGCAGCATAAGCAGATACAAACTCTGGTTTTACCAAGCATTTCCTCTAAATACCTTTGGATAGCCTAACTGTGGTATCATAAGAAGAAAAAAAAATCTCTCCCTCTACTACAATGCCCACAAGAAAAGGCTGAGTTTCGCCAGAGAACCTGTTCCCAGCACAACCTGCTCAAGTTTTTTAAAAAAAAAAAAAAAAAAGATTTTGTCCATGTTTTGGACAGTCTTCAGGGAGCAATTCCCCATGGAAACATCCACCTCGCCCACACAAAGCAGAACCCCATTCCTACGCTCCTTGTAGTGGTTTCTCTTCACTCCCCAGTCTAACCTGGAACAGTATGCAATTCTTTCTGACCAAATACAAAACATTTCAGTGTTACATGTTCCCTTTGCTTTGACTTAAAATCCTGAAAGCCCTGTTTCTTCAGCAGAAACGATTCATAAGCCTCGTAAATATGTCTGCACCCTCCCCCCCCCAAAAAAAAAAAAAAATTACGTTTTAACCCAATGATGGGCAAGGAGACTGGGGCCCCTAGGTCCACTGCTGCTATTTAGTAACGTGGGACAAGGGACTTTTAGTCCTTTTGTCTGTTCCCCCAACAGTAATGAACACCCCCCCAAATAAATAAATAAAGCAAATCCTGGTTACTGAACTTGGCAAAGCATTTCTGAGATACATGGATGAAAAGCACCTGTTTGCTGAATGGTATTATTATCTTTATTACTATTATTATTAACAACTTGTCTGTTATAAATACCGGTTACACCAAATGTAGGTGAACGGTTTTGTTCCTCCTGTCAGGGATGACCTGGTTTGCGTTCACCTTTGGACGGTCAGAGTCCAGAAGGGATTCTTTTATTTTTCTGCCCAAAACCAAAGTCCAATAATTAACATGCAAACAAATGAGCAAGCAAACATCTGAAGCACCCAGAGGGCAGGTGCTGCTTTTCCCCTCTCAGCTCCTGGGCACTCGCCCCTGCTGCCCTGGGGACAGGCTGCCCCTCCCAGTTTGCAGAATTCAAGTTTACACCAGTGCCACCACACTAAAATATGCTTTGCTGGAAAACTCAGGAGCAGGTACTCAACCTCCCTGCTCTACGCATAAACAGCAGGCATTTCACTTAAGTAAAAAACCCCCCAAAACCTTAAAAAAAGAAAAAAAGAGAGGAAAAAAAAAAGAGTGAACCATGCCAAATCCTGCAAACACCTTCCTAAAGTCCTCCTCTCGTCTGTGTGACAGGGTCCCAACGCCATGCTAGGGAGGGATGGCCGCAAGGCTCTTCACACCCAACTTCTCTGCCTCCCTCGCAAACTCTCTGCTCCAGCTGCCCGGCTATATCTTTATTCAGGGACTGTGCTAAACATAACTGTACCCTTTCCCTAGTGTGACCCTGAAGCCTGTCGTTTACCACAATTGAACCAGAGGGTGGAAATACTACACCTTTGAAAATTCTCTTGAAACAGCGTCTTTTTTTTAATCATATCTCTAAACAGAGCTCCTTTTGTGTGTTCTGTAGGTTACCCTGCTCCCAACCATACCAGCACCTAAAATTGCTTTCTGAGACTTGAATGTATTGCTGGCAAGACAATCAATTCAAGTGGTAAGGTGTATAATATTTAGAGATAAAGATATATATATTTTTAAAAAACCCAATAATAGTAAATTCCTGTAATATGTCTAGTCTGATATGAAAGCTCTCCCTCTACAGAGAGACATCTGCTGTGATTACCTTACAAAATATTAAAAAAAAACACACACAAAAAATAACTTTCTCTGTGAGAAATAAAAATAAATCCTAGTGCAAATATAAAGCTCTGTAAACCTGGTCCTATGAGAATCTATGGTTAGTAAACGGCAGTTAAAGCAGGTTTATCCTCTCACAGAGAGAGCTCACATCATGGTTTCCACAATGATATGAGTTGGCTTGATCAATCCGCCATTCGAAGTTCCATTGGGGCAGAAGGGGGTGCCACTCTCCGTTTCTTTGGACCACCGATTCACTTCCTTGGGGGCAGCCACTGCTTTTATCCTCTGAAAGAAAGAAGAAAAACAGAGGTGAGAAGACCAGCCGGCCCCTGAGTCTCCATGTGCAGGATGGAGGACGTGGCAATCCGAGGATGGGGACGGCGGCTGCCAGAGACGTGTGTATGCTGCGTGGCTCTGCAAGGACACGGGGACCTGGGCTGTGGAGCACTGCGTTCAACTTTTGCTCAGCTGCAGAGCCTGACTTGATGCAAGCGAGTCAGACAGGAGAGGGCATTCACAGCGTTATCCAGCATCCTGCATGTTGGGCTTTCAGCGCTGCAGCTGCTGCTCAAATTATGTGCATTCTCCTTCCTCATTTAGAAACAGCTCTGCCTTTTAGCCCAGCCGCTCATTGCCAAGTGGCAGCTTCTCTCCTACATCTAAGTTCACAAAGGAAGAACTAAACAGCATCTGACCAGTGTTTACTCTCTTTCCTTTCCTAACATGGTCTTTGAGGAGTGTTTTGGCTACTTTTAGACTTGTCTTTCAATAGATGGTGACAATGTAGGCAGGAAAATAAACACTCATGAAAATGCTCTGGCCACAGCTGAAAAAGACCATTAACACTTGGAGGAAAACAAATGCAAGTGTTTGTGCTCTGGGAAATGTTCTTTTTTTATTCTATTCTCTCTTTTTTCCTAACCCGAAGTGTCCCACTTTCTCCTCCAAGAATACCCTGGGCTGCAGTTAAGACCATCTCATTAGGCAAAAACAAAACTAATCTGAAACCTTAGAAGAGAATTGCTAAGTTTCATGCTTGCACAGTCTCTAAAAACTTTCCACTGGAAGAAAAACAAATCAGGGGAACCTGTGCTGAACTGTGAAGGGCAAGAGATTGCCTGCAAATCCAAACCTGAAAGAATCTGCGCTGTCAAGTCTGAATCCGACCCAAAGTTTTCCAAAGATCAGGGCAATCTGGATCCAGTGTTTTGATTTGATTCATTAGGAATAAATAAAAATTTAAAAACAGCTAAAAAGTGAAGCCCACTGGCAGGAGGGTTTGACTTGTATTCAGTCCCCCAGAGTGAAGGCCATGCCTGAGAGCCACACAATCCACAGGTGGATCCAAATTTCCCTGAAATTCAGTGAGCTCTTAGACAGCCAGGTTTGACCCAGGTCTCTCTCTCTCTCTCTCTCTCTCTCTCTCTCTCTCTCTCTCTCTCTCTCTCTCTCTCTCTCTCTCTCTCTCTCTCTCTCTCTCTCTCTCTCTCTCTCTCTCTCTCTCTCTCTCTCTCTCTCTCTCTCTCTCTCTCTCTCTCTCTCTCTCTCTCTCTCTCTCTCTCTCTCTCTCTCTCTCTCTCTCTCTCTCTTGTTTTCTTAGTGATTTGTAGGATGGTGCTTCCTTCTCCCCGTGGGCTGGAGAAGAGAGATCTGGCACTGGGAAGCACCCCAGTCCTTGAGCACTTGTCTGCACATGGAGGCAACGATTTGCCAAACTAGAACCTGCAGAAGTGGGACGCAAGTAAAATCACCTGGTGTTTGAGGACAGAAGGCTTCATGTTTGTTCTGTTTCTATTGTTAGCCCAAAGGACAGGTGATCTTTAACACTCTTGTTTGCATTCACTGCAGGAGAGGCACCCAGCTTTGCCCTACCTAGACAAGGTGGGAGTTTTCCAAGCATTGTGCTTATTTTGTGTAAAACAGCAAGTTAAAGCTCCCTTTCTCCTCCAGACAGACAACCGGTTGCTCTTACCTCAATGAGCGACCCATCTGACTGTATGATGCGGATGACCATCACCATAGGGATGCAGATCATGGAGGAAAGGGCAAGAACCCAGCCCAGGCCAATTGCCCAGTCTGGGTATGTGTAGACCTTGTTGTAGGTCAGTGGTTTGTACTTGGCCAAAGAAAAGATAAAGCACCCCTGTGGATGAGAAAGAAAACAAAGTGAGGGTCAAAAAATGCTGAAAGCAGTACGGCTCTGGTGCTACCACTGACCCTAAGAAGACAGGCAGTGAAAGGCAGAGTTGATGGATACCATATGTATTTTAAACCAATGAGCGAATTATTCTTCCATTTAAATTACTGAAAGAGCATCTGCATCTGCTTATAGGTAAACTGTTGCTTGACAATAGGGTGTTAAGCAACGGTGCTGAGCAGCTGCAGTACATTGCCTGTTCTTTTTCAGGGCTCAAATACTTGCTGTACATTGCAAGGAGCTTTCTGGGGTGTTCTTCCCAGCAAATGAAATACTTCAAGCCGAGTCTCTGCCTCAGACTGCTCAAGTCATTTTGTTAAAATGGCCCAGTAGTCCTATCACTTAAAGTAGGGACTGCTCTTGGGAGAGTGAGTTTTCTGTGTCCTGAATGTAGTATTTTGCCAATCCTAAGAAAAAACCACTCAAATGTAGACAACTGCAATTTGTGCAGGCACAGCAGAGAGCTGTCACATTAACAGCTAACACCTATGTCTTTGAGGGCTATGTTCAAGCCTCCAGCAGCTCTTTGCAAATTGGTCTCTGAATGCAACAGCCTTCACTTGAAGAGAAGCAGTGAGAGGCAGCTCAGAGCTGCTACGTGGAAGACTTGAAAGAGCCCGGGTCAGTACTCACCACGCAAAGAACTGGTGTGATCACAGTCCAGCTCCATTTCATCCAGGGACCAGGTCTGTATCCAATCATATCCTCAATGGCATCATAAATATTATCAGCGCCTGTAACGGATAGTGAGCGCATTTATCAGAATTGAGCATATAAAAGCCATGTAAGGACTGTAGGATTACAGCTGCTTTCCTAACCCCTCCAAGGGATATTTAAAGGGAAGACGAAGGTGTCAGATGTATTGTTCAAATGCTTTCCATGGCTGTGAAGTTCAAGATTATTTTCTCCTTGAGAAGCTCAAAGGTTGGGGGACTCTCTCATCCTATACACCCCTCATTATTTAGATGCAGGAGTGCAATGCTAATCCCTCCTGCCCACTCCTCTCCCCAGACCCTCACTGCTCTTGCCAGGGGGAATCCACCATGGGAAGGACACAACAGCAAACGGTACATCCTGCTTCTACAGAAATTTGACTGATGCAAACTGAAGGCTTTGTTTGTTTCACTTTCCTAAGGAGACGGAGTACATGAAGACTCAGGGAAATGACCACTCCTAAGCAGCAAACATCTTCTGATCATTCCTTAGCTACCATCTCAGGCAGCTACTGTCAGACCTTGGTACTCAGCATCGTCTAAAAATAACGGGACAGAATACACTTTTCTGTCAGCTTTCTTTTCGTATTTCCTATTTGGTTGGCTTGCCCCTTACAGACATTGCAGCTTTGAAAGGAAATTCTCTGAGAGACAAACAGAAATTTTCACAGCTGGCCAAACTTTCAACTCTCATCTCTAAACTTAACACATGTAAATGCTTAATTGTATCTTTATTAATTAGCAATGGAAAAATACTCATTTTTGTGTGGAAAAACACTGGAGGTTGGCTTCATCCCAGATGCAAATTTGTCTCCAAGAGGTCAGTGCAAATTTATATTAACGGCATGTGTCTGTTGCTGGGAAGAAGATTCTGGGGTGGCTGATGATTAAATGTTTGGCTAGCAAAATTGTCACTGACTCATCAAAAGGTATCAGATGAAAGGATTCTCACTTACCATAAACCCAGGCTACAGCAATACATTCAAAGAATGCAACCCACAAAAGGCATACACCACTAGCTGCATAGTAGTCAAAGAGTTGAAAAACATACATGCCACCCTGTAAAAGAGAGACATAATGGATTAGGATCCAACAGGAAAAAACCTGAATACTTCAGGCCCAGCTCCCAGTAACATCTACCAACGTATCTTAATGATTGTTGTCTAACAAGAAGAAATGTCAAGCAAGTAGGTAAGGTAAATATTTAGCATTACCTTCCCCAGGGGATATGTATGTTTACTACATGCATCCAAACAAGACGACGATCAAACAAAATTAAGCCACTTAGTATAATCTACTGAGACACTTAAATCTTTCCTTCTTACAAGTATTTTAGGATGGGCATTTATAGAAACAAATGATGTAAAGAAATAATAGGTCACCTCCTAACACTAATGCCTCCAAAATACTAAAAATGGAAGTCAGTTCATCAGGAGGGTCTTCATTTATGAATTGAGTGGAAGGACTTTTTTTAATGAGAATAGTTCATTTTTTTCTTTCTATATTTATACTGTGCTGTTAGACTCCTTGTTCTCACTACACTGAACCGTATATACCTGCACTTTTACTTGAAAAAACTGTGTTTGTTAGGCACCTCTGCTGCAGGTGCTGTTTTAATTCCCACAATCATGCTCTTCCAGTTGTTTTTAAAATCTGGCTTGGATTTTATTTTGGAGATAAATATCACAACAGTGCAGCCACTGGAACATATTCCCATCTTGTTTATACTAGAATAAATCCAGGGGTATTTAATTGATTCAAATCTGTGTAACTAAGATAAAAATCTCTTTCCCTGCATGCACTGGATGGATTCTTAATCTGCTCTGCTGAAGGTGTTTCATCATTTGGAGCCAGATGTTAATATTCATACTCATGTCGATTAGTACCTGAGATCAGATTGAATTTAATGAGATTTCATTTCTCTGTTCCTCTGACTGAAAAGGGGGGAATATAGAGCTCCTTTTCAAAATGCTTTCAGATCTAGGGATGAAAGATGCTCTGTAGATCTAAAGAGGACTGCTCCTCTGAGTGGCTAATTTCGTGCAGTCTCTTTCATAGCTAAAATTGGTCTAAAAACTGGCTAAAAAAGAAGGCAATTTCCAGAACCGGTGCTACTTACCTCAGTCACCATAGTTAGTCCCAGAAGATAGCTAAGGAAACATACTATAGCGATGAAGATTTCCCGTCGGTAACCCTTCCTTAGGAAGGATGGGTGCAGATCAACTAATGACGTGATCTGTCCTTCAACTTCAACAAACTAAAGGGGAAAAACAACAACAAAGAAATGTGACTTGAAAATTACCCGCCATGCATTTTATCCGGGCTCATACTTGAACAAAGGCTCCACAGCAACACCCTGACTGTACTCTGTGGCAAAACATTGCTCCGAATAAATAAATAAATCGGAAGCCATTCCTTTGTAACCCAGAGGTTGAAGTGTGGGGGTAGTTTTCAGGTTGGAACAAGCTTTCAGAATTGCCGTTCATTTCCTAGCAGCCTTATGAACCACCAAAGGGGCTCTGTAAATGCAAGCCGCAAGGATAAAGGAAATTAATTCGATGACAGGAAGGCACTTATGTGGCTTTTATGTTGTAGCTGTTCCAGATGAATACAAGATGTATGCTAGAAAAGCAGCAGAGAGAAAACACTCCAAAAAGCCTAAGCTAGGAGAGTACCTCCCAGCCTTTTTTTGATGTGCCAGGAAACCTCACAGGTACTAGTTAGGTTAATTCCACAACTGGATATAATTCTACTCTTGGGTCTGCTAGTGAAAATCCAGCCAAGGGAAAGCAGACTTTGATGTGAAATAGCAGCACTTCTTGACTGAACTTGTCTTTTCTGAACCTGTGAGCAGAGTACCTCTGACTGAGGCTCTGGGGTACTTCTGCAGCAATAACGGAGCTGTTGATACAGTCCCCATACAAAGATTTGGTAAACTATTTGCATGTGTAAACGAAAAATGAAGCTCTGAATAGACGAGCTAAAAATGTTACTTTATCTAGCTTCATGGTAACTGTATTTGTACTTACTTGCCATTGGAAAACTACATGTAAGATGTGTAACTTGAGTTAACCAAATAACCCAAACTGGATTTGAATAAAAGTTTGAAGTTAATCAAAAACCAGATGCATTTCACCCATGGAGAAAAGCGACTACTGAACTGCGCCCAAGCAAATCTGAAGAAGGGGTCATTCAGCTGATCTGTACTTTCAGCCTGGCAAGGTACAAAAGAACCAAGTTCACTGAAGACATGAGGATACCATGGAGAACCAAAGCTGCCTCTGAGGATATGATGTTCACTTTAAGTGGATACATCATCTTATAACTAATGAGTTATCACGGGGAGCCTATGAAATAGCATTATTTCAAGAAAAGCTACCTTTTTCTACCCAGTAGCTATACTGCTCTTACAGTGCCCAGAAGTGCCCTGTAACTACACTCTTTGACCACGAGCTGAAGCTCCATTTTGGAAATACAGACCATCCTGCAAACACTCCACCAGATTTTGTTGCCTCCCGTCTTGTTACTTTGACTTCTGTAAAACTGGTTTTCTTTTTAAATGCAACCCTTTCCTTTGGGCTGATTTGATCTTAAACTGCTCTGGCATTCCAGAAACCTGCTTGACTGCACTCCAAAAAAACAGAGGGGTGGAGGAGAGAAATTAAGCGCTCCAATTAGTTTTAATCATTCTACGCAGTGAGGAGCTTTTTAAAATTACTAGACAGCTTCCAATTTGTATAAGCACAGGGTTGTTGAACCACGGCACTGGGCACTTTTACATTTACTTTGGAACGATTGAAAGTTGCTCACTAGAGTTCAAAGATTAAGCCATAAAGAGCAATTTAGGGCAAATGGAATATCAAAAATGTAAGAGATTAAGTACACAACAACTGGGTAAAAATCCATTTAGAGATCTCTCCTCATACGAGAGAGCATTTAGGCTAAGTGAACATTTCATTCTTACCAACTGGGTTTTTATAACCTTAGTGACTTTCCATTTGAGTGCAGAAAGCTGCCTGTTGCCCTGAAAACTTTGGCAATTTTGAACGTGTAGTTACTGCATAATCCCTGGTCACCCATGTTTCCTTGTAAGTGGACTATCTAGAAATGATTTACAGGTTCTTTGGGAGTATTTAGTCCAACATTCTTACAAGCAACCACCGGGAAAAATAACATAACTTCTTAGACTGAACTTTTTGATTTTTTTGCTCACTAATTAATAGCAGTGTGTGCTATAAAATTAGTACAGCTGGAACCCAAGATGCTTTCTGGCCTGTTTGGAGGTACTGAATGTGCATTGGTGATGTGAAAGTCAGCAAAATCCCAAGCTGCTCAGCAGCTCTGAGCCTAAGGCCACCGAAAAAGGCTGTGGCTTTGTCCTCTGACTGTTTATGAAGCCACCCTAGATACACTGTACAAAACATTTTGTGCTTTTTGTGCCTCACGATGGCTTAGCTTTTCTTTTTTGGCGCTTGGCAACCATCAAAGCCTGTATGCCTAGTAGTTATTAATTCTTACAAAGTGTTTTAATGATGGTGTATACACACTGCAGGTGATCGCAACGGCACAAAGTACTCTGGAACAGACTGCTGTAGTCTTTTATGTTTTAAAATGGTTAAGGTCTTCTCCAAAGTAGGAAAATACTGCACTGCGACCAAAATGGTGGTATTTTGCGGCCAGACTGGGACTGATATTTAGGTTAGGGAGTACTGCCCTAGTCTTGTGGACTCCATTAACTCTTGATGACAAAGACTTACTGAGCAACATCATACTATCAACCAAGAGATTCACCAAATGCAGCCCCTGCACTAAAAAGCAACCCAGATGAATTCCTCTTAAGCAGCATTAGAGGTATTCTCTTCTTAACTCATGCCTGTAAAACCAGTTTTTCTCAGTCAGCAGCGCCAAGACAATAAGCCACATATCTCTTACCCATTGTACTAACCTGGCTATCCAGTCCAAGCAACAGAAGCATAATAAAAAAAAGGATTGCCCAAAAGGTGGGCAGTGGCATCATGGACACAGCTTTTGGGTAGGCAATGAAGGCCAGGCCTGGACCTAGAGAAAGAGAAAATAGGAAAGGGGGAAGGGAAGGGAAGGGAAGAGAAATAGTAAGTGCCAGCTCTTTGGTAAAGGTAGCCACACTCAAATGCAGGAATGCCTGGTTCCGTTCAGATAAATCCAAACGCGGCTGGAAATACCAGAAGTGAAACAGTTTGGCTCTTTTATCTGAAATCGAAGCACGCATGACTACAGCAGAAACCACAGGCAAACCCCCGAGGCCATTGCAAACAGATCACCAGTTTTAACATCTGTCTCAAACATGCCAATAATGGATGTGGTCCTACACCTGTCCTGCTCGGACACAGGACGGTATTGGGGCCGGGGGGAGAAGGGGTGACCCAGGGGAATGGCAGAATCCCACTGCTAGCCCACATGGTCACGATGAAGATGATGATGATGAAACTCTTTTGCATGCAGGGAAGGGACTCTGCTCCAAACGTTCCCCAGGATCTTTGCTAATGCAACCACTGCCTCCCTCTGTATGCAACCTCCAAACCCAGCATGGCTTTTCTAGAGCGGGGTTTGCACTCCAGGAGTCTGCTCCTTTGCTTCTGCAAACCCTCACTGCTGCACTGAAGTGATCAGGCTACTCCTAGTTATATCAGCTGTGGTCCCTGAAGAAAATGCTTCCTGCTGTTAGGAATTGCTGGTGTGTAAAATCACTCTGTGTAAAATCACTTCCCACGCTGGCGCATCACCTGTCCCTATCCGGCCAGCCTAGGCAGACCTGCCGCGGTGACGCTAATGTGACCAACATCAGCCCCAACTGCAGGATGGATTGCAACAGTCTGGGAGCACCAGCGGGGCTGGGACTAAGAGCCTGGCTTCTCTGCCCTGGAAACCAAAGCCTTGTTTGCAAGGGCTTATTACTAGACTGGGTCTTGTCTGCACAGTGGACCAGACGGCATCTCACTCATACCGACACACCGAACATACGTGCAGTGCTCTTGCATGCTGACCTCCAAAGGTGCTCTCACCTGGAGCCAGGTGCTATCAGCTATCGCTTATGAGAGCTTTTGTTGAGAGAGAAAGAGCCCTCTCCAAGTGGGAGACAGGAACACTGGCAATCTGGCATTTACGGCAGGCTCTCAAAGTGGCCATAGAAATTTTGTGAAGCCAACAAAAACTTCTGAGGGCAGATTCAAATTCAGATTAAACCTGGGAATGCCTGGCTCATCTGCTTGTTTGTTTTAAGGAGCCTCAAAACCCAGCATTTTCCAGGATTTTGAAGTGGATTCAAGTAGTTTTCAATAGGAAAAGGAATTTTTTTTAAACTGCTGCAGTGCAGGGACAGAAATCTTATCTCTGATCTGTACAGGAAAATCTCTAACACTGCTCTTCCTACCTCCCACTTTTCCTTTCCAACAAGAAAGATGGAAAAAGAAGCAAGAGAAAGAGGTAAAAAAAAAAGGATGACTTTTTTTCAAACTAAAGAAAACTTTAAGTCACTGAAAATATTTGAACAGAAATAAATACAAATTAGCCAACAATCGAGCAACTAATTTTATTTAAAATGAAACACAACTAAGATTTTATATGACAGAAGATACCAAAAAATTGGTGAATGTCTCAAATTTGGGGGGGCTTTGCTTTTTTCCCCCTAATTCAGCGGATATAGTAGAGCCTCCCTGAGGGGGAACTGCTACCAGATGGCATTTGCAGCTGATCTGTGCAATTGATGAGACAGATGTAAAACTGCTCTCCTCAAAACTTGCTGCAATTCTGTATGCTTTGGCCAGTGAAACTGTCCTTGCACTGTCATACAGTTTAACACCAAGTGTCCTAAGCCCTGCACTAGCTTTGATTTTCCTTTGAAACTAAGTGTTGAAATATAAAGAGAAAAGTCCATGTGAAAGAAAATGTTCCTGGCATCCCCTCGACTGAACATAAATAATCTAAAATTGTATTTAATTTGAAACTCTGTTGCTCTAAAGGGTGTTTTGCAAAAGTGAAGCACTTGCGGCTGCTATTAAGAGCTAATTAGGACTGCCAGAATCCCAGCCCACTTGCTGGCCGTTTGCCGGCGAAGTGCTGCGGCACGGCTGGAGACGCGCCTCGGGAGCAGAGCGCTGCGGAGGCAGAGACCGGGCAGGCATTAGGAAGGCCAAGGCACTACAGTCAGGCCGGCTTAATCTGAATTTGTTTGCAGTTGGATTTAAAAAAAAGGCAGATCTTGTGCTGTTTTAACACTGCTACAAATTGCACAGGCGGTAATGTATCTCTTCCAGCCAGAGACGCAGCACAGATTAGACAGGACTCACTATGCCTTTGCTGAGCCTCCACTGCTTTCCCCTCTCCCTTCAAAAGTATTTCTGAAAAAAATCAAGTGCTATTTATTAAAAGTCTCCTTTCACTGGGAAGTCAAAGGGGTCTAATGTAACTGTCGTGTAAGTCTAAGCCAGTGAAGGCCAGCAGCAGCGACCAGTGCTTGAAGTGGGAGCCACCCCTCGCTGACGAGGGTGTCCCAGGAACACTGCACCAAGGCCGAATTTGGCACAGGTAAAAAATGTGGCCATGAGATTCTGCTGTCAGCAAATTTGTTGACGTTCCCCTGGCTTGCAGGAGGGCAAACAAGGAAACAAATGGTGTCACGCATAGGGCAGGAGGGATTTAACTCACTGGGCAGAGACATGGCGGGCAGGAGGTCTTGGCCCCGTGGACAGCGTCCCCTCCCTGGTGCTACGGCCAAGCAGCAGCACCTCTGCTCACCTTTTTCCTGACCCAGGGGAGCGGTTCTGACCTTGTGTCATACAAAACCAAAAAAGGCAAGGCTGAAAAAAGAGGCTCAAGCACCTGCTGAATGTCTCTGTGCTGAGAAGTCAGCCGCAGGGCAGCAGAGGCAGCCAGAGCCTCCCCCACGGCCCCACGCAGGTCCTGGGACGCTCATCCCAGGGGACCAAGCAGTCTCCAGTGGCTCTGCGCTTGACCTCTGCTGAGAAAGAAGTGGTTTGGATAATTTTGGGTCATTTTGGTAATGTTTACTGTCATGTAAAAATGTCCCTTAGGATTTAGCCAAAGACCAGCCAGTGATGATGGGCAACCCACTGAACAGTGAGGCGGTTGCAATCTCTGGCCAGTAGCAACTTGGGCTGAATTTAAATAAAGTAGAAAACCTGAAGGAATTGACAACAAAATATGCAAGAAACCGAAAACCAAATTCGGAAGCTAATCAGTGCCCTCGTTGTCCCTATAATAAACTATAAAACCCCTCCTTTAAAAAATGCTTTTTGCGCTGTTGATAAAAAAATGCTATGTAAACACTGTCTGTTAGTTAATTTGTATTTAAACATTACTTAACAACCCATTGTTACTATAAAATCGTTTAATTCTAAAAATGTCAAGCAACAGGAATATAACTGCCTGTTTATCAGAGGTTTAATAATAAAAATTAGAATAAATATTGACCAGATAAAAACCTAATGTGGAAATACTTAAAAATGCTATTCTCGGAATTGATCCACCTACATATTAAAAAAAAAGAGGCTATTTATGATTCATTCAATAGGATTATTCCCTTGCTTCCTGTTTTCAAACAAAGCAATCGACCTCCGATCAAAGTAAGCGTTATGGCCAAGACCGTTAACTAACTGCACTTGTGAGAGTTATGCCAATTGCAGCCACCCAAGAATCCAGTGGTGCCACCAATGTCATTAGTTTTTCATTAGCCCTTGTGAAGTAAGATATCTTTCTTAAAGGCTTAACTCCCAGAGCCATGTGATCAGAAGATACATTGACTTTTTCTTTTTAATAGCATGTTTGCAGAGGAAAGCTTTCAAATACTATGCAGATGAATTAAAATTGCTCAAAAAAAAAAAATCAGAAAGAAATGCCAGAAGTGCACTCAGGTGACGTTGTTATTACTTGAATCTGATTAGCTTTAAGCCTCATGGCTGTCGAGGCCTGACTCATTATTTTTGAATGGTAATTCCCATCTAATCTGTCTGTTCTACGTGAAAACACATGGTTACACCTGCCCTCATGGACAAGACATGCACAGAGGAGAAAATGTCATCTGAGATACATTCACATGCTATGAGGATTTAGCCTTACGCAGCTGCAAGTGCATAGCTGAATGTTAATGGGAAGAACAGTTCTGAAATAAGGGAGGAACCTAAGTGTACATCCAGTTTCAAAATGGACTTCTCACAGTTCTGTCACCCTCACCCTGAAGCTACAGAGGACAAATGCAGGACTGCAACAACTAGAGTTCCTGTGGATGAAATGGTGCACAGAACCCAGGAGATGGAGTTCTCCAACCTCTCTTGCCTTTCAGTGAGACTTGGGAATGTATGCGTGTATGTCCCTTCAAAAGGCCAAGGTAATATTCCCACTGCAGCGCTCTGCTGTGAGCAAGCAAAACTAAGCTATGAAAAATACATAAACACTGGCTATTTGCATTTGAATGAAAATAAAGGTAGTCTGAAAAGAAGGATGGAATAAATTCTCAAATTAATGACATTCTGGACGCTAGATAATAGTGCAGTTATCTTAATTCTAATCTCAACTCAAATGGATTAGCATACTCTAGGAAATGTGTTCGCTGCCCTGTTAATCAAGACAGAGTAAACAATACAACCCCGGCTAACCCTCACTGCTCTAGATGAAAGCCCAAATCAACAATGTGCTTATTTTTCTGGAGATTATGGGAAATCTTGTTCTGTTTTTATTGCTTAGATGTTAGCTGATTGAGTCTGCAGAACTTTGCTCACACGCTAGGCGGCAGTGCCCACCACCACTGCCACCAATACCATCGTACCTGACTCTGCCACATCAGCAATGTTCACCCCTTGCTCTTGTGCCATGAAGCCCAGGACGGAAAAAATTGCGAAGCCAGACACAAAACTGGTACCACTGTTCAGGCATCCCAGCAGCAAACAGTCCCTAAGTCACACATATGTCATGGAGCAAGTTAATTAAAAAAAAAATTAACCCATTGTCCCTACTTTATTTACATCATTTAGCTAAAACACTAAACCCCCTTGGATGGAAACTTGCCTATAGCAGTTGTATTTGTACTTGTTGTAGCTCCCCAGGGAAGTCATTGCTCCTAAGCAGATTGCATATGAGAAGAAGATTTGTGTCCCTGCATCTATCCAGACCTAAAGGGAAAGACGGAAAGACTGTTATTACCTGCATCATTGCATTGCAACACTCAACACAAACACACAGTTAAAACTATGCAAAATCAACAAAATAATTGCTTCCATTGAGGGTGATAGCTAAAGGATCAGGGAGGGAAGGAAAGAGAACATCACATTTGCAAGTTTGGCTTTTATAGGGAAAAGAAAACTGTTAGCATCAGAGCCTACAAGAACATAATCTCTTCAACAGTTCCTGTATCCCCTCCCCAGAGATGCTCAGTATTTCTAGTCTTAGTCATTCAGCTGATCCTTCCTGTTGGCGCAACAATAAATGTGTTTCAGTGCAATAGGAAATGCAGAAGTATTTATAACATTGCTCATTTCTGTTGTAACTCATTTCAGTTAGAATCAGCTGACAGACCCACTAAACTGAGGATGTGAAAAGCTTGAGAAACAGGTTTGTGTATTTGGTTTGTTTATTTTTCTAGCTTTCTGGTTGTTTTTGTATCTGTTCAAATGCAAGATAAAAAGCCATAGGGGTGGGGGGAAAACAAGCAAAATACAATGCACTTTATAAGATTTGTATCTGATCTCGGTCTCATGATTCTTTCTCCTGATTACATTAAAAAAAAATATACAGAGTGAAATAACAGTACACTATCAACTTCTCAGTTAGTAAACACGTAGCAAGCTATCAAAATGCATCCATTGAAACCCATCTGTTCACTTCTTTCTGCTAATGGAAGTCTGCTAACACCAGTAGAAACCACCAAGGAGTCTGAGTAAGTGAGAATTAAGACTGTAGACCATTACCTCCTCCCTCCCACCATCGCTTTCCAGCACCTTGCTGACTGGTGTCTCCTTGGAGATGATGCTTTTGCTAGACCATGGGAGGGGGCCTGCCAGCTCGCATGAATCTCTTCTACATTATTGGCTGATGCTCTGGGCTTAGGGCTAATAGTAGATCATAAAAATGATAGAGTCCCATAAAAGAAGATTCATTCATAAAATATAATGTCTCCTGAGAAGAGGGTGTCTTGTATAAAGAGGGCAAGACTAGAGAATGAACCAGATTTCCACAATGTTTCTTTCAATTACACTTTTCCTACTTCAGTTATTTAGCTATCATTGGAATTTTATTTTAACCAAATATTCATTAGAAAGAAATAGCAAAGACAGACTCACTGTGACCAACACTTTATTTTCAAAGATCCCTTGGGTTTTTTTGGGGGGTATTGCATTTTTTTCCATTTCTCACGTGATCACTATTGGCTGAAATGATGCTGGTCTGCTCAAGCGTCACATATTTGCACTCTGTGAGCACAGACAGGAACCTTTACCTAATCACAGCCTATACAGAAAGAGTAAGCCTAGCTCCACTAGCCAGGGCTAAGCGAACGGTAGTTCCTGTGCCTCAGAAAGCATTTTTCTCCACCTTTGCATGGGTTTTCATTCTTCTATTATTTCATTCACCTCTTTCCCAATCTCCTCCTATTGAGCAGTGGGAGTTTAGTGACACTGGTACTCACAGTTGTTGCTTGTTGTTCCATCTGTGAAGCTCACGTGTCTCTCCTTTGAAACTAAAGACTATCCTCATTAAAAAAATGCATCTCCCTTACCTTACCAACAAGAAAGCTGAGATTGTATAACGGGACAGAGTCTACAGCCTCAGAATCCTTTGACACAAAAAAAATACACACGCATACACACACATACATACACATGGAAAGATGCATTAACACATATAACAGTGACCTTCTCAAGCAGATCTCTGGAAAATATAACCCAGCATTAATGTTCATGCTATATTTGGACCTCTAAAGACCGTGGAAAAAAAATCTATTGCCATTACATCACCACCATCACCCTCCACCATCCCCCTACGCGTAGAAAATCGTCCCGCTCCCCACTCCTGGTTCTGTACCTGTGGGTCAGCTAACCGTGAGATATCAGGATAAAGATAAAACTTGATGCCTTCTGCAGCTCCAGGCAGGGTCACACCACGGATGAGCAGAACAAGGAGCATGATGAATGGGAACGTGGCAGTGATGTACACTACCTGGCAATTAAAAAAAGAAAAGAAGAAAAGGTATGTTTAGTCTGCGGCAGTGAACGCTACACCTCCAGAATCAAGAGAGATCTAACAATGGGATTTCAAAGCCCCCTCATACCTAAAAAGGACCTGACCTGAGTTTCTGTGTCTACTTTTAGTTTAAACTAAAAGTCTTTACCACCTTATTGCTTTAGGCCTGCAGGCAATGCAGGTTCTTTAATCCCTCCAGAGCCCCCCAGACAGTGGTCACATCACTCAGGCAGAGAACACGCAAGATTTTATACAACTCATGACTTTTGTTAGAAATTCTGCCTTTGCTCTGTTTGTCTTCCTCACATGACAAGTGCACCTTTGCCAGGGCAGCTGAAGAGATTCCCTTGCCAAGGGTGCCTAAAGCATTACCTCATTCTTTATTTGAACTTAAAACCTGCAAACTGTTTTGCAAGCTCTGCTGCTACCTCTGACTTTGCTGTGCAGCCTCACTACTGCTCCTACAGGCAATTTCATGAGGCACTTCTTTCAGAGATGAAGATAATTTGGTCCATGCTCCTGTGCCTCCCTTCCCATCACCTTGAACACATGAAGCCCTTCAGGTTGGCATCAGCCTCAACGGTGGTAATTTCCAGCCCCATAGCTTCATTCTTGCCCTTGCTGCCTATTCAGCAACATCATTATTGGAAACTAAGGCTCTGTTCAACCAGTTTTGAGAATGTCTTCATTATCTTTAACCTCTATTCCCAGTCTCTTTGAATAACAGCCTACTTCTTCTCTTCTTGTTATCTGCTCATTCATTTGATGAAAGAGCCCTTTGCTTTAATCTCCAGCGTGAGGGTTAATTGAGCTTGCATTTGGACAGTTTTATTTTTAGACCCATGCTTTTTGACCTCTAACATTTTGTTTTCTTTGCTCATCAGTGCTTTCTCTCATTTTTTATATAACCGCTGTGTTACAGTCAAGAATCACTACTGTCCAAGAAAGGGCATTTTTCATGGAGTCAGATGATCCCCCCAGGTAATTACAGTTTGCTGCCATGAGTTAAAATATTTTTGTTTTCCAGAATTTGACAACTACAGCAAAGCTCCCGGGATGCGCCACTTTTCTTCTTAAGTGTGTCCTCTGAGAATAACGAGCAGAACTCAAAGCCTGCATTGCCATAATAATTCATGGAGCCGAACTGATTTCATAAAATGAAAGGAAACCTTTTCATATATGTCCTTTTTAATTCTCTCCTTGAATTTTCTGTATATTTTCCACCGATGATATATATTACACATTAGCCTGGTTTCACCAAAACTTGAAGGATAAAAGGGCGCTTTCTGCGCTTCCTAATTTTTTTTTAATATAAGCCAAGCCTATGAAAAATCAAAGTTTTCTTACAAGAAAGATATTCCTGGACTTGCAGGAACTAAGTAAACAACACTCACAAAGCGGCCTTCGCGGTGCAGGTAAGGATTCTCTCGTAATGCTGGAGGAATTTTTAAGATCAAGCACATTATCCAAAGCATAAGCACAACTGTTATTTTTCCTCATGATTTCATGTTTATTTGTCCAATACGCTACTACGAGATTTAAAAACTATGTCTTTTTTTTTTTTTTTCCTCTCTCCAAAGAGCCATTAACACGCTGCAAAGCAGGGAAGTGCTATAAACAACCATCTACTAAAGTAAACTAGACTTCTCAAATAATTCAAGTCCTCCATTAGAGTTTACAGTTTACTTTTGTTTGACCTCAAAGTTAATGGACTCAACCAGAGACTTTCCAATGGTTTTGTTGGGCTTTGGCTCCACACCCGCACGAGCTTAAAACGCTGCAGAGGGGAAGCAGCGAATTCCTACCAACCGCCTTGTCTTAGAAATGAGACCATTTTGCTGAATTTTCAGGACACACAAATTTTTAGATAACTGATTTTAATAGACCTGTTTTCAACCTCTTACCCTCACAGGGGCTTGAAATAGTGTACCATAGGGAGCTTGGAAAAATCTCTCAGAGCTACCATAACCTTTACCGAGCAGACACCAGGCTCGCCAAAGGTACTGCAGAAATGTGTGCTTCCACTCGGCTACTGCGGTAGATTTATTGCGTTCACCTTTACTATAAAACTTACACAATCACCTCATCGGGTCACATCAATCAGAGGGAACAGAGAAGCAAACATTTTTGTCAACGTATGCTTTAGAGGTGTGGAAGCTGTTCTTTGGGGCAAAGCTGGCAGGAATCCAGGGTGAGGCACCAGCATGATTTTAATGAGGCTCCATGATAAATATCACAGAAAGCAAGACAGAAACGACAGTAAAGCAAGTAGTTTAGTCAACAGTGGAACTAATGGGGTCTGGCCTCCTATGGAGTTTTGTCTCCTGGTTGATTCTGCAGCATGTAACAAGGTAAAACTGCTAAATGATGCTTTTTCTGCGGTTGAGGCATTTGCAATTGCTCATTCCTCCTGACTTCTCTGGGGGCTGATAAAAGGTGGGTTCACATTGTGGCCCTTCTCTCAGGTGAAACCCTATCAGGGTCGCTCTCTTCCACTTAGTTGACAAGAAATGTGTGGGAACTTAGTGTCTTGGGACCTCTGTTAGATTTATCTGAAATGCTGCCTCAACCAACAGGTTTGAAAGCTGAGAGCCACACATATGCAATGGCTTCAAAAGCCTTTTCTCATGAAACTAGATTTAAAACCACAACTGTATGCAAGGGGCAATAATATTAAGTGATTGACCAAGATTTGCTGTAATTTTTTTCTTGCACTGGAGAGGGATGAGGTTCAGGAATGATTTAACTGTTATCCCTTAGAGAAAAACGTGATTCTAAAGAGCACACGATGAGACTACAACCACAAACTATCCAGGATCTCTGTCAAGGAGAGTGCTTCTGAACGAGTACCTAAGTTTAGTCTCCTATGTCTGCACAGAGCTCTTCTGTAAGTGAGCGGCATTTCAGAAATGCTATGCATCCAGCAGTTTCCACTGACTTAAAACATCCCTACCACAGCTATGTTAACATCCACCCCACTGCACTGAAAGTGAACTTGGCTGGTGTGAGAGCACAGACGGGGAGCGCAGAGCACCACACATCGCAAGCCTAAGACGTCTGTGCTCATGACATGCATCAGTGGGACACTCGTCCTCAGAGAGGCAAAGTGGTACTGAACCGTGCTTGTATCTGCATCTTGATGCCATTCCAGTAATGGCTACTTGACTCACAGGCATTTTGGGCACTGGCAATGACTTTCTGAAGTCAGCTGAATCCGAGTCCCTCTTCTATTCAGTGCAAAAATACATATTTTTCAAGGAAATGGTGAATATCTTTAAGAACAGCATTACTTAGTATTCTTAACATCTGCTAACTGCAATGATTATGAAAAGGGTAAAAGAGCACTTACTTTCCCAGTGGATTTGACTCCTTTCCAAATGCAGAAGAAACATATCACCCAGACGAGGAGAAGACACAGTGCTAGATCCCACTTGACAATACCAATATCTTCAATTCCTGATGACAAGCTCAGTACATTCCGCCTGAATATTTGAAAGGAAACAAAACAAAAGAGATGTAGGAGCTCAGTTGATGCAGGGTCTGGTTGTGATGTCTGAGAGTATACGATGGTGTGTAGGGCAGCAGATGCATGGGGAGATCCCTGCCCTTTGAATGCTGCTTGCTAAGTCAGCGTGGCTTATGTGAGCAAAGCTGAGCGTTGCAGCCGTACATCTTCCCTAGGTTTGTGGGACTCTTGTTCAATATATATTGCACAGCATTTCATTTTAAGCTCTTTTTAGCAGCCCGTGACCACCTCAGGATGAGGTAAGAAAGTACGCTTAAAGCACCACGGCTTTCACATTTGCTCCCTTGAAGATGCAAGACCAGCTCACCCTGGCATTGCCACGAACCCCGGCTTTGAAGCCGCATGGCAGCATTGCACATGATGTCTCCATCATGGACACTTGCAACTGGCCTGCATCCATGTGTTTCTCCTCCTTTTCAGTTCATTAGCAAGACTGCTGCAAGGAGGGAAGGGAAAAAGCAACGCAGTAAACCATCACACCGCATGGCTTTGCAGGGCGAAGGCTGGAGCCATTATCCGTTCTCCCCCCGCACACAAACACTACCCAGACGCGCCGCCGTCCGCCCTCAGCACTGCCACCACCAGGGTCCTGTTTAGCTAACTCCAGATATTTGGTAAACTTCATTCTGTCACTTAGGTTAATAAATAAAAAGAGATTCCTATTGTAAGCTGGGTTTTAAGGGAGCAACATCCAACCACCAAAATACTGTGTTCCTGAGGGGAAAAAATCATTAAGGCTTCTCTCTTCTAGTAATTGCCATGAGTCATTGTTAAATACTGATTTAAAACTATTTTTTTTACTTTCATGCAACATACACAGTCCTCACACATTGGACAGACCTTGTCATACCTGATACTTACTTCATTTGTCAAATATGCATGAAAGAACAAACTGTTTCTTACTGTTCACTTAACTAAAACTCCTCTGCAAATGAACCTACTAAACTCTGAAGAGTTTCTGCAAGGTTTTTTTAAGTCAAGGAGAATTTTGACCTCAGTCACAACAGAAATACCTTGCCCCGAGACAAGAGAAATGACCTTGCCACCTAACAAATTGTTAATTAATTTTTATTTTCAAACAGCTATAAAACCCAGCCACTTTCCTTCACCTAAGTTGTGCAGAGCCGAGACCACAGCAGTCTGGGGTGCCGTACCAGGGTCAGGCCCACAAGTGTGGCGTGCGCAGCTTTGCGTGTGGATCCAGTACAAAACAAACCACTGTGGTTTGTTTTTCCCCTGAATTAATTAACACCACACCCCCCCCCCAAGGAAAAAATAGTGAATGAAGTCACCGATGGAAAATTTGCAATTAGTTTTTGGAAAAAAACCCTGGATGGACCAGTTTAATAGGGCTCAAGCCCTCATCCATCTGTTTTTCTGCCTCTGTTTGCCAAATTCACTCGGATTACCTGTGTGAATGTGTTCTCACACCAAATGCTTTATTCTCTCTGAACGTGTGTGTATTTTGTTATGGAAAAGGACTAATGGCACCAGACAGGGTAAGTCTGCCCTAATCAGCACAGCTATTCAGCAGTTACAAGAAACCCCTCGGTAATGAATATTTGGCATAAAGTTGCAGTCCTGGTTCACCTGAGCCTAAAGAAACCAGGGAAACACCCGTTGTGCATACACAAAAGAAGAAAATACATTTGTAAGACAATAAACTTCAGCTGCAACCTTATGTGGCTTTTTTAAAAATAAATGGCAATTTTCCAACCTATGGGGCAGTTCATATTAAAAAGGCAACCTATAGAGCTAGCTCTCAGGAAGCCATGAAAAATTATCTGAAAATGCATTTTGGAATAAGGAGCTCCATTAATGCATTCAGCTAAGACTTCTTTGCTTTTTATTAGGGATCTAAAAGCAAATGGTCATCTCACCTACAGTTTGCCCCAGCAACCCTTTCAAGCTTTTTTGGAGGGCATCCCAGTGGGTTACTGAGAGCTAGATATGTTACTTTTCTATGGTGAGGCAGCAAGCGCAGTAAGTGATGCGCGGGCTTTCTCTGTCCTGGGTTATCTCGTCTCACAAAGACTGACTACCTCAAGGAATCCACTCAGAATTACCAGGGGAGCCTCAGCTTTAAAACTGTTTCATGAAATCTAACCCAACACATTTTTGCAGCAGAAGCACTCAACCTGGATTTGTGATACCCTGAAAATTCAAGTTCAGGAAGGAGCACGAGCCGGGCTATGCTGATAGCTCTTCAATTTTGTTACACAACCCACTGCTGCTTAGATTCAGCCAAGCCCACTCAACTAACTTCATGCCATTTATGCCTGAAGTTGTTACTAATTCTAATTTATAGCCTTGATGCTGTCATTAACTGTCACTCATATATCATCAATGGGACAACAGGCTGGGGCCGAGTTTGTTGTAAACATGAGTTCTTGAACCTTGTTCATACAGAAGTATGTTCTAGTGATGTGCAATATGGAAATGTAATAGGAGCCGTAACTGGCTCTAGAACATAAACAAAAATAAAATGAGGAGAGTTATGCAATCCTTGAAGGCTATTCCAACTCGTTAATCAACTGAATGCACACAGGACCTTTCGTACCAGGAAAGGCAAAGCACTCTTTCACATTGGATGGACAAGAATAACTAACACTGAAGCAGTTGTACCAGAAGACTATTAGAAGGAGAATATGAAACAATTTTTAAAACTCTCAAGTTTGCCTCCAAAGGCAGAGACAGCTGCCCTAGATTTTGTTTAGTTTTTGTGTTGCTCCCTTCGGGATTACATGCCATTAGCATGTGATGGTCTTTCTTGGGATTTGGATGAATAAAGTCTGCTGATTACCAAATATTTATAAACACTTGGCCAGCACCAGACAATCAGAGGTTTTGTTCAACCATAATTAACCCATAACATTTAGCCCTTATGTATTAATATGTGTGTAAGCCTTTAAGGTTTTGGACTTTAAAATAAAATCTTCAGAAATAAGACCTGAAGCATGTGATACCAAGAGGTAAGTCTCCTGATACAAAGCCAGATTTGCTTAACCCCCTTTTATTGCTGCTCAAGCAAGCATGTGATTTGCACAGAACATTAATTCAAATGAACTGAAATGTCAGGCTGTACTATACATCCAGCCAGGCTGAGAAGGACATGTGTTATTCAACGCAAAGAGGTTAATGCATCGATGATGTGGTCAATTATATCTGGGCACCGTTAGTTTTACAAAGCAATACGGATGAGGACATTACATAAATGTCCCACAATAAAAATGGCATTGGGTTTCAGAAACCAAATACTCACAAACCCCTGAATTAAATCAGAATTAATTATGCCACAAAGCAGATGGATGTCTTCAGTTAAAGACTATTTATTGACCTGTTCTTTCGATGCGGGTAGCTGGCTGCCTGGCAGCTGGCATTGTCTATGATGGCAAAGTACCTGGAAGTTCTTGAAATTATTTTTAATTTCAGAACTATAAAGAATAGTAGCATGGCTGGGGAAATACTGGGGATACTAAACGCTTACACCACGTAAAAGCTATGTTACTTTAATTACAACAGTATTGCGTGATCTCTGTCCTTACTTTAAGACACCCATAGTTGTTTATGCAGAGAGAAGAGCTATTTTTAATATTCCTGTAAGTGCCATGAGTCCCAAAGGCAGCTTGGTCTGTTAAGGACAGTTTCGCTCATGATGAAACAGTGAGCTATGGACAGTATGTCTGTATTAGTAGGATTACAGAGCCAAACTCCTCCCTAGCATGACTCCAGGGAATAGTTCAGTTCACGATGTTTAAAACTGTTATTTGGGGACAAAAGTTAAAGTGGCGGCGAAGTGCAAGGAGAGTCGCCTCCACAAGCGCTAATTGCTGAGCAACCTTTGCTCCGGTTGTGCTACAGAAACAGTGAGGGGAAGACGGAGGGAAGGGGAAAGCGCTGTGAGGATCAAGGATTTGTCCTCCAGCCTGAGGCACCTCCAGCCTGACGACATCTGTTAGGCTGTGTCTACAGGAGGATTTGGTTCAGCTTGCAGGGGAGTTTTGAGGACAGAAACTTGGTTTCTTTTAGAGGAAACTTAACTGAAAGCTCCACCTCTAACGTGCTCCCATGGGGATATCGTTCCCCCAACCCACGTACAGGCTGCCCTGCCATAAGGCCCTTCACCATGTAACTGCTGTGTCGTTACCCAAGGAAAGCTCTGGTGTCCCCTGAGGTCCTGGAGCACCCACTCTTTCTTTTACAATCCATTTTCCAACTCCCAGCCCTATTTCCTTCTGCTGTGGTATCTTCAGTCTCCTGAAGTGGACATGCCACCTGGGGCCCCAGGGAGACAACCTGGCCCATAAATCTGTGCATTACAGGAGTAGAAGCTTCTGGAGCAGCAGGACAACCCCGTGGCCACATCAGGAGGCTGCTAAGCTTGTGGCTGCCCCCAGGTACGAGAAGACCTGTGAGTAAAATTACTGCACAAAGTTGAAGGTGAACACAGTGCTTTTGAAGTCCTGGGAGAGTAACTCTATTTCGGGGCAGCACTGTGGACCCATGCTTCTTAGGGAAGCCTTGAGGAGATCTTTGGACATCCTACCAAGACAGCCACTCATTTGGATTCAAGGCCCTCAGTCCCAAAGTCATTGTGGGAGAGTCCAAACGAGTGAGAGTTGCTGCTTCTTCTACTGCAACTTGCCTCTAAGTTCCCCTAAAATATCCAAAGGTACCATTTAACAAACCTCTTCCAACTCCCTCCCTATTTACAAGGGAGGAAGTCACCTGGGAAAGTATCTGTCACTCAGCGTGGAAACGCAGTGCTCATGGCACGGTGAAAACGACTGCCCTTATACAGCCTGCACCCTGTCTCTCACAACGGTCACCGGTGCCTCTTGACAAACTGCTCATCCAAGATCCAATCTGCCCTTTGTATTTTGGCTCTTGTGTTACAAATTTTAGCACAGTTCATAAGAGTACTTTTTTTCTAAACTTAACGCATGCCAAACATCTTTGGCATGAACACCATTCCTGCTGGGGCTATTGGCTGACACTTCTTTTTAAAAATAGAGAAGTAGGTACAAGTTGATCAGGGACCAAACTGGACTTTAAATGTGCTGAAAAAGCCAGGCTGGGTCAGAAACTAATTCTACTCTTAATTGACCATCTGACCGAGCCAAGAAAAAAAAAATTCTTCCTAAGCTATTTGTAGTTCCTTTGGATTTAAGTTTCCCTTCAGGTGCCTTCCTCTGCTGCTATGTTTTGATGCCTATATAAACATGCAGAGATTTGAGGTCATGCCCGTTCAGAAATCAGGTTATGCAATATAATTTAAAACTTGAAAAATGAGAGAAATGGGAATAAGAAGCTTAGGCCTGATGAAATCCAGGCATCTGACAAAACAGAGTATCCTCAGAGACTGCAGAGAAAAATGATGTAACAAAGATGACCTGAGAAACCTATAGTACAGGACAACGTTCACCACCTCTGTCAGTTTTATTGGTGAGGTCAATGCCTTGCTTCGTTGTCAGACTGATAAGAGATGTGTTACAGCTTCACCAAGTGTACTGCAAATGCTAATAGCTGGGGAAGAGGGAAAGGCAACCACAACGGGGGTGATTTGTCACTGCTTCCATTGTAAATCCACGCTATCAGAGCATCTGAAGTGACTTGTTCCTGTTCTCATGCTGCATTTAGAGAATCCCAACCAAGAAGGAAACAAGTTTTCTTCCACCCCAGAAATTACACTGGCTTTTTAGGGCTCCCTGTACACTCTAGGATGAACGCTGTTATACATCTAATGCCTTCCTCCACTGCTCCCAGACTGACTAGTCTATCTCAGGACGGATGAGAACCGGTAGCAAACACCGGTCAAACAACTGACATCCAGAGCAATATTCTTTTCCTATCTAACATTCCCCACGGGGCTTCCATAAAATCTCAGGCTAGACCTCTGGCATGCCACTGAAGCGCCCCAAAGGCACCACGAAGAGGGAGTACTTACTCCCAAAACTCCGTGACAGGAGAGGTGAAGTTAGTGGCATTCAGTGATATCCAGAGCGTTATGTTCTTCCTGAGAGTGTCTTCCACGCAGGTCGGCGTGTTCCACTTCTGGTGGCAGTGTGCCCACGGCAGGACGCTCTGGAACGACTGGAACAGGTAGTAGAGTCCCCAGGCCAGGATCACAATGTAGTACACGTTCAGAAGGGACACAATCACTATGGAAGCATAACCAATTCCTGGAGAGAGGGGGAGAGAAAAGAAATAGGTCCAGACGTGACAGCTGCTTCTTGCTAGGGTGCCTTGTGATCTCGTGGAGCTGGTGCTACTCCTGCTGTCTTGCAGACTTGTATCCCGCTCTACCACATCGCTGTTGGAAGCTCAGCTCAACTTGATCACACATAAGCACAGACCTGCCACCATCTCAGACTAGCATGGGCACTCAGGGTTGAGTTTCTGGCTGTGGTTTGCTGACATCGGAGGGGAGGTCTGCAGGACGTCTACCCAATTTAACACTAACCCGGCTATTTCAAGTTTTATTAAAAGGAAATCAAGGCATTATGCTTTGCTTATTTGGGAGCTACATCATCTCACATCTTAGGTACCTACTTGGGCAACATCATTCTCACCACACTGTCCCCCAAGCCAGCTTCCTTGGAGGCAGCTCGGCTGGGCAGCCCCTGCACCGCTCATACTTATCGACTGGCTCGGCTCAGCCTATGTGCAAAAAAAAAAAAGACAGTTCTTGAATGAGTTAAAAAAGGAAAATTCCAAAGCTATCAATGTGAAAGCTGCTGTTTCTGCCCCAATTTCACTTGTGCAAAGGAAGCACTATATTTGTAGCTGTTATGGTTAATTAGATCAATGTTTAACTCAGCTATCAATATTTGACGATAAAAAATGTTCCCTGTTTGTTTTTATAAGCAGGGTCATGGGCAGATAAGGGTGAGTCCTACAGAACTTTGGGAGGTGGCGGAATGCTGTTCCAGTGGAGGCTTTAATTAAACACCACAACTGTTCTCCTGAGTGTGGTATCTCTCTCCTAGCTCGGTAGTTTAGCCCCACCAGCAGATGCATACTATGTCTTAAGTCAGAAGCAGTCACTATTTTTTTAAATACAAAATGAAAGGACTCTGGAAAGTCCTCTTTACTGAAAACCTTTTAGCTCCAAAAAGCTTACAAAGTTTGCCATTTAGGAATAACAGGGGAAAAAAAGAGATTTCCTTTGAAAACTTAGAGCAGTCTTTTACAAGAGGACAAAAAGCCTATGAGGTTCCCTTTAACATCACTCTGATGGCTACCCCAGCACCTGGGATACCTGCCTCATATTTTATAGTTTCAAACCTTATTGCAACAAGAGTCTTTACCACCAGAGATTTTTTTTATGCCAGGTGAAAACAACCAGAGCAAGTGCTATTTATTCTGTACAGCTGCATTTCATTCAGGATATACAGCTAGTCACATTATTAGAGCTACAATTTCTCTTTATGGATGCCTGGGAGATTGTTATTTAAACAAGGAACATTCCTTCCTCCTCAAAAAAAAAAAAAGGCTTCATAAAAGTGGGAGGAGGAGGAAGAAAACGGGGCTAAAGCAGCACAATTACATCAACTTCAGCAACGTTCTGAGTATTAGGTGGGAGTGTGAGCCACAGAGAAAGCCCTCACTTCTGCCTGGGGTGACATGAAGGGAGAGACACCTGGAACAGCAATGCTGGCAGAGCTAGAGACACGTCATCATGAAGTACCCACTCTTTCCAAATGGGATTTGAAGAGTGCTGCTCTGTTCAGTGTAATTATTCCAAATAATTCTGCCTGTGCTCTCCAGCTGTAGAGGGTAATCTCTACACAAGATAGGCATCCTCAGTAATTTTTCTAACCTGTCTTTGATTTTTCATTCTAGTTAACTTCCAGAGCGGCATTCATATAATTCCTGTGAGTGGCGAGTGATTCTTCATTTGCTAGCAAAGGCCCCTGAATAACACCAGACCAACGTGCCTGTTTGCCAGGACCTGCTCAGTTATGACAAAAGTCCCATTCCTGAATCCTACCACAAAATGCTGTCCAGGTTTTGGCTGTATCAATAACAGAGGGGTGACGCCAATGATAAGCTTTCACATGGCAGAAGGAGTTTGATTTCCAGACCAGAATAATATTTTGAAGATGCTTTCACTAAGGCCATGTGAGAGACTCTAGCCTTCCAAAACAACACTTTCTCCGATACCTGTGAACAAAATGTGCAATTGCCTTTTTAAGGCATAATATGCAATTTCTTTCTTGCTTATTGGCAGTTCTGCCAGTTAACAAGACGATAGTATCAAAATCAATACCTTACTTTGTCCTTCAGACTTTCTGACTTCTACCTTTCCAGGAACCAATATCATACCCTCAGTTACTACAGCAAATAGCTGAATTAATGGACATGAGGGGAACAGTGTTGCTGCACACGGTTTACAGAGGTGTCTTTAATCAGTAAAGCACAAGATGTACTAACCAGTGAAAATAGGGCAGATCTTTTCCCAGCATGTAATTCCACCTTCAGAGGTATACTGTCCTAGCACCACCTCCAGGAAAAACACGGGAAGACCTCCCCCAAACAGGAAAATGAAATAAGGTATAAGAAATGCACCTGTTGAGAAAACATAATAGTACAAAATTGAGATGAAGTGAGTGACTTCACACAAGATAGTCTAAAAAGTGTTAACAGACATATATAAACAAAGAAACATATTTGATACTTTATTATCAGTACACAATAATCTTATTCTGCGGTATTTTTGCTCATACTCAAACTCTGCAAGTGGAATGGGTATATGAAGCTGGAAAGGGCATTTTCCTACCTTTTTAAAATGAAAATCTGCAATAACAATGGGGTTAGGCACACAACAGTTTCACATGGCTCAGAATGCTCTTATTCTGAAATCCATTGGTCTGAAATCCTACTGGTCTATATTAATAGCGTATCTTTTGGTTAAAACTCAGACTCAACTGCAGCAGAAGCAAAAGAGCAGAAAAGGTTCAGTAGTATAAAATTTTAAATTGCTGTTGTTTTTCCATAATTAAGTTTTAACAAAAACTATTAAGTAATAAAACAATGTCTCCCAAAGACTGGTGAAGAAGGCAGAAAACAGATGTGTGATTATTCTTTTTAAAAATTGGATGAAGGCACTGAAAAATAGTAAGCATAAGGCAGACAGATTGATTCATGAGAATGAAATAAAGAAATACTCACCTCCGCCATTTTTGTAGCAGAGATACGGAAACCGCCAGACATTGCCTAAACCAATAAATCCACCAGCCACGGACAGCAGAAAGTCAATCTTGCTCGCCCACTTCTCCCGCTGGGGCGGCTTTCCTTCTGCCTCATCCTCAGGCCGTGTCCCCGGGCTCTTGCCAGGGGAAGGTTTGAGGATGTCCTTGTGGAAATCTTTCAAGCACTGAAGCTTTTCCTTTGTTGCCATATTTCTGCTTTCTACATAGAAAAAAGAAAATACCCAGGGTTTATTAAACGGTCTTTACTGGTAGAGCTCTCTAACACTGCAAGAACTGTTTAACCAAACTCAGTTCCATAAAAACCAGTGCTGTTTATCAAGCTGAGATATGAAAAGACATCTGCTGCCTTCACTGACCAGGGGAGACAAACCACCCCTGGACCCTGCGGTCACCTCTTTGCAGCCAATGCAGTGTCGGGGATAGCAAAGGTTTGACACCGTTGCCTACCTGCTAGCTGCAGACAAAAGGTGTATAAAGACTGCGCACTGCATCGGCATCAGCAAATGCTGTTACTGAGCAAGTGTCTCACGCTGTTGCCATGCCCATAGTAAGATACAAATCACTGCATCTGATTCCTTCTCAAACATTTAAGTGAAATACAGCAGAATAGTAAATCTCACCTTTCCAGATAAAACCCATTCCTCTATTTCCCAATAACCTGAACCATCCTGTATCATTTATTGCCTGCAACTTCCTTTCCCTGAGGCATTATAAAGCTTTCAGAAAATTATACATTCATAAAAACTGGAATGGAAAGTCATTTGTCTTAATCAACCTGCAGGAATTGAAGGAATCTTTTCAGTTTATTCCATTTTCATAACTGCACTGTTTTCCCTTGACATCAATAAAGGGACAAAAATAAACCTTTATATTCAATTATCGCCTTATACGCACCTATGTAATTGAACAGTTTGCCAAGAATGATGGCTCCTTAGTTAATTAAAAAGCCAGTGGTATGAGTCACCTGATGCAAAACCCAAAGCATATATATTTATATATATAATTTATGATGTTCAAAAATCATAGATTGTGTAAAAATAATAACAGAAAGAATTACTCTAACAAGTGCCTTTTTATCCAGGATTCCCTCATGAAAACAATTTAGGAATAACTTGTAGCTTTTATGTTAAATCAGATCTCAGGCATATCAGGCCAATTCATTCCCCACATAACTCAAGTGACTTTAGCTGGATCTGACCAGTTATTTTTGCATAGTGTTTTGATACTGAAAAGCACGTGAAATTTTCACCAGAACCAGGCAAACCAGCAAGTTTATTCCAGACCACAACCATTCCCTGCTTGTACATGTCATTATGGGTGCACAGTCATAAAAAAATCATGCTACAGATTATCCCATTTGATAGCTGCAAGCCTCCCTCGTACCTGCTTGCTGTTTTTGATCTCTAACCTGATTTAGCTTGTGGCAGTGACCTGAAACCTGAGTTGACATTAGCTCTGCAGGAAGTTTTTAATCCAAACATGATTTTGAGACAGATATGCATCACTGTACCTGTAAATCTTTCCATCTGCTACGGAAAGTTTCAGAAGGCTAACATTTCTGCAAACCACAGCAGCTCAGTATTCGCCCCACTGACATATTGGTGGCCTTTGCAATACAGTTATTGCGACAGCAGTTGCCTATCAGGCCATGATCTAAAAAGGGACTTTAATCTTCACACTGCTAATCATTATGATTTTCTACTGTTTTTTAAAAAAGGCCACTGCTGACTGCACAGAGGTGATATGAGCAACTGCAATACCTCCTTGTCAACAGCAGAGAGAGCTCACAGAAGGAGAAAGTTAATCACAGGGTGATGGATCATCACCACCCACTGTAGGGGTATAAGGGCAGGACACATATTCCTATAAAATATAGAATCATAGAATAGTTTGGGTTAGAGGGGACCTTTAAAGGTCATCTAGTCCCCCCGCCCTGCCGTGGGCAGGGACATCTTCAACTAGATCAGGTTGCTCAGAGCCCCGTCCAAACTGACCTTGAACGTTTCCAGGGATGGGGCTTCTACCACCTCTCTGGGCAACCTGTGCCAGTGTTTCACCACCCCCAACCGAAAAAATTTCTTCCAATATCTCCTATTGGTTGCTGTTAGATTCATGGTATGAGATAAAGTAATGTAGTAACTGCATAAAAATGGTAGGGCCAGCTCTACAACAGCCTTTAGGCACTTCACTATCATGCATGGAGATTAATGGAGGTGCCTCCAAGAGGGTTTCACAGTAGCCTTAACCTCCCTGGGACATTCACATCTCACTCCAAGCCCCAAACAGGTACCACCCTGCATCATTCCCTGGAATCACCTCTTGGGGGAGAAAAAAAAAATGAGTAGGTGCAACCGCTTTTCTTCAAAGAGGTACCTACAAGGTGGCTGATGTCCTGCTCTCACTGCAACAGCAACCCGGCATGGAGAAAGCCCAATTTCACTTTTTTTTGCTATTTGTGCTGCTTGAATCCCTATCTTTCATCGTGCAGGAGAATGTCATAACCATCAGGCAACAGGCTATTCTGGGCTGAGGAATGGACGGCATTCGGACTGTCTTTCATGGAAGCTGTTCTTCACAGGGTTTACTGAAATACTCATCAACAGAGGAAGAAAGTGTACAAAAGAGACAGTAACTCACACCTAGTGTTTAGGGTATGCTCTTGTTTTTCCGACAATTTTTCAGTGAACTGCTGGGACAGCCATAAACCTGCTTAACAGAGCACAGAGATATATACATTTCTAGATCCTTGCAGGATTAAGGTTTGAAATAGGAGCTTAACTGCTCCCCATGGGGACTGATACTGGAAATACTCCAAAACAGAACACTGGCCACGCAGGGAACATTTATGTAAAAAAAATGGGGGGACCTATGGACATTAGCCACCCCCGAAATGAAAAACTCTTCCAGGATTGCAATTTTTTGCAATCTACTTTTATCTTGCGACACAGAGTTCTTTATTTTTCTGCCAGCTCTAATCTTCTTGCCTGCGGATTTACGTTGACCCAGGTGTTACTCAGTTCTAACCAGAATTTGCAAGCCTGCCCAATTGATTGCATTCTGTAAACCCTAACTCTCACTGCGACAAGGAGATCACCCTGTGGTTTGTCCTAATTACCCACACACAAAGTGTGAAATGGTGCCTTTTCAGACTCCTACTTCGTAACTGCGTGGGACTGCATTTTAAAAAGGGATTTCTAATTTGTCTTAAGACACCCCAAATTAATGGCCACGCTTGAAAACCTAACAACTGAGTGTAAATCTTGTTTCAGCCTTAGCTGGAGCATGAAGATGGATCGTGATCTTTCCCTTAGCCCACAAATGACAAATCCTCAAGGTCACGCTTGCTTTTGGGGTGGCCATTTCACCGTACGGGTGCCAGGAGATGGACCACCACAACTCTGTTGCAAGTCACCAGCTCTCACTAGTGGGGCACGGTACAGTACCTATCCAACGCTTGCACAAAATTAGTAACAGCCCAGTTTTACTGTGTATCTCTTATCTAGTCTTGCTAAAATCCTGATTGTGTTTCGAGGGCCGGCAGCTGTGGCTGGCAGGCACGTACCGTCAACCAATACCATAGGAATTGACGCTAAGCGGCCACCTGGGACTGCGGTCCCAGCCCATGTCACGTTCAAGGGATGTCAGATTTATCCCCCTTTGCTGCCAACCATTGGTGTCCACCCAGCCATTCCCAATTACAGGAACTGTCTACAAAGGCTGCAAGGGTGGGGGGTACGGGCGATTCTCCTTGGCGAAGAAAAGCCAAGAAAATCAAGTTTGTTTAGTGAAAGGCATTGTCTTTTTCCTTAATGGGGTTGGAGTTTCATTTCCTTTAGTTATGTCCCACTGGGTGAGGTTAAAATGGCTCTTAAGGGAAATAGTCTGACAGAGATGCTGAAACAATATGTTGTCACCGCCCAGGTCAGAACCAGAGAATAATAGGTTATTTTTACTGTATCACTTAGTGGGGATGGTATCCGAGATCTAAGCCCATCTGATTCCCCCAAGGAAATATATTGTAAGAAAATGCTCTTACAACCACACAGTCCAAAAGGAGCGATCCAAGTCTGAGACACATGTCTGCCTCCCGGAGACACACGTCTGCCTTCCAGGAGCCACATCTGCCTGCGAGAGTACCCCCTCCAGGAAGCTTCGGATGGCCCCAGGAAGCTCTGGCTTCATCTGATGAACTTGATATGGATAAATAAAAAGCAGTAGAGAAGCCTGCCGTTTACAGTGTGCTACTAGGCTGAGTCCAGCCAAGCTGCTACAGCCTGACCCGAAAGCAAGGGGAGAAAGGATCCAGACTGGGCCAGGCCCAGGATCTGCTCTCATGTACACTGGTACAAACCCTAACTGACTGAGGATGAAGTTATCAGTTGTTAAATCGATGCTGGTAAAACGTGGAAAAATAGAACAAGGGAGCAAGCGTGGGCTCTTTGCACTTCTCAAGCATCTGCTCCCTGGTGCGGCCAGGACCACCTCAAGGGCTCCTCTCCTTCTGCAGGAGAATCATGCATCTGTCCCTTGTGTCTGGTGCACAAATGTCCTCATTTGAAATAGCCCCTGCAATAACCCAAACTCTCTTGCTGCTCCCTGTGATGATTAGTCTTTGATGCACAGCTGAAAATACCAAAAGATTAGCCATAAGCATAGAGCTTTCGCAGCCAACCCAGCTTGGGCCATCTACTGTGCTACAATTATCCTATCTTTGCACGTACAGCCTGCACCTCAGATAACCCTTACCCTTTAAAAAATACTGGCATTGAAATGTAATCCTTCATAACATGCAAAAAATGAGGGGTAGGGGAAGGGGGAGGCACTGGGCAGAGGGATCAGCCGATGAGAGATGCAGATGGGGGAAGGCCACCAGCGTGGACAGGACCTGCTGGTTGTCAGAACAGACACAACTCACGTTACTGCTGAACCACTGACTTTTTTTGACAGACAACCCACAGATTACACATCTGAAAATACACTGTTTAATGTCTGCTTTGGGATTACAGTAATGATCTGCTCCAAGCTTCTTATAGCCAGAGACAGGCAACCAATGCAAGGTAACACCTTCCAGGAGGAGCCCTGAGGACAAATTCATCGTGGATGCTACCTCACTTAATAATCTTTAAAAATCAAGTCTTCAAAACAATGGTTTTCCAAATGCTGATGGAAACACGAAAATCAAAATCTGCCCGTACACAC